ACAGTATGCGACTTTCTGCATACTTTACATACTACTTGTTGCGTCTATAAATGCGTGCGTTTATTTTCGAGTCACTGTAAATGTTTCAATTGCGTAAGAAGCTACCAGTATTGGTCTATTACTCAAATTGGAATGCGTAAAAACGATCACCTTCTTTACAGAATAGTTTCGACCCGTAAAAATTGGTTAGTTTCTAAAAAAGACGGTGAGATTTTTACGAGCTATTTGTCAACTTTCGGTGTAACCTTTTGGGTAAATAAGGAGAATTTTTTTTTATATATACAAAGAAAACTTTTATTTAAATTGGTCTATAGTAAAATACGTGTCATTTTATAATCAAAACAGGTCAACCGCCATAGATCGCATAATAGTGGCGTCAAATTGGCGCTGCTGAATTTGTTCAATTTTTTCAAACGAGGTTGTATAAAAATTTAGACGTTTGTTCAGGGTTCACTATCGGTAATAGTAATAGCGTTTATCGGTCAGTCCACTTACGTAAGAGTCGCGACTCATTTTAACTCGCTTTAGAAAATTATTCGCGTGTTTATATGGCTTTATTCATGGGCGTCATAAGTAGTCGGCGAGCAGTCTTCGCCACTCTCTCATCTCAGAGCTACGTCGCGGAGGTAATTAGCCGTATTTTGACATTTTACCAATATCTCTTATCTGAAGATAATCTAAGACTGCTTTGGAATTTTCCTGCCTGTATCCAGAGAATTCAAACATTCCATTTTTCAAATTATAGAGGTACGTTAGGAGTGTTTATACTTTTTGAAAAAAAGTGATTTAGATCAGATCATTTGATTAGATATTTATATATACAGAAACTAAAGTATTGTACGAAGTTTACTTACTGTATACTGAATATATATGTATATATATTTACCACCCGTCTATATAGTATAACGTCTAGATGACATATTTCCGTTTACTTCATATCTTAAATATGGCCTAGGATTAAATACGCTTAAAAGTATATGCATAAAAAACCTTTAATAGTTTTATTTACTCTATGTATTTACTCCCTTTACCTTTGACGTAGGAAAAAAAACCGTCGCTCCGACAGCATTTAGGGAATGTTTTGAAAACGTCATATAAGCGTACTATGCGGGGGAGATTTGTGATATTTAAAACGTCACAAGGCTCCTGACGACCTGTCAAAATTTCAATACTTTTGGGTCTTCGCCTTTCCAACTCCCCAGTCGTGCGTGACACGACCCTTTTCCAGATACTTGATACCATTAACACCGCTGTTACGAATTATAAGGCCATTTATTATATTTGAAAAATTCTCCTTTAAGCACTCAGCGATTAGCAGCTGACAAACAAGAGAGGTTCTCATGACAAGTAGTTTGTTTAGGAGATAAAGTAATTTTTCCTACTGGTTTCGCTTATCGTACTATACCAGGGGTAAATGCAAACAATGAAGCTTTGTCGATAATTATCCGGTGCCAGATTGAAAAGTTAAAAACAAGCGTTACAGTTTTCAATACTTGACTATTAAGACAAATTGTGCTCTAACAATACATTTTCCCCGAAGGAACTAACGCTAATCTTCTAGGAAGTGGTTTTTTGTTAACGGGTTTTTAAGTGCCAGGTCGTTGTCAACAAGTTTTTATTAAAAACGTGCCGATCTAATTGTATACACCATTTGTCGTGCTCAGTAATAGAAAAGAGAGAAGAATAAAATATGAACCGGAAAGGGGTGGATATTGTGGGTGGAGAGATTAGTTTTGTACTATTTGAAATAGACGCAGAGGAAAAGAGTCCATAGTAGCTGTTTCTTATTAATAAAAGTAGGCCTATTTTTAGTTTATTCGTATATAAACATTGTACATAGATATTTTTATACAATTACTTGAGCAAAGAAGAAAGTAAACGAAAATTTTCCTTGACCAGTCACGGTTCGTTGTTGATTTAAAGACTATTTGCTAGTGTCAAAATAGCAACTTTGCCCCAGACCTTCTCGCCTAATTGGTCATTTCGGTGAGCGTGGTTGTTTCGAGAGGGGTGAGAAGGAGAGAAAAAAAACTGCCTCATTTTAAGGTATTTATGCGTAATAACTAGAATAATTTACATATTATGTAATATTAACTTTGAAGTACGTTGCCCGGAGTGTGACTAGGCCCGAGGAAAGCACGCGATTTTGGTGACTGTTTCCTGCGTAATTTCCATTCCTACATCTGTCAGGAAAGGGGAAGTTGTCATCAAAAAGTCACTTTAAATACTGGGGACATTCCGGGTCGTAGACATCTAAAAAGTGGAAATAACAGGCCGGAAAAAAAAAAGTGAAAAGTAAGAATTGGGGGGGTAGGTCAGTTTATCGGTATTAAATCTAAGCGGAACCGCTTTATACTTAGAGATATTTCGTGAGCACGCAAACTAGACCCCCACGTTTCTTTTTTTCGATCTTACGGTCACGTGCAAAATTCTCTAACTTCTACTTGGGCCTAGACACTTTCCATCTGCCGGAAAGAGAAGAAAGTCTTATGTCACTCAATCATAGTAGTCAACGTCAGCGAGTTGCGCAACCGCAAATATTCTTGTAAATCCTTGAAAAATATCGAAGTAGGATGTGGAAGTTGAAGTAGAGAGACTTTTTCCACGACTTGTCAAGTACCGACGCTAATCTGAATAGGTAACGGAAATTCAACATAGAAAATTAGCCAACTTCGTTAGGGGCGCAAAGTAGCTGACGAAAAATTCTCCCATCGTGTTGAACAGATTGCCAGTTAATTAGTTCTTGTTTAATCAACGCACCTGTGCACCCCGGTTCTTTCCCTAATTCGAACCTATACACATATTCCTCAAAGCTAAGCCCTATCGAAACATCTGCTATCCGTCTAAGAATAGGTTTAAAGGCCTATATGAAGGATAAAGTGAGTAGAACACTACTCTATTCAGTCCGTCTGATTTGAGTTTAACATAGGTACCAAATCAGACGGTATAATTCGTCAATGTGGAAACCGAGTAGATGAGTTCTATAGACCGTTACTAAGTAGATTTTGATGAATGCGGTTTCTTTCCTTCTTACGAACGGTTGTATAATTAAACGTAGACGCCCCTAAACTGATCGCATTTAGAAGTTAAGTAGTTCTTTCCTTAACTATTTTATTATATTTTTTAACCCTGTGTGGTCCTCTAGCCGGTTATCTTTTTAAAAAGTAAATCAGGCATAATTTATAAAGTATATGGCAGCTAAGACTTTGAAGTGACCGCAATTCCTTAGCAATCTGTCACCGAAACTCTACTTGCATTCTGCATTCACCTATGACCCGCTAAGTACTATAAAGAGCAAATTATAAGGGAACTGAAAGTCCTATTTGTCCCTTCGGTCGCACACTGAGATACATATTGCAGCGACGCTCCTTTATTAGGCTATTTAACGTGTCCCACCATCGTTTTCAGTAGACTGGGTGGGGTCTTATTGGAATAGAAATGAAAAGTAGGAGGGTGTTGGAAGAAAAAATTGTTCGATATCGCCCGGCTGATTAAATTTCGGTCACCTTTTGACAAATGGCAGGTGTATACAACCATGCAAGAAAAACTTACGCGCTTAATTATATCAACAGTTTTCGTCTGTATATACCCAGCGTATGCTATATAGATATTCAATACGATGGTGGCAAAGCGATTAGATGAAACGAAAAACCCGCCAGATTTTTTTATATATTCGAAAATATAGCTTCGGGCATATATGAGGTTTTTGGTGTTGCTGGAAGGTTATGGTGCTGTGGAGGAGTCCCAAACTTGTCTCACATGTGTCTACCATTCGCGAGTGAAAATACTTTTCGTTCTTTCTTATAAGTCCATTACCCCCTTGGCTTACTCTCGTGAACAATTCCCATTCGGTTAACCAAGATGAAGGAAATATTTACAGGGAGTCGACAGTACTGACGTAACAGGCAATCGCTTTAATTTTTTCAATGTTGGCGTAGCCACTGAGATGAAACCCAACTTGTTTATAACAGTCCTCGGAGGGATTTCGGAAAAGGTTAATGGAATTGATAAACGATACTTCTTCCACCTTCGACTTTCTCCTTTAAAAACTTTATCAGTATCGCATTCGTTCCTCCGCTACAAACTTTCGAATATTTTTCGTGTTTGGTTACTTTTGATAAGCCTTCCTAATGATGTCGAGGAAATGCCGTGACGCAATCGGATAGGAAGATAGGAATCTTTGCAAACAGCAAGGCAACTCGATCGTTATAAGAGCTTGCAGGGTTGGGTTTTAGTAAATTGTGGACGGGTAGCAGGGTTAAAGTTTATGTCAACAGGAAATTCGCGGGAGTAAACATAAATTTTAGTGATAAACTACCCTCTAGATAAACCTGGTCAGGCTACGCAGCGTGTTCCTTTTCAATATCACGCTGATTTTTCGGAATAACAATGAATTACTCTATCTTGCGTTTCGGACGTTCCGAATTTATAGTGCCCTCGGGTTCCTTCTGTGATAGCATCCGAAAATTTATACGGTAGAAGACTTTAGCTTCCTATGGCGAGGATGGCGCCTTCGTCTATCTGAGAAGAAATAGAATGTCGGCGGAGGTTATTGATAGCCAGTTGGAAAACTGAGACGTCTACACAGGCGTTTCCGAAACGACCGTTGGTCAGTTAGGGTAACTTGGGGTCATGCGAGAATTTGGACGCGCGCCGTCTACGTCTAATATTTACATTGCTTTGATGCGGACCAAAGAATTGTTCTAATAGTTTCGAACATGCCAAAAGCGGGCGCTCGATGTCCCAGGGGCACATGTCAGGTGCCCAGATTCGACCAGTGGTCATCTTTCTCCTGGCCGTCAGTGTTTCCCAGCTGTTATGGTCAGAACGCGACCAACACGAGTCATTTTTTTCTAATTATCAATAATGCAGTAATTATTACTATTAGCATTACTCTAATTTTATTTTTAGACACTCATTTTTGCCTTCGTGCCAGGCATTAATCTTTTTTTCCCTTGTCGTCGCCTTCTTAAGATTCTTATCTTTCTTTGACAGATCGGCATGCTACCTTGCACGGGAAAGCGTAAAAGACGAAGCTTTTTTGGAGATAACGATTCACTGTTTTTGAAGAAGAAAAGGACGATGACCGAAAGTCCTGAAGCCAGAACCGAAACCGTCGTCATGGAGAATCGATTAAGCGATGATCCCGTAAGAAAGAATGGAGCAGGTACGACTAATTATTCGAATGAATTACCCCCTTTATGATTGCAAAGAATGTGTGCTTGATGAAAATGTTAAAAGGTTTGAATGGTACCGGAGGCGGTTTGAACGCGTCGAATATGTATTTTCGAATTTCACGCACTCTCTCAGACCTTCCCGCGGGTAACGGAACTTTACTAAAATTTTCTAGTGTTTGCAAAAGATGGCAGATTCTTGTCTTAACACACATCGCTGATAGTCTTATCTAGTTCCGTTGTCATCATTTCTTACACGCGCCAAGAGTTTCAGATAAGTCTTATCGAGAGGGTACTAGCTTAACTATGCGTGGGTGACATGACGCGCGCGCGAGTCCCATCGCCGAAGGCCTCTTATGAAAGATTACATCAATTTCTCAACAATATAAACTGATTTTTTGCCACCGGCCATGACGCATTCCGCAGCATGATTCTCACAGAACGTCATAATTTTCCACGCATGCGCGTAACGTCGGAACTTCCGTTCGTGCCTACGACAGTACTACTGGTGCTTGTCTTTCGGAAAAATGACTCCGCCAGTCTTTAGAAGGTATTGTTATATTGGAAAGTCTTTTCCTACTTGACAAGTAATTGAAGTCCCCAGTGGGTCACGTGACGAACGCCTTAACCAATGAGCGTGGCGCTAGGGGTTAGTGTGATGTAAGCTGTCCGAGCCGTGCACACCGAATGTTTCTGTTGAGCGGTCAACTTGACCATTGAATGTTTTCAAACTTTTAATAAGTTTCTCGAATTTCGGACTTTAAATGTGCTTCCCTTTATGGCTAACAGTGGTATATTGTGCTCTAGAGGTATGTCATCGTTATCTTTATTACTTAGCGTGAAGATCGCAGGAAAATCGTTGATTTATTGTATGTTTATATCTAAATTCATAGGCCTAGCAGCAGTTAGCAGTAATAGACTATACAATTTTGGATAGGTAAATAACACTGTTACATAGGTTCTTTGTATAAGTATATATATATAAATATATATAGGTTAAATATACATACAGTATAGGGATTCTTGTGTATTTATAAGCAGGGTAGGAGACGTAAATCGTGTGAGTTTAACAAACGAGAGATTGTTAGTGGAAAGAGCCTTTTGGATTTATCGGTGTTTACATCTATTTGTATTGTAGCCATAAAGCTTTAGCGTTTTCACCGAATATTGGAATAATCCTTAAGGCATATAGTTCTTTTTTAAATTGTTAATGTGTTAGGGAGCGAAATATTTAAAGGTATATAAAAAACGTACGACTACCGACGTTTAGTGTCACTTTAACGTTTTTATTGAACCTTTTATAACGCGAAAGTTTCCCAAACAAAGTTTCAAGCGGCGAAGTTTCAAGTTTATTATAGAACCGCCGGCTTTGTAATTAGAGTAAAAGAATACGGTTATCTGAAAAACTGATAGACTTTATAAAGTAAACCGCGTGATAAAGATAAGGTCTGAAGAAACCTTTAAGATTATAGTATAAGAATAAAGACTGCGGGAAGAGGTTAAAGGATTTGTTTATCTGTTTGCCTTTGATATACTTCCTAGTAAATTGAGATATACGTAGTATCTCATAGAGTTCAAAAGTTTTTATCGTAGTTATCTTCTAGTTCAACGTAACAAGAAAAACATTATGTAAGCCTTAGGGATGTTCGCCTTTAACCGTATTAAGAATCATATCTTACGGCTAAATTCGAAGCAAATGATTGCGTAATAAGCCATTTCGAACGCTCTTAATAGACCAGATGTTTAGAAAGAACACATGCGAAGCCGAGTCCACATACTGTTTAGTACTTTCAAAAAACAGCTGAAAAGTTCGTGCTTTCTGCCCTAATTATTCGCAGTTCCTAAAGCAGGTGATATGTTGAGGTGAATGGATATCTCTATTTCGAGTAAAACAAAGGAATAGTTAAAAGATTATTTTAATTAACGCGTGACCGATGAGCAATTATTAGGACCTAAAGTACGACCAAACAAAACGGATTTCTTTAGCGGAGAACAATAAAGAACAATAAGTTTGTTTGTTTATTCCGCGGCTTACTTTCTACTGACCTACTCAGAATATATTCGACCGTTTAATTGGATCGTTGTTCATTCGTAATTGCGGCTAATTGGAATGTTGCTTTTTGCTTTACGCAAAATGACGCGACTGATACTTTAAGCGACGTTATTCGATAAGGTTGATTACTTTTGAGCGAAGAAGCGACAGAACAAGAGAAGTTCACCATGGAAAGAAGTTCACACGGTTAGCACCCTAGTGGAACTATCTACTCGTTGACCAGCAGTCAAACGACTACTTGAAATTGTCAAGTTGCTGTCAATCTTTTCTAAAATTCGAACGTTTCAGCTGTTTCTATTGTAATAGATACGACTTGTTCTGTGGGAGTCCGAATCCCCCAAGGGTCGGCTTTTCGGGTACTTCTTACCTAATATTAGTCAAAACGAATGGTCATTTCTGCCGATCGATTTGGAAGAAAGTAATTATTTTTAGCTTAATGAGTTGTAGAGGCGAAAGTTAAACGGAAGCCAAAAAAATGGATTGTATAGCAATGATGTCAAGTTAGTTCACTCCTATGCCGCCTACTTCCTATGAAAAAGCTAAAAGACATCCAATTCTCCTCTCTCCCTTTTTTTAACAACTAAATTGATTTTACACTCTGGCGAATGTTTTAAAGCAAACAGTCCAAAGCCGTGTTGAAATCGCCACGTCTCTCTTATGCCTCGCTTCCCGCCCTAAAATTAAGTCAAAAGCAAATACTGAAATGGGTTGTTGTTAGTACGCGGGCCTTGTTATTAAAGGTGCCATCCAACTGACCACTGCTGACCAATAGATTACGATCTTGATTGAACAGCGAAAGCTAGTCATGCTATCTATTCTTTCAAACCTTGCTGTCAATCTTTTCGGGCCCTCTTTCATCTTTACTTTGTCTTGTTATTTATTTTATTTAATTTAGGCTTTTTTAATAAAGTAACCGAAAGTTTATTCAAGTTCTCTTTGTTTTGCAGGGCAATTGAAAATTTCCGTTTATGCCAATCACGGATTGTTAACCGTTCATGGTAGGTTGACGAATGTTTTGATAATTAATTTTTGTAAATAATCTAAATAATTTCTCCCCTATGTACAGTCATTCAAGCAAGACACCTGTTCGGCGCCACGGGCCAATGTTCTAGTTTTGTTACTCTTCACATACAACCCGAACATGAAAGACGGGAACAGACATCTGCGACGACGCGAATCGTGCATGGACATTCACCGGTGTACGACGAAAAGTTTTCATTGTAAGTTACACTATAATTGAAAACATTCAGTTTGGATTGAAAATATAACGTTTTTTTTTTCCTTTCTTCCATCTTAACCTATGAACAGTGAGATTTGTAACGATATGACTAGAAAGAGGATACTTTTGGCTGTCTATCTCCAGCCGGCTTCCAGGTATAAATCGACATTTGGGGAATAATTTTCTGTAATTATCTATCATTATCCTTTCCGTTATTACAGTTCGAATGCTCAATTTCTTGGTTGTACGTCGTTTGGAATTCACCATCTGCTGTGTGGGAAGAAGGTTTGTTTCATGTTTTTTCTCTCTTATTATAATCACGTAGAATGTAGGGTATTGATCAACTTTGACAACGATAAATATAAAAAAGAGAATAATGATATCTGAGCCGAAATTCGAGAACTTTTTCTTTTGGGTGGCTGATTGATTTAAAGGGTTAGGAAAATAGCAGGGTCAAAATGTATTTAAGAAAGAGCGAAAGAAATTAAAGGCCTATGAAAAAAGGTGTATAAACTTAATTTACATATGTAAATGGCGAACCGCTTTCAATTGTGCCACCTGTAGACATGTGCTTTCAAGATGCGTACTACTAATAAACCGGCGTCCGTATTAATTTTCGGCGCTTTTAATGACGTTTTGCCCGTAGTTCTATTATCTAATTGCTCAAACCGTTTTATTCTAAACGCGTCACTGACGCTGCGAGACCGTCTTCCGCATTTCAAAATTTACGAGTGCACCCCTCAGTCAGCCTAAATTGGGTCTTCCATAAAACGAGTGGTCATCAAGTAAATGGCCTGCTAAATTTAGATCAAAGACTCTTTGTAGGAGAACTTACTGATACGGAAATGGAATCTTGTTGAATCTTCGAATCATTTTCTAATTAGTTAAATTAACTCATTAACGTTTAAAATTTTTCTTTGTTAACACCTTCTTCATGACTATCGTCATTTTTAACAGGTGATGAACGACTGGTATTATCTATTGAAAAGACAGACGGGAGCAAAGAAGCATCTCAGAGTTCCATATATTTCTCAAAATTCATTACCATCTGCCGATAATTCAGTGCCGTCCGTTAATAAATCTCTTTTCGGAATGTCTTCATCAACTGTCGTCCTGGAAAGAACGAATGAAGAGGAATCGTTTGGTATTACCGTTACCGGATCCTGCCCAGCGAGAATAGCATCTGTCGCCCCAAATAGTTCCGCTTCAATGGCTGGGTTGCAAAAAGGCGACTGCCTCGTTCGAATAAACAATCAAAATGTTTCTAGATCTATTTCGAATAGCGTAACCAAAATGTTAAATAATAATGATAAACATCTCGTCTTGGACATTTACCGAAAACGACAAAAAACCTCTTCAATCGGCTCTTCAACCGGAAGAAGCTTAGATTGTGAAGGAGCTGTTAATGACGACTATAAAGGCGAATTTTACGAAGACGATGAAAACATTTATGAGAATGACATCTTTGAAAGGAACATAGATCCCGATGATAAGGAAAATTTACCATCACCTTCTATTCAAGGAGCCATCTATAGATCACCTAGCATAGGCCTAATGCTTCCTCCACCTGCCGGATGCTCCTCCCCGGATGTTTCCATCCAGGGACAAGACGACAGAATATCAGCCATTAAAGATCTAGTTAAGACCGAAAGGGAATTCTCGAATAAAATTAGTATTGGTGTGACACGATATTCAAAACCCTTACGAGGTGGCCTTCGGCAAATGTTCTCGTCGAAGAAACATACGGATGACTGGAAGCCCTGGAGTCATTTGTTCTTAAATATCGAAAAACTCGGGCAATTATCTAGTATACAACTAACCCAACTCGACCCTGATGGAAGTATCGATGATATGAACGTCGGAGGTCTATATAAAGCCCGTTTACGGTCGGTGTGCGAAGAATACCTATACTTTTCAAAAAATTTATTTACCGCTCTACAATTGCTGGAAGAACTGCAAGATTATAATGAATTCCGGGAATTTATAAAGGTAAGATCATATATTATTAATGAAATCATTTCGACATGAAATACTAAATTTCTTATTTACTCCTTTACAGAAAAACGAAACGAAAAAATTAACTTTAACTCAATTCCTACGACTACCAGTCAAACATATGCACCATTTGTTTAGTTGCCTGCAAAACGTGTTATCTAGTACGCCCTCTAGCCATAGGGATTTCGAAGAATTATCCTTTGTTGTGAGAGAATTAAGATCCTGTTGTAAAGAGATGGACAAACGAAACTTTATGTATAGAGATATGTTTAGTAGTTTAAGAGACAATTGACTATTTTCTATTTATTAAATTGTGAATCCTTATTAAACACGAGTCACGAATAATTATAAATATGTTGAAATTTTGATTTTTACTTGATTGATAAGACGGGTGGCGAAAGGAACGAATTCCATATAAACCGTAACTTAGCTACACCTATACAGCGTCCGTTAAAAATTAATGACATTTTGGTGAGTGAAACTGATTCTATTTTTGGAAACCATCTACAATCAATTTATCATTCGGGGTTCTAGTATCATAGCACAAACATACGCCTCAACCTCACATTACACAGACAAATCAGTGTTATCACTATTTACGTTTCTATCCCTTGTCTAGACAAATAATCTGGCACGATGTGAGCTTAGCCGGTACAAACTTAGCGACCCACCGATATCTATTAGATCTTATCATTAATGTGCCTGTACGAAATCGGAATCATATCAAGACGGCCTGTGGTTAATTACGGTAAGTATTACTTTATGATTCCGATATAAAATAATATACAGCTACGTTGACGTTTGACAGTCTGAAAAGGACAGGTCGTTTGTTTAGCGCCTATAGTCAAATGTTAATATATGCAAAGTTTAGGGTATTTTCTACTATAGTAAATGACCAGAGTAAGTATGGGTTAAAATTAAATTGGGTTCAATTTACTTTCAGTCTTCATTAATGTCTAAACTTGTTGAAAAAAAAATAATTTAATGTATGAGAAACGTATGTGCTTTTGACCCTGACAGGAACCCCTTTGTTTTTGAGTTAACGTAAAAAGCCCTCTGACAAACTACAAACTTTCTACCAAACGACAGAACCGTAAACGACAGCCGATTGAATTGTATACGTATTTAATGACCCATAACAAATAAATTATCTCTAAAATTTTTTATACTTAATTTAGTTTTTAAGGGGTTTAGTAAATATTTACGGAATTCTCTGAAGGTGACAAAACTATTAACCAGTAGAGCTGTAGGCTTATTTGACTTCTTTGTCTTCCTATTTAAGTTTGGGTGTATAGTAGGTGCGTAGTGTTTTTTGTTAGAGGCATACTTTTCACACATTTTTTTCTTGTAATTCTAAAGAGTTTCCGTGTCCTGCCTTGTTACTTATGCATGACATCATCCAAAGTGTTACATAATTTGAAGTTAATTTCTCAATACTCGACTTTAAAAATGCAAATGACTTCGGTTTCCGTTTCTCCTGATTCTGTTACTAGCGTTTTTTTCTGACGTTTATTTAACATTATCTAACATCGTTAACGGAGCCGTTGAAATTAATTAAAATTCATGATAACTCTTAGCCGTTTAACGGGTGAATAGAGTCTCTGGAGTTGGCCACTTGGTACAATCTCTGGGAGAGGACAGCTTAAGATATGATAAAGGGCGCTTCGGGAGTACAAGAGGGGGCCTCTACTAAGGACTACCACTGAGTAATGAACGGATGACAAAGTTCGAATAAAGGTTGTCTTATAATCAACTATTATCGATTAGAACACGTATTACGGTGGGAAATTTTTAAGGTGCTACATTTTTCGAAACCGAAAGCCGTGCTAAATTCACAAAGAAACTGTGAAACTAGAACACGTATAAGGCTGTAAAATCACGTCTAAATTTCTCACTCTATTGTTCTTTAAGGCTTCTAAAACGGTAACGAATCGAGAGTAAAATATAACGGACAAAAGTGCGACCAGATCCATTTAGCGGAAAGTCTCAATTGTCTCCGTTGTTTTTATAAATGAACAATTGCCTTAGAAGTACAATTACTCTAATATTCAGAATCACTATTCTATCAAAAAGTAACAAGAATACTATTCTTCTTTAAATGACAATTTTAAAGTTTCCTCAATTTCACTCAATTTTCCTCCTCATTTCTCAAATAGAAATAAATAATCCTTTGGCGTTTAACTCAGTTACGTAATATTTAAACGCGCTGATAAATATACTACCAAAACTGTGATTTCTTCTTTTCTTCTTCTAAATAAGCTTATCTTGTTATCAAAAATAAAATAGAATGAAAACAAAACAGTGCATTTTCTCTGTTTTTTCTTTCTATCTTTTTTCTCCCTCTCTCGATTCCCGCCCGTTTTCCTTCACATCTCTCCTCTCTCTACACGGTTTTATTTTAAATCTCTAAAGTACTCATTTTGACCATTGTCCGTTTCATATCTAAGAGTAGGCACTGTACTTTATTATACCGACAGGTGGTCCACTATAAGTGTGTCATTCGGAAGATATCTAATAAATAGAATAGAGGAATCAAAGGGAAAGAGAGTTTTTTTTATAAACATATTCAAAGTTTGGTAAAGTATTTAAATCGTATGGGCGTTATTGATAGAAAAAATACTCCTTTTGCTTATTCCTCCTCTTTATGTATAGATACTTGACTAAATAGAGGTAATTATGCATGTATTTTCAAAATTTCACCTTTATTATTCCATGTAAATTTTGTACTCTTATTGACAGACAATTTTTAAAAGGTTCTTTTTGTGTTGTTTTTAACGTTTCGCATACCAAATCTAAGAGGAGAGGAAGAAGAAGAGAGAGGGGGGGTTGGACGTAAACTATTTTCTTTCTGCCCGTCTCATTTTTACCATAGCGCATTTTTTCCCGAATACGGAGAAGCTCATACGGAGAAGAGGGATTTTTTTATATGTTATTTTGTTATGTTAAATAGACCACCAACTGATTAATGCTTTTAAAAATAACTCTAACAAAAACAAACGTCTTGGTCTGCAAATGCCATAATTAGGCGTCTGTAGGTGGTGCCATCTGCTGGATAGAGTATTGCCGCCAAATGTTTTTTGAAAGTAAAACTAGGAGAAATATGATAGATATATTCTGTTTATTGCTTTTGACAACTTTCACTAATTTAAAAAAAGAACAACGTCTAAAAATCCGAAAGAAAGGAAAGGATTTAGGGTGAAATAATCGCCGATTTAATGTAATTTTCCAACAGTAATTTGACTTTAAATTATCATTAATTAGTAACTTCTTTCCAGCAGTAATTACGTAATAAATCGTAAAAAAAATTAAAATTTTATAATACTCAATAATTTCATTACAAATTCCTTTGTTAGTGTTCATTGATGCGAAAACCATCATAGGAAATCCAACCAAATGACATTGACATAAATGTCAATTTCATTTTCAAATGTACTGAATAAAAATATGCAAAAATGTTGTAATTATTTTTTTATTGCTTTGTTATTCAGCATAAAATTATAAATTGCTGTTCAAATTGAATAAAAGGGTCTTTCTTCATTTAATGGAACTTCTATTTCGTAGCTTGAAAATAAATCATTTCATTTGTTTTGTCATTTTTTTTTTGCCTAGAATTTTTTTTTATAAAATTCATTTATATTAGAGTTTCTAGTTTATTACCCACTGGTTTTGCATGATTGCACAAGACTTCGTGATAATATTTAGGGTATTAGCTAAGTTAATTGGTCTATTATAGTCTATATATAGAAATATAAAACGATTATGGATCATTTGAAATTTTATATGAAAATAAAACAATTATATAAACGACAGTAATAAAAATTTTCTCTCTATTATATTCAAAAGTTTATTTATTCTATTATTAAGTCAATATGAAAATTGTTCAATAAAAAAAAATGCTCTATTACCATTGAATCTAAGTTTGTTTAACACTTTAGAGTCCATTTCCTGTCTATGTAGACGCTTAGAATTTTTTCGATGCTTCATACTGTACTACTATAACATTCTTTTTTGTTTAAGAGGAATGTGTAGGATTTATGTCGGAATTTTGTATAACAATAAATATACAAGTGAAATGCATATTCTTTTTCTTCTTAGGCTCATTTTTGTAATTTGATCATTGACCCTTAAACTTTGTAGACATTAGAGAAATCAGTATTAGTCGGTAACTAGATTTCTTACTTTTTGTATTTCATATGCAAGATCTAATTTATTAATTAATTATAACAAACTAACTTAATTACTTAATAACATATCAAGCCTTTCCAATTTCTAGTCTTAATTTCCCTTGTAGAATATGCAGGAAGAAATGACTTTCTCTTATTATTCCTCTCCTGCCCTCCTATTGAAAAAAAATGAACTGCTCCAGATGTATGATAAATAGATGGGTCTTTACTTTTTGAAGATTTAATATCTTTCTTTTAAATAGACGACTTTGCTTTTGAAAGAGAAAAGAAGATTAATGGGTTATATAAAAAGTAACGGATAAAGAGAATTCATGGACAAACTACCACCCTTATGCATTTTATTTGCAGTACATTCAGTATGCAGAATATCTATCCTCTGCATTAATTTTTGTTCATTAATTTTAATAAATAATATCTAACGACATGGATAAAGCGTAATTCTAAATTTGGTTTAGTAATTATTAATACACTGCAGTAGGGGCGCAGTAATTTCTTAAAATAACAATTAGTAAAGTGAAGAGGTTTCACAAGTAATTGCATTCGATTGAAGAATCGTAAAATTAATAAAATTAATAGGCAGCAATAGAGGAAGAACAGCAAAATGCTATTCTTAGTAAAGAGGATTAAATTCAATAAATTATTAGGTCTAATCTAAAACTATAGATGGCGTTTCTTGTCCCTAAAAATGGTATCAATGAAATAGATGTCATTACCATTAATAGAAAAATGATAAGACATAGAAAATAAATCTTTATTAATGTAAACGCTAGATATGAATAGAAATATTGATAAAATTCAATAGATTAATCGTTTATTCATGAAAATGACAAGAAAAATGAAATTACGGGAAAAAAGATATTTCTTTAAATTATTTAGAATTTAGAGAGAGAGAGAAACACAACGAAATGACTAAGAAGAAATATAAAATATTAATGGAAAATAAAGAATCAAAAGGAAAATTTATGCATTGCATAGGTTAAATTACAATTTCATATCTTATAGATTATATTAAAACAATAAAACAACTGATTAGTAGTTTAATATTTCCGAAATTTTTATGTTGAGTAACAAAATACAGATGGAAATGTGTTTGTCAAATATTAATCATGAAAAGCCTTAAGGCTATGCAGTTAACTAGGTTTTGTTCGTTCTGCTTTTCCAAAGAATTCTCATACAATTCTTGAGTTTAGTTAAAAGTTGTAAAAAGTAAAAGAAAGAAATTTGATTCCTTTGCCTACTAAAACATAAAACACAAATACAATTTGCTTTTCATCTATAAAATTGTATATTTCCTTTATGTTTTATTAAAAATAATAATATTTATAATTTTTGTTCGCTTATCTATCAGTCTAAACTTTATTTATTCAATAATTATTTGTTTGTTTTGGCAAACATGTTTATTTGTTAAGTTTTTCTATAATTAGGCTGTCTTCTTTCTTCTTCATTTCCCACTACAAGTTCTCCTCCTATTTCATCTATTTCATCTTCTACCTTATATGTTTTCCTTATTCTCCTTTTTAAATGTTGCCTACTTTCTTTCGGCACCGCTCTATTCTTAAACAACTCATTCTATATCCTATTCATCCAGTTTACCTTGTCTTAAATACGGTTTGATGCCCTTTGACTTTATCTTGGCTAGAATAATAGAATAGCATAAAAATATATGATATAAGAAAAACTATTTGATAATATGAAGGATCCATTGGGAATATGGAAAATTGTATCAGACTGCGAATGAGACTTTGCATACCTTGGAGACGGTCTGAAAGGCGGAATATATTTTGCAAAATCGAAATATTTTGATAATTTTGATAGTTTTGTATTAATAAATGGAACAGCGTGGGAAATAAGTTCAATAATGAGGATTTATCTTAAAAGATCAATATCTCTATTCTCCTTAATTGAAATTGATAAGAAAAGGAGGGAAATTATAAGATTCTATATATTAACAATAATACATTCTTATCTCTTTTATTTACAGTTTAATGTTATTCATTCTCATTGTCTCTCAGACATGTATTTTTCTGATTAGTCATATTTTTTCTTTATTCTTCTCCATTTATAAATTTATCATTTAAGAAAAGAAGTTTTATAAAATGGAATTACAACCGTTTTGCAGTTCAATTAACGTTTGTAAGAGAAAATGGTAGTTGGTAGTTTTTATGTTTTACTGATAAAAATCAATTATTAAAAGACTATTTCAAGGTTTTATACCAGAACGTAACGATACACAAAAGAAGGAATATTTTAACAATCGTATCATAGTAACGCTGGAATTAAATTGGAAAACTTGACATTTTATAGCATTACCACCTTATCAGATAAAATTAATTTAAATGTGATAACTTAATATAAATAACTATACACTTGATCATAAATAGTGATTAAGACTAGACGCTTTTCTTATTAAGGATAAAAAGGTGGCAACTATAAATTTTAGTTGTAATGCAAGAAATAACAATTTAAATAGAATTAATGAATCTATATATTTCAGTGTATGAATAGATAATTTATTAATATCTCCTTTTAAACAAATGTCCTGTATTTTAGCGACATTCTAATAAATATATCTTATTATTTAACAGCAATACAGCACGAAGAATAGGGTTAGTGACGTTTTTTATATCTAATTATTTTCCCATACAAATGAATTTTTCTCTACTAAAATTAGCGAATTTTTAAATGAAAACGACTAGAAAATATACTTTAAAATGTAATATATATAATATATATATCTTCATAGTTATTAAAGAAAAGATCTTTTAATACTTTTATTAATTTATCTATGTAGAAAAATCCATTTGATATGTTATACATTGTATATATTTTATTAATAAGTGTGTATTATAATATTTATGTATTGAAGAAATATGTGTATATATCAATAAATAACATTTCGATATAATTACAATCTATACAATAGATATAAATAAAAAAAACATATCAATTTTTGTTCCTTTAATAACTTATTATTTTGTTTAACGATAGATGGCGTAGATAAATACTTTATTTTCCACGTCCTCACTCTCTTTACAAGAGCGCCCCCTTTAATTTAATTGTTAAAAGTTTATTTTTATAAAGACAATTCTAATTTTGACACAAGTAGCTATTTTAAACGGCTTAGTAGATTTTTTTAAAGCCTATATAAGAAATTGTAAGTTTTCGATACATAAAACCTCTTTTAATTATTTATATACTACAATTCAATCGGTTAAATATTTATTTGTAGTAGTCTTTTCTTCCTCACATACTTTTTCGCTTTTCCCTTTTTCTTAAAAGGTTTAAGCTGTAGGAGAATATATTTACTCTATAGGCCTATAAGTATTACATAAGTTTACTTTATATCTTTCTCAATAAAGTGAATTTAAATCCCTAATTAATTGAGGGCGGCTAGATGAAATAGAAAGAAAAAAAGGGGGATTATAAAGGAGAGATAATGGTATTTATGTTTTCGCTAGAAAATCTAATTTAATAATAAAAGCATAATTTATTTTTAGACTGTCTTAATCGATGAGTAATTTAATTTTAGCATAAGTTACTTTTTTCTTACAATAGACACTTAACATTTGTAAAAGGGATATATTTGATAATTTAACGCCCACTTAATTCTAACTGTATTGAATATATTGTCCGAATTTATATACTATATATATATATATATATATGAGTGTGATCTTTCCTCATTTTGCTTACAAATCAATAGTATTTTTCTTTGAGATAGAATTTATAGACCCTTTATATGCCTATGGAAACAGTACTAATTTGCTTTACTATTTTAGCAGTGCAGTAAGTGTAACAGTAGAAAAAGAAGTAATGATTAAAAGAGAGAAATGAATTGTATATAACAACGATTTGTACCTGAATAAACAAAGATACGCGTTTTTTTTTATATAAAAATAGCATCAGTATGTTAAATGAAGTTGAAATCGATAAATCGTATTAGTACTAGACTTTCAATATTGCATTTGACATTATATCTGATCTATAATGTTTAAACTAGGCATCACTACGTGATCTAGATACATAAGTAGAATAAATAGACAGTAATATCAGTGATGCAAGAACTATTTCACTCTATACTTTCATATCTGCTATAAGAAAAATAAATACTAGAATAGCTGCGTAATCAATATATTCCAAAAACTTTCAGAATATATTTATCAAAACTATTAAATTGATTATCTTCAATATCAGATATACTGTATAAGACGAACATATATAGAAACATTTATTTCACAGTTGTTTAGATAGGATGATAAATTAGTTGGTGTCTTAACCAATATAGTCAGATTTATAGCTTGAAACATATGCACAACGAATAGAAGCGTCTAGATGTTTTGTAAGAAAGTAAATACTTTCAAACAGAGTCACTTCCGAACTGTGATATTGCTATCTAAGAATACGCGTACTCTTATGAGACTATATACAAAATTTATGCTTACATTTGTCTTATAGACTTATACACTTACAATATTAGTCAATACTTGTAAATTCAAGAGTCTATATACACTATTTACTTTACAAAAGGAGGAAATCTTCCCTCGCTTCTTGCCTCATTTTAACTTTTTTTTCTTTTTTCCCTTCAAATAGTTAAAGACTGTTCCTTCATATCTTTCATTCTATCTCTCTTAAACTGTCTTTTCATTTTATAGTTTCAGAATTTGACATCTCCCAAGCCAGAAATTCCTAATCGAATATTTGATGGTCCGTTCTGTTTAGGCGGTGTATTTCTCCACGAGCCGTCAGATGAAATTGACTGGTGAGCGGCTGCCGACGAAAAAAGTAGAGGGCTGGATTGACGACCGCTTAAAGTGACCGTAGATCTTATTTTTGCAACAAAGGGTTGATCGATTTCACTATAATCCTCCGAGGCTGTAGCGGCGTAGTGTCCTTTGCTAGAAGATTTCAAAGCTGAAATCGTCTGTCTAACACTCGAATCCATGAACCAAAATCCCGTTGCAACAGCTGCTGCTGAATGTCCTATCCATCGCATTGTACACCATGCTATCGGATTTAAACAATGTCCCTCACAGAATGGTATCCATACATAGAAAATGTAGAAAGGCGACCATAAGAGTACGTAGACTGCGCATACCGATGCTATTACGCAAACAGAATGACGAACCAGCCTTAGTTCATTACTTAGAACATCCAACCAACAACGATCTTTGTCGCAAGGTGAGGATCTATGATGACAGCATTGTTCAGGAGGATATCTTCTTGCTCGAGTAAATAAACAGACGGCAGAAACGCATCCGAGTAAACTACCAACGCCCGGTATAATGTAGACTAGGCCAGCAGTAGCAAGAGCGTGAACTTTGGTCATTCTTAAGGCGCACACCTGGAAGAAATTCAAAGTTTAACGCCATCTGAGCTTAAAAGTTTAATGAGCGGGGTTTTTTTTAGTTTCGCTAGTTAAGAGCAAGTTTAGTTGGATCAACAGACAAAAAACGTAGAGAAATAGGGTAGCTAATCTGTAAAAAATAATTCCATAGCTTTGCCGATATCGAACGCCTTATCGGTCTTACATTGGCAGCCAAACGGTATTTTTTTACTTTTCTACTGTATAATATATACAATTCACTAATATCGTTATACATATTGATAATACTAATAAGCAGGATAGAATAAGGTGAAAAAATGGGTGCTATTGCTCGTATTAATGCTTTCAAATAGTGGACAAACAAGTCACGACCGCGTAAGATGACACTCGTTTCGGGTCGATGAAAACATTCTATTTGCATCGATTTGCATATACACTATTGTCCACTTTATAGGCGTCTATTTGGCACGGCAAATATTACAATGTTAGATTTATACGAGGATTTATTTATTTATTTTCTTTTCTATTTGAATGTAAAGCGTGAGAATACTGAAAAAATTCCTTACCTCAACTAAAACCGACTCTTCCAATCCCATATTTAGCATAGTAGGCACGGCTCCCAAAACACCAAAGAACAAGGATGTAAATGATAAAATTCCAATTTTCCATCCAGTTATTCGTTTCGGATAGGATAACGGTTGAACAGCGTATACGCATTTATCAACCGTAATCGCCACTAAGGTCCACATGCTAATAGCTTGTAGGCTCACTTTTGCAATTAGCCACCCGCGACAAGCATAATCAGATAATGGCCATTTCTCTGTACTTTCAATAGTGACTGTAAGAGGAAAAGTTGCCAAACCTAAAGAGAGAGTGGAAATACTCCATTGTACAATAAGCCAATGAGACGCTTTCCAAGTTCTTAGCCTTATGGAAGCAATCAGTAAACCTAGTAATATTAGGTGAAGTAAGGCTGTAATCACAGTTAACAGTGATCCGTAGGCTACAACTCCAATTCTTGTAGATCTATTCATCATGAAATGATCATCTTCTGTTTTATTCGTGTAGAAGACGATCCACGTTAACGGACCGCTGCCGCGGAGCGTGTGCGAGAAGCGGGCGGACTGGGAACGTTGCATGCCGCTCGACTCGTTTTATATATACAATCTGTTCTTCTTTAATTCTTCACACTTGAACTTTACTGGCCTTCGCCTATTCGGAGAATGTTTAGTAGCGCGTGAAACGTGCCTCTTCGTATCCTCTTCTTCCAGGAAAATATGAAGGATCTATACGCCTGTGTAAACGTCCGATCAGCAGTTAAAACTTTTCCCCCAATCTTTCGTATATATTCGACAAGCTATTGCATATGCAAATAAGAGGGCTAGTTGGCCAATAGGCATTCACCGGCCAGTATTTCGTTTCGGTCCGCCTTATTTGTATAGTACTGTCGAAAAGAATTTTTTTGAGAGTAAAATCAACATTCACCCTTATTACGTTTCTTATCAAATCTGATCAAAGAAAGCGTCAGTCCTCGATTGTCTTACATTTCTTCTTCGAGTAGATAAACGATATCTATTTAATTATAACTGCCGTTTATTTAATATATAAAATATGAAAGAATAAAAGAAGCACGTTTTATATACAAGAACGACAACTCGTTCAAAATACTTTTTTTTAGACAGCTATATGATTAATAAGTATGATGAAAAAGGCTGGGTGACTAAGCGGGTTTCAGTCAGCTCTCTTGGTGGTCCAGACGGTGCTAGTCAGAGTTTTGTTTGTAAAGTTTTGAATCAAATAGAATTGAATAAACCGTAAATGACGTATGATAGAAAGTGAGAATTTTTTCGAAAACATTATATAACCACTGACTGCGATGTCTAGAGCGAATATACTTATCAATTGCCGACCCATAAAATTGGGTATACGAGCACGTGTGCGAACGATTTTGCAGTTGGATGCGTTTCGACTTGTAGTAAAGAAGGAAAAGAAAGAAGAAGAAGAAGAAGAAGAAGAAGGATTATAACCAAAGTGTATATATATATTTATATATAAAAGCAGATGTATTTGTACAGAACAGATAGAATTAGGTAGGAAAATGCAGTAAACATATCAATAACTCAGTCAATCGGTCTACTTCGTTAGGAAACTGAAATATGCAGTCTGGTCAATAGAAGTTGCAGACCAACGCAGTCAACAGTTCAGATGGCAATAATCTTCTGAAATATTCCATATACCTCAACAATATACTAGTAGTTGACGGATGAATAACTTGGTGGGCCTAACTAATTCGCAAACATCTGTTCCTAGATAGCGCAAACTTTTTACCCCCTTACTTTGTCTGTTCTACTATAAAAGAAAAAAGAGAGAGAAAACTGGACACGAATGTTTTTATTGTAAACGAAATACTCGCCCCAGTCTGTTTTGAAATAGTCGATCCAACTATGTTTTTGCCCCCGATTACCAAATTTTTTCTCTCCAGTTATACTAACTCTTAGAGGTTACAGAACTGTTTGATCCTCTCTCTCTTTCTTTTCCTATATATATTTATTAAATAAATCATAACTAAATATGCATTTATTAGATAGAAAATCTAATTTTTATGCCATTTGCAAATCATCATCTAGTAAAAGTAAAGGATAAATAAAAAAAATGAGGAAAGAAAGGGAGGTCGTTTTATTCTTTCCTTAACAAATAGATGTCATTTGTCATTTCTTTACAAATTTAAGATTTTAACCAGTCAATTTTCGGATTAGGTTCTTTTTTTTCACTTTTCTATTCTTTTTTCTTCTTTGAAAAAAAGGCGGGGAGCTTCTTTTTTTCTAATTGTTCTTTAAAGTATAATCGGCCTGTTGTACCCTACTCTTTGTCGGCAGATCAAATGATTCTTTGACTGACTAGCATGTAGTTTTTCTATTTATTGTAAGACTAATACTTTAATTTTGCCGGATAAGTTGAGTGTAATAGCCATTTTAAGGGGGGAAAAGTACATTTTCAATTATTTACAATTTAAAAGACAGTTATATATGTACATTTATACAAAGAGGTTGAAAATAGAATTATATGTACGTTTCCAGTCTAATAAATCACATGATGGCAACTTTCAAACGGAAGTATATTGGCAAGTAATAACTGATTAATTAGATTTATAATAAAAATACTATTATTCGCTTATAATCAATTACATTTATTATTTTCTGTTGATAGTTTTTTTATTCCCATTGTTTATTCTTTATGTTGTTTTCTTTTTTCAAGTGAATTTATAATTCTTCTTTTCTTCTTTCTTTCTCTCTGTCTATCTCTCTCTATACTATATATACAGTATATCATTTTCTTTCTACTCTCCTATTCAAGTCTCTAAAATCTCTAAGTGTTGTGCGACAGATTAAAACTATTGTAAATAAATTTGTGCACTTAATCAGGAAGGTATGGGAATATTCTAAATAATCAATTACAAGTTAAAGAAATTTGACAAAAAATTAGTTGTTGACAGACAAGATAAGAATGTTATATAGATATACTCAATTGCCAGATACGGATTAAGAAAGATGTTATTGGAATTCCTTAGACTTTCTTGAAGCAGAACAAAGGGAATGGGGATTCCTCGTTGCAATTCCTTGGAAACGGGGGGCGTAATTGCTTCCAAAACAAAGGTCAGGAAGGTAAAGGGATAATTGGGTGCAGAGAGGCAAAAGTGTGCAATCTATCCGTTATATTTTATATATATAGATATGAATAATAGCGGGCTGCTTCTTTTCTTTCTCTTTATCTTCCTCCTATCTTAATGGAAATGAACAGCGGGCGGTGAAAGACGACGACGAATGATAAGACGGATACTCGCGACTTTTATTAAACTGCACTCTAACACTTCATTTCCGTCTATTAATACAAAGGAAAAATACAATACTGACACGAGCGGATATTCTTTTAATACACGTTGGCTACAGCGAACGGACGGTAAATAAAAATAAATCAACTTTAAATGAAAAGTAAACAACTCGCGAGTCGGAGGCAAACATTCGATGCAATCAAGTGTATTACGCAACTGCTAAGTAGGCATTAATTGTGAAAGCCAGAGCCATTTCGCAGATGAAAAGAGGCACGTGATAATTAGGAAGGGATTAACGGTCGGCTTTGAACAGAAGAAGAGAGAGGAAGGCTATTGGGACGTATAATCCGCCTATACTGGCTTTTTTTTTTACTTTTGGAAAGAAAATCCGTGGGAAAGAGAGTGTTGCTCGTCTCCACTGACTCATCACCATTTATGCTTACCCTTTCTTCTAATATCTTGGGAGGAAGAAGCCGTAGGAACGGCGTGATTACATTTTTTGCGCCACACACAGTCACACCATCTGCTCGCGTCGTTAATCATTACTCAAGTAGACGTCCGGGAAACTCATAGCAACGACGTCTCCAGTAAATTACCTTCGAACTTTAAAATAGACGGTGGTGTCACATTGCTAATCTGATGCGGATTCATCACATGTTCTTGTTTACTCTACGTAAGCAATCTCAACCAAGCGTCTCTCCTAATTGGGTATCATGCTACCACCTTCTCTTTTACGCAATGCCACCAACAATTTTACGGTGGGGAAAACGAGATGAAAGAATGAAAGAGACCAAAAGAAAGCAGCGAAAGTCCAGCTACGCGCGTATATTTGCTTTCGGATAAATATTCGAACTTTTTATTTATATGAACGTGCTTTCACGCGGTGGGCAGGTGTAGAGCAAACAATATTGCTTTCCATTCACAATACAGTTTGTAAAATAAAGAAAGGATATAATTAACTATGAGATTTATTAATTTAAAGAAAAAAACATGCAGACATTTTAATCTATTCTATATATACAGTATATGTATAAAGACATTGATAGAGCTTGTAAAACAAGCAGCGTACGGGTACGGTATAGATGGGATGAAAAACACCAGACTTGTAAGTTTTCAGCCATCTATCGGGTTTTAGAACAATTAGGAAGCACAGAGAAACTGGTAGATTGCAGTAATATTTTGACTTTCCAGTTCATCGATAAGGGGACAGAGAGTTCATATTAATAATATTTTACCACCCAAACGACAAACGTTTACAAATAAATGATTTCTAATGAAAGCATTTATGTTATAAAAAGAGATTTATTTGATCGTATCACTAATCCTTAATAGACAGCCCTATTGGTAACTGTCCAGCTAGAGGAATTATAGAGAAATATGTCAGAAACGCCATCTGCAAATAAAAATCAACAAGAAGCGAGGTTACATCACAGAAGAAGTAAGAAATCTTTCCTAATAATATTTAATTATAATAATTGTCGCTAAAACCAATGTGTCACTTACGATTTATTTGAAATAATATCTAAATAAATAATAAATCTAGGAGAAAAGGCAACTTAGCAAGAGAGAGAGACGAAGATAAACAGCGACATAGATAGAGAGGGAAGGAGAGAGAGAGAGAGAGATAAAGAGCGACACAGATAGAGGGGGAAAAGAAAGAGAGGAAGGGGTAGGGGGCAGATCGGAAAAAAGAGACAGATAGAGCGATAGGGAAAGATAGATTGATTGATAGATTGACAGGCCACAGAACGAAATAAGGAAAATGCCAAAAAGAACTACACAATTGCGTAATACATAAAATAAGAATAAATTTAATAACACGTGTTTATACTATTATTTAGTCATCGTCCATATCTCTTATTCAAGAGATGGCGCAATCTATGGCAGATTTTCCACAAGTGAAAGTCATGGTTTCAAATATACTGGTTTTTTCCGGAAACTTTTCCATTCACATCTTTTAAGGTTGTTTACAAGAAACTGTCACAATAAAACGCGTACCGTTCTTAGTTGAACATGTTATTCGTTACGATACTTTTGAACGAAACGTTGCAATGAATGGTGTCAAACCAAGAATAAATAATAAACACAACAGCAATTCTATAAATCGATGGAGTAAAAGCCTTCGATATCCGATTGGTTTGTTATAATAAATATTTTTACTTAGATAGTCTAAAAATATTCTTTTATACGAGTTCCCTATTTGAGCAATATTCATACGGACATATAATAACTTAGTATTTAACACAGCTTCGTCATACTTCAATGATGAGTAATAATGCACTTGAATGAATTGATATGTATTATATATTTAATATAAATTTATATATATATATGTAACCGTGTATATATGTGTGACGGTGTTTATATCGATTAATTTCCAGCATATTCGTTTTATAAGAAGAGGTCTAAAAAGTACGTTTATTCCTATTTCAGCTATGTGCCCAGATGTTACAAACGTTGCGATAGCACCATGCGTTTTAGTCATGGTTGGCTTACCAGCTCGAGGCAAGACCTTTATGGCAAAAAAGTTGACAAGATATTTAAATTGGATTGGTATCAACACCAAAGGTAATTGAATCAACTATTCAATCAGTTTACTATGTTTTGTTTTTTATCTCAACCTCGTATTAAATTTTAATTTACTTAAAGATATATTGATTAAAAATTGCCGTTCATAAGTCGATAGAACTTTACTGCCTTAACCCCCCAATTCCCTCTCCGTTTTACTTCCGCAAAAACAGAAAAAACTCTCCCTTTATCATATTTTATTTAACCAGTTTTTTTTTTTGTAAATGCTTTTATATCAAAATAAAAAAAACGCTGTATAAAAAACCAAAACAATCACCCTCCAGTATTCAATACAAGCGATTATAGGAGAATTTTAATACCTAACTACTCTACTAAGGAGTTTTTTGCCAAAAGGAATCCGGAATTTACAAAGATTAGAGAGTAAGTCTTCAAAATACAATCAAAATTCAAGTCTATAAATATTTTTTAATATAAAATGTAAACTCTTTTTTCTAAATTTGTTATAAACCTTTGAATGATTTTACTTTATTTATTATATTTATCTTACATTCATATAGACTAGATGTTTTTTCTCGCACCTCGCAATAGTATTTATATATTTGTGGAATATTTTACTATTTATAGATTCTTTTTTTTATGAAATAATCTCTGAGGAAATTCGTTTTTGGAACAGAAAACTGAAATAAATCTAAAATAAAACATATAAAAAAAAAACCAAAATTACTCAGCTTAATAGATGCTAGAAAAAAAAGCAAGGGTATTGATTTATATTGATTAACAGAATTCAATGTTGGAGCGTACCGTCGAGATAAGATGGGGGACTACAAGTCTCACGAATTTTTTCGAAATGATAATCCAGATGCAATGGAAAAAAGAGAGTAAGAACCAACCACTTCTTTTCATTCTTTTTAGTTTTTTTATATGTTTTTGTTTAGTTAATGTATGGAGTTAGTAGTTTTGATAAATTTTTACTTTTCAACTATTTTTTAATTCGTAACACTAAAGGAATTTTTTCTTCATAAAGGCAGTGCGCCATGACCGCTCTAAATGATCTCTGCAATTGGCTTGACTCCGGAGGTGAAGTAGGTGTCTTTGACGCTACAAATACTACTCGAGAGAGGCGAAACAAGATACTGCAGCTGTGCACGAATGAACGTTGTTATAAGACTTTCTTTATCGAATCTGTTTGCGATGATCCGACGATAATTGAATCGAACGTTAAGGAAGTAAAGATCTCCTCTCCTGATTATAAAATGATGGATAAAGAGAAAGCTGTAGAAGATTTTCAGAAGCGTATTAACCACTATGAGATATTTTATGAGCCTCTTGATGAAGAACATGATAGACCTTTATCATTTATAAAAATATTTAATCAAGGCGAGAAATTTGTAGTCAACAGAGTCAAAGGTCATGTTCAATCTAGAGCTGTTTATTATTTAATGAATATCCATGTACTTCCGCGAACCATATATATCTCGAGACATGGTGAAACAGAAATGAATTTGGAAGGCCGCATCGGGGGGGATAGCAACATTTCAGAGAATGGGAAAAACTTCGCCGAAAAGCTTAAAGAATACTTAGAAAGAGAAAATATAGAAAATCTAAGAGTTTGGACAAGTCTATTGAAGCGAACAAAGCAGACCGTTGAGAATATAAATGCTCCAAAAGAGCATTGGAAGGCATTGAATGAAATCGATGCTGGAGTCTGTGAGGGAATGACCTACGAAGAGATTGCTACGAGGTACCCGGATGATTTTGCAGCTAGGGATCGCGATAAGTATCATTATCGCTATCCGGGCGGCGAATCTTATCAGGATTTGGTAGCTCGCTTGGAACCCGTTATTATGGAATTAGAACGTCAAGAAAACGTATTGGTCGTTTGTCATCAAGCCGTCGCCAGATGCTTACTTGCTTATTTCATGGATCAGGATTCGGAAAGTTTGCCATACGTGAAAGTACCTCTTCATACCATTATCAAATTAACCCCCATAGCGTATGGTTGTTTGGTTGAGCATATTCCGTTAAATGTAAATGCTGTAGATACTCACAGAGAGAAGCCAAGGGTCGTTTCCAAGGGTCGTTCTTTTGACGAAGCTATTAGAACCGTCCCTGTTCATCCTAAATAGGAGGAAAGCTTCTAAACTTTTTGAAAATAACTTACAGTGTGACTTTTCCGCCTTTATTATGTTAAATATCGATTCTTCTGTGTTTCATATTCAGAGTGGAAAGCACATTAATTATCTGCATGATAAAAATTCATGATTATTCAATACTTACTATATTTGTTCCAGAATTAGTAATGGCAATTAATTATAGCAAAATATATGTAATTCTATCAAGGAGTAGAGCATTTATTACCTTAGAAAAGAATTATTTAGTCCTTCCACCCTTCGAATATCATTATGAATTTACTCATAGAGTATTAATAGGCATAAAATCAATGAAACAAATTGGAATCGTATCAATTCCCTACACGATTTTAATCTTGCAGTTGTCTGGCACTCTTTGAGAAACAAAGATTATAGAAGATCGTTCTAGCGCGAATATTTGCTAGCCGTTAACCTTATTATACAAATTAAGTAAAAAAAGAATTTAAAAATTAATTTCATAATCGAAATATTTAAAGTTTCCAGCTTATCAATTAAGTATATTTCTCTCTTTTTTCTTTCATTTCCCCCTTTTAATCTTTTACCTATTGCACACCATTAAGTATACATAAGTTCCTGGCTTGAATTGGTTATTTTCTTTTTACTAGTTAACTTAATAAATAATTGACTATTCCTCTCTATTTCATGTAATTTACAAGTGAATGTTACAACTTTATCGTGCAGAGTTAGATATTCTTCTCCCTTTCTATTTTACTATTTAATTCGATTACATATAGAGATCACATATTGTCTTGTATAACTTGAGAAAAGATGTATACGTCTTTATACTAAAACTGAGGCATATTGCAAAACTCCCATAATACCCGATTATCCTTATTTTGCGATTTATTCTATTTGAACATTCGTCTTCTATTTCAGATTTGAGGCTTCATTGTAGTATTCTATAAGCCGAACTTCTAAAGGCTGAACATGAGCTGCTTTAGTATAAATACTTGATCTTCGTAATTGAATCCTGTTCGTCAATGATCTAACGTTGTTCTTTTTCACTTCTAAGGTTTTTTCCAGTTCTTTTATTCATTTTTCCGCACTAAAAGCACTAGATTTATTTGGGTTTACAGGTTCTTTTTTGATGGTTAAGCGTCTCTATTTGCTGACACACCAGAATTCGGATATTCATTTCCTGCACAATCGATGCTCCAAAGAACCTATTGTACTTTTAAAATAATAATTTGAAGTCGATACAGCTTCACTCGATTCTTTTAAGCTGACACTAACGCCTGAAATGTCTAAATCTAGTTCACTTTTACAAAGTTATTCCTTCCTTCCTTAGCTCTGTCGCAAAAGAATGTGGTGGTTTCTGAATCGGAGGGAAGCTTAATTATTTTTCCATTATACTTTTTATTGTCTTTATATGTCGCTTCAAGTGCTAAACACCCACGCAATTATCATTCTTCTCAAGAGCTTCTTTGAGTTTTATGTCAACTATTTCACTTGTTCTATCAATAATTTCTTTTCTGTTTGACAGTCTTTCAAATCATTCGCTGATTGTAGTAATTGAAATTCTAGTTCTCTTCTGCCTCTGACTTCTGATTGTAATTGCTCTAAGGAATGGTTATGTGGCTACAACTATAAGTTCTTGGAACACTATTGTTCACGAAAATCTTCTATTTCACCCCTGACTTTGCCCAATTTCTCGGTCATTGCTTCCTTTTTCCTTCTGGCTGTAGGTCAAATCATTAATGAAATCGTTCCGAATGTTCTCAAGCGTATGCTAAAATTTTATTCATTCTTAGTTTAAAGTTCCTCTTTATTCACTATATCATCCTTTCTTTTGAGGTTGTTTTTTCCACTTGTATTCCTCATCGCTACGAGCCCTAATTATTTCCACTTTGCACCTGTCTTCTTTCAACTAAACCTCTAATCTTCAGTGTCTTATTCTAACATCACTTGTTTTTCTGTTTACTTATACGTTGTACAATAGTCTGAATATCTTCCCATGTTCATATTTAAGTTTTCTCGTTTCTATTGATGAGAAGAAACATGATTCCTTTAATCGAGTTATATAACTGTATGTTCATTTAATTTCATTAAACCTCTTTCCAATTCATTAAATAGATTGTATAGAATCATTTCCAAGCAGCATTCCTCTTCGTTAACTTTTTGAAGGCTTTAGTTAAGTATCTCTCTAACTCTTGTAGCAACCTTCGATAAACTGCAGACTAGGCCGAAAGAGTCACTTGTTGTCCTCGAAACTATGCTATTTTTTTTATTGAACGTCGGTTGTTACTGTCCTCTAATGTCGGAGAATTTCTGCTAACTTCGACTTGCATACACTCAATTAAATCTATCAAATGTTCACTATTTCGCTCCAAGGCCAATTTGTTCGCTTCACATTTATCGAGAATCGATCGTATTTTATCTAAATCGCATTTTAAATTACAATTCTCTTTAGTCTTCGATTTATTCTCTTGCAAGATCTTCTCAATATCCTGTCTGCTCGTCATATTTTCCTCTACCATTAAATTAAGCTTGGTGTTCATAACCTGAAAATCCGATTTAGCAGTTCCTATCGTATTAGCAGGATTGTGTGACTTTTTTGTCTTTGATCAGCAATTTTTTCCATCGAAACTAAGTTCCATTGTCATATTTTACGAATTTCAACGGAATCTCTCTAATATCTTTAGCTCCTATAATCTTATTCTTAAAATCTTTATTTAGCTTTTTTCGAGTCAGTTTCTTTTTAAGTGCGTTTGATTTACTATTAAAATCTTTCAAAAAAGTGGCAATTCATATTCTTAACTTTGCTTACTTGCTTTTTACTCTTTTTCATTTCACTGCTTAATTATATTCATCAGTTTAATCTTTTCAAAGCATCACTTTTTATAGCTTTCTATCCAGTTCCGTGTTTTGTTTGGAAATCGTGACTAAATCTTGACTAGACATTTTTACTTCGTTATATAAAACTCATTCTCAACTTGTAGATATCTGTTTCTTATTTCAATCCTCAGTATTGATTTCGTATGTTACTTAACTTGCTGGAAACTTACCGTAAAGTTTTTACGTAGTCATCAACTTGTGCAAATTAGCCGTTTCAGATATTTCTAAGTGTATTTTTGTAGTCATTAGCTAAAAATATCCATTAATTTATCATTTGCTTTAATAAATTTTCATAGTATTCCAATTATAAAAATCGGAAATAGACTTGTACAAATTAGTCAACATAATTGAGCGATGTTACCTTATATTTTGTTGGGTTTCTTCCAAGAATATCGACGCCTCCGTACGTAATACTATCATTCTACGTTTGATGCCATTCTTTAAAACTACTAATTCGTCCTTCAAATAACTGAAACTTGTCACTAATTCTTCTATTTTTAAACGAATCTTGAAATTTACACTAAATTCAGTCTAAAAATGGAATTTGTGGAAATTTGTACAACTTCTTTCAGATTTATAGCGATCGAATTTTTCACCTCTATGTCCTCTGCGGATAGATCCCCGAAGAATTGATCCACTAAAATCGAAAGTCGCAAGTCTATATCCTTTCCAACGATATATGTAATAGCGTCACATACTTGAGAATAAAGACTAATAAATGACTTCTCAGTATGAGCTTTTAATTTCATCTGCAATGAATTAGGCCTTGAAACTGCCTTCTTTCATTTTTTTTATCAATTCAGAGAAATAGTGAGATAATTCTCTTATAAGTCGAGTCGAGCCAAAACTTAGTCAATAATTTATAAATATCTATTGTCTTTTCCATCGAAATTCTCTGCTAATCTTTTTTTTTCAACACCTTCTAATTGATTTTCTTTTAAATTACAACTTTTAGTTTATTATTACTACTTTCTTCATCGGAAATTTGCTTATTCGCTTCAAACTTAATTGAGGAAGCTTCCGAACAGGCTGCTAGCAAATAGACTTTATATTTTCATTGTATGAAATTCGTCAAATGTATATTATAGGCCTACCAAGCTTCTTTTTAAAAGATAATACTATCTTTGGTTTCCGAAGTCATTGGCAATAATCACCTATGATCCTACAAGGAATTCCACAGCTCCACTAGATACTGATAGACGCAATCGTAATCGCCTTCAGAGCTTTAACGGTCAAGGTTATTAAAATCCTATTCTCTTTAGTTTTTTTTGGTTTTTTAAAGGAAAAGAGCGGAAATATTCAAACTGGACTGACAAAAAGGCATGTCAAATCCTTTACCGAGCAATGCAAATTTACATAACAATTCTCGGACAATAAACACAATGAATTTTTTAGTATATGGACACTAGATGACGCGTTAGTTTGTCTGCAACGAAGGGCGGCGTTTCCCTGATATGCCTCCCCATTTTTTACACTGTTATAAATAGGCCATTTCAAAGACTAAGCCTTTTGCAGTTGGAAAAAATATATACATTTATAATTATTCTTTTAAGACAATTTTTTTACTATCATCTACAAATATAGAAATAGTAAAAGAGATGCTCTAGTGCAATGTAAGAACGCATGCGGCGTTCTGACAAGCAAAAATCAATAATTGGCAGCCTAGCCGGTGACGTCATACGTGGATAGCAAGATGGCGGCAATTGGACGACACGAAAGCGACTAGTGCTGGTTTTTTTGCCGCGTTAGTGTTCTTTAATGGATTAACGTCGGAGGAGGATATGCGCGTTTCTCCCGCACGCGTTTAGTTTATACCTGAGATGTCTTTGTTAACCGTATGTGGTAAGTCTTGGTGATTTTAGTGCTTGTTTCTTCATCGATCTTTAAATTTTCATTTGATGATAACCCCCGCTTTTTTCTACCCTGCAATAGTGAAAAAGGCCAGGCTAACTGGACCCGATGGTTGGTATCTTATGATTTTATGTTGTACAAATATAAGGATAAATTTTTAAATATATAAAGGAAACGTAGATGGATATATTAGTTTGTATTTACATTTATATATATTTATATGCTAAATATATAACATTAAAAGAAACAAACCTAAGTACAAATATATATATATATATATATATTCTTTTTATTATTCAAATGTATATATATATATATATATATATACATTTATTATAAATATGTATTATATAATATATTAGTATATATATATATATTTATATATATGTACGAATAAGTAAATCATGTAGATTTAATGTTTAGAAATGTTCTTTTACTTTGTATATACACATAAATTGATAGATTGAAGGTATAGTCTATGTTTATTTATGTGTATATACAAACCAAACTTTTAATTGATCATTCAACAAAACACCTCTCTCTCGTCATATTATCTTTAATCGCAGCGGCAATTGCAGAAAAATTTCATACATACGTCACGCTTAAGCTGCAAAATGTAAAATCGACGACTGTAGCGGTCAGGGGGAACAACCCCAGTTGGGAACAGGATTTCTTATTGTAAGTATATTCCCTTTACCAGATACAGCTACTTTTTCCTATTAAGAATTTAAAAAGGATAAACATGTGTTTAAAAAAGGTATGGAAGAAAAAAGTATTGATAATTTTATAAGAATTTTTCCCGCTATTAGTTTAATAATATGTACGGAGGAGGGCGCAAACGATTAGTGCAAATTGCACGTCACGCTATCGCTTGCATATATAGTAGGTGCTTCATCTCTTCCTAAGAAAGGAAATGATATATCAGACCTTATAAAAACGCAAGAAAAAGATGAAAAGCGTCGTCGATTGCATATGACTCAAGCGTCAAGTGACTTATACGCCGACTTATATATAATGTATACGTATGCCTCTTGCAAAGCGTATATCCAGCGGACGATGGTTCTGCTGCTTGATTGATTATAGACGCGTAACAAAGTGAATAACGATTTCTAACGATCCTTTTAAATACCCTACCGATACTTACTTATTGCAACAATCGACTACTAGCGAGCGCCTCGTTTATAATTATACATTATGTAAACAAGCGACGCTTTATGTATAACGGCAGCCTTCGAAATTCCCTCATTGTCTACCGAAAAATCGTCAATTATTTATGAACATACGGCGTCGTTCATCATTTCCGGCGATCTATAACGTTTCTAGGCCGAAACGATTAATCGAAGCCGTAAGACGGCGCTTTTATTAGCTTCTGATTATAATTCATCGAATTTATTTTTGTGTTTTTTCTTCTCGAGAGAACTATTTTTAAAAATAGGGTTAAACTAGTATGCCTTTAATTTGAACTACCAGTATACTTATTATATACTTCAAGGATTACTCATACTATATATAAATGTACTTAATCACACATTTCTATACAAAAGCATACTATATATATCTATATATATATATATACACTATATATATATATATATATTTTCATAACAGTCCTAAATGACCATCTTTTAACACGACGTTAAGAACATTTGCAGTCTCCGCCGTCACTGTCGTCCAAGATTAATGTCCTTATCTGCAAATGCGTCTTTGCAAAGAGTATTAGCGCGTTTTTCTTTCTATAGTCCTCCTTTTGATATAATATCTCCTATCTATAACATAAAAAAAATTCCAGACATCACTAATTTACACAGACATACATTTATGCATATTTGCATACATATACGTGCATATAATATGCTAGACAAATTGACTGATAGAAATAACATAACGACAACGCTACAAATAAATAGAGCTCATTAAGATAAGTATATTAAATATTTACTGATGGCTACCCTAGTAGTGCTCTTTGGTTCTAAATATCTTTCTTTTGTTCTCTTTTTATTATTACATCTGTAGCGTCTAAATGAGTCCATCTTTGGTATCTATATCTTTTTTCAAAGTAAGAATCTCTTCTTCCTCAGCGTCCGTTTACTGCACTTTCTCACCCTCTGTCATTTATTCCACCCACACCGCCCATACAAACGTTTCATTGGTTATCGATAATTTTAAAGAGTTTCAAGTCCTAGTTTAATGGATCATATATTATGTATGAATTGGAATGAAGCACCTATATAATTTTTTTTCAATATTGAACGGTAGAAAGGTTAAGGTCGAGGTATCAGTAAACATTTATTTACCAGGAAAGAGATGAAAAATGTAGTACATATGCATTAACATATTTACATTGTGGGGGTCCTTTATTTACTAGATATAATAATTTTATTTTCTAATAAATTAGGACGTTTTCTCCGAAATTACAAAACTCTTTTAAAAATATGAATGCATTAAATATTTTCCTCTGAATTATTTATTTCATCTTTTTAATGAAAAAAAATATGTATATAATCTACATATTTTACTTTTCAAATATATTTTCGACAATTTTACTTATATATGCAAACTAGTCTGATCATTTTCTGCCTCCTCCGGGGCATCTCTATGCCCGCTTGACGTACATTTTCCCTCTCATTTCCAATAATGTAATAAACAACACAGCGAATTGATGCGGTTGGATACTGGTCTGATCATCGAACTTTGGAATAAAGGAATGTTCTGGGACAGTCTAATCGGAACGCATTGGCTGCCTTTAATGGGTGTACGGCATTCAAATCATGTACGAGTTTTTTGTCAATATACATGTCTTCTTTTGCCTTCTAAAATTTATTCAAAGTCCTTTCAAACTTTTTTCTTCTTATATGAAACAGGAAGGCGCTGGGAAATGGTTATCTCTCGATAGCGATTTAATCATGAAAAATGGTGAAGTAATCGGTACTCAAACTCCGACCGGCCATAGCGTCCTGATAGATGTCAGATTCGAATTGCCTTGCGGTTAGTACGTATAGACCAACGCTCCTATAAAACGCTTCGTCAATAAAGTTAATTTAAGCTGAATGCGCCTTTTTGTTCATCGCAGTCGATACAATCCCGGCTTACGCGTTTTTCTCTTCTTTCCAATTTTGTATTTTACTCACACATTACTCGATTTATAGGTCGCCGCCTTTCCCCTTTTTCTTATATTTTATACTTTTTTCCCATATAGTATCCCTTTATGACATCCATATTAGAAATGTATATTTTAAATGCGTTTATTAAATACTATAGCGACGCAAATTTTTAACTAAAAATATATCTATTACATTGTGTTTTTCGTGTTTTTTCGCTATTTTTGTGTCGTGCTTATCGTACACTGTAAACAGAATTCGTTAGATGTATATATATATATATATATATATATATATATATATATATATTCTCATAGCTATATTTAGGCTATTGATGCTTTCTTTACTCCTTTTCAATCGTCTTCAGCTTCTTTCTAGTACTATCATAACGTACGGTCAGCTTTCTATATCTTGATTTAAAAAGAAATCGATTTTTCCCTTCACAATAAGCAATCATTTAGGAAATTCAGTTGCCTCCCTCTCGTTCTATTGCGCTCTCTCCTGTCTTTCTTCCCTATACCGCCCCCACTTTCCTTCTTTTTCTTCCTCTACTTGCACATCAGTGATATTATATAAATATATAAAGTATGATACCACTTTATTAGCTGCGACGAAATCTCTTTTTGCTTAACAGATATCCCCGAAGCGGAAGCGGCCGAATTGCAGAACAAATTGGAAGTATTAAACGGAATAATGGATGAAGAGATGCTAACGCTTCAAGAACAACAACGAAAGGCCACCTATTCGCAATGTACGTATTACGTAGGCGTTTTGTACGTAAAGTATTAAAAATCCCAGTATGCGATTACCATCGTTTCTTGATTGATGCGATCGTCTGATGTCTCTCTTTTAAATCATCTTCGTTCCCAGTTTGCTTTCCTCCAGCTACTTCTTGTTTTAAATCACGTGATATTTGTAAACGTTGCAGCAGGGATGAGTGAAGATTCCGATTACACATCAGACGTCAACTATCCTCTTCAGCATCAGTATAATGCCAGTGTCCATCAGTATGGTGGAGTGGCTAGAAATGAACAATGGCGAATGGTTAGGCAGGATACAATTGATCAAAGAGATTATTATCCCCGATCGTCCGACCTTGAAAACCATGTCGCTCCCGAATATGAGCAACACTATGAAAAAGGTTATGAAAGAGGATGCTCAATTGAGCAATCTTTCTCCCAAGAATATGATGATTATCAGCCATCTTCGCAACCTGTACATTCGCATCAACCGCTTCATCACCGACAAAAGCCGTCATCACAAAGATATCCTCAGTTAGAATCATTCGACTCTTATGACCGTTCAGCCTCGTACGACCAGGATTATTATAATCCGGAATCGGACTCCGAACCACTCTACTATAATAGTCGACCAAAAGAGCAGCACTTGAACGGACACAGGTAGCCTATCCTTGTGATTTATTTTTCTATTAATTAAGATATGAGAGTCACTCAAATGTTTAATTGCCTAATTTGTTTTTAAATATTTCTATAGACTGCCTAGGCAATACGATTCGTGGGAAGAACAAACAGAAGATGACAGGTAATTATCGGTTGGTTTGCATATTTCATCGAGCATGCTCGATGCTAGTTTTCGCTTGAAGAGTTTCCACATTTTTCGCTTTTCGTTTGATCTGGGAGTGCCACGTCTATCCTTTCCGTTTTTTTTCATTCCGCAGATATTACGGAAGTAACTACGATTATCAATGGCAACCTAGCGAAGAATCTTACGACGACTATGAATACAATCGCTACGATCGGTCGGTTTTCTTTCCTATTTTTATATTGCCAGTTTTTATCTTTTGTTTGTATTGCAAATTATCATTTATTACTATCAATTATCATCTTAGCAATTACAATGATTAGTTATCGTGTGTTACGGGTGACGATTGTTTCATTATATTCTGGGCGTCGCGATTCATGATCGATTTTCGCCTACGTATGTAGATTAACAAAAGAATATAATGGAAATATACAGTAAAGTAAATATAATAAAGAAAATGATATGTACTATATATTATATAGTATGTATCTTAAATTCTGCCTATATGCAATATATATACAATATAAACATATAAATATATATAATAATTATGTATATACATATTTATATTATATAATGTATATTATCTTTTAACTTTCAAGACAATAAAAAACCACGTTTAATACTTTATATATAACGTATCAAACATTTCCAACGGAACCCTTTTTTTTATCTCTCTGTCTCTCTTTAGTAGATCGACTCACGGATGGGATACTGATGACGTCAGCGTAATAGAACAGCAAAATAGCACTAGACGACCTTCGTGGGATGTAAAAATGGTAGAAGACGACAAAAGGTAATTGAATCTCTTTTGCTACATTTTTAACTATTATTTATATATATATTAGATAAATTTCTTATGCTTTTGCGAAAGTATATAAAGTATATACCCAATTATAAGATAAAGTATATACTATATATATGAAAATGTTCTTTTTATCTACTTTTCTTATTTATCGTCTTTATTCTTTTGCTTGCACAATACTTTTTTCCTTTTTTTTGACGTTTTTTTTCTCTTTGTTTCTTCTACTATTGCATCAGATGGCAGAATGGAAGGCAATCTTCATGGGAGCCAGATGAGTGTTATCAACCGTCCAACAGGTATTTTAGCTTTTTCGAGATGAGTGAGCTCTATCTTTCCTCTATTCTATTCTTACGTTTCTCCGTTAAATAGAGAAGTGATATATAGGTTTCTATTATTTATTTAGAGACAAGAAAAGTTTTAAGATGATAACTGTTCCAGATCAGGCTTAGCTTTAATTAGTAGGAATAAATATTATCATAAATAGCAATGAGGCTAAGACGTCGAAAGAATGGTTGTTTTAATAACAATTATTATATTATTTATCTATAAATAAGTAAATACACTGATTTCCATCGAGGCAGAAAATAAGTTGACATACCTCTTATTTAATAAAATTTCATCTCCACAAGCAGAAAGTTGATCCTTATATATGGCTGATTAGCAATTCTTTAGGTTATTGCCTTTGAACTATTCCTTTGTATTTAATTGAAAGTATTGAAATGGCTATTTGTACGATAAAGAAATTGTTGCAAAGACTAAAAACATATACTGTACTATTCTCTCTTTTTTCTTTTTTAACCATTAAAAGTAGCAGTTATTGCCTCCAATCTTTAAACCGATAATAGATTTTATATTTACATATATAAAGTTATTAATTCAAGGGAATAGAAGTTATTGTTAGTAATAGAAAGTTTTATTAAGTAGAATTTATTGTCTCTGACACTGAGGGGAGATTCATATTGTATATTTATGTATAAATATTATATAAATAAAATTGTAAGAGAGATTGAGCTGAACTTAAGAAAATATAAACAGCGAACGACAATCCGAGTACGGACATCATTGGGCTAGGTCATCTAACCAGTCAGTTACCAGCACGCGGTACAGGTAAGTTTTGTTTATAGCATGACGTTGGCATCTAGAAACTTAAAACTTTATCTCTATTTAGTTTTTATTTAACTATATTTTTCACGCTTTCTTCTAAAAACAGAACATCAATATTTCTCTGTATGCTTTTTTTTTACACGTTTAAATATACAGTATAAAAGTATATATAGAATAATTATTATGCAAATTTTTTAATTATATACTGTATATGCACTGAATTCGCCCCACTGGAAAAAATCATTCTTGACCTCTAACTCTTTCCTTACATAAATTGTTAAGAGTATTTTTTATTCGGTGAAAAATAGTGGATTAACATAATTTAAGTTAGTTATAGTGAATACATATATATGGTATTTATTTATTAATAGCTAAATGGATGAACGTAGGACAATAGAAATTGATGATACGTGTACAAAAGAAACGATAAAATGTATAAAGAATAAATTTGAGTACTTGTTTATATGTAACTAGAATTATATAGTACTTTTATAGCGATGGTAATTATTTTAAATACTGTCAACAGAAGACTGTACCAAATTTCAGTCATATATTAGGAATTTTGTTATTTGATCCTTGTATTTACTAAAACTTTAAATATGAGTCAACAACTGAAATGCAACCTTTATTAGTCTTCTAAACAACTTACATGTACCCGTTTCCAAACCATTGCATCCTTCGTTCAACAGTAGTTGATGATCTAGTTTCAGACTAAAGAAACCAATTGGAAAAAAATAGCAAGAAAACCTTAACCGAGAAATCTCATAATATGCAAATTATAAAAGAATCTTCTGTGTTAAAAACAGCAACAATGAAGCGTAAAAATAAATGAGAGCTATTTGAAAATTAATAATTGCTACCTTACATTGTAACAAAGTTCGATGGCCTTAATTAGTTTCATAAAGTAGGCTACACAATAATATGTAATTTTTTCAGCGAATAGAAAAATAAATATTATTCAATTACAATTAATTTGTCATTAATTTCTTTTTTTTTGTAATTAATTGACCAAATCCGCCAAAAGAAACACCTCATTAGAGAATATAAAAGACAAATAGAAAATATACAGATGTTGATGTTTTTGTTTGTAGTTTTTTTGCTCGCAAAATGCATGGCTATAAATACTATAAATAAAACAATTGTCATAGTAGGAAAAGAGGCATATGCTAGATTATTTTCTACATTTTACTTTGTGTCCCAGGAAACAAGCTGGTGCTTGGCAACGACCAGAAGACGTTGATTATGAAGAGGCTTTGACCAGCACTGAAAAACAGTAGGTGTCGCTCAACAAATGACAAAAATATTGTACTATTGGCCTATATAGAATTACTATTTTTCGACTATATGCCTATAACATTATTATTGTTTATAGTGACTATTCCACGGCACCGGCTTCTTGGCCTGTCGACGATCCGGAGCCAACGCCTTATGAGTCGAGCGCCGATCGCTACGCAGATCAAGTTGAATATAGGTATTATTAGAATCATCAAAAATATTAGTCTTTTTTTATACCAATACTTTTTTTTACATTTGCAAAATCGTAGCTCCGAAATGCCGCAATACGGAAACGATTTAAGCAGACAAAGCACACAAGATTTTAGCCCTCACGATAGTAAAATTTCCTCGGCAAATATCAGTCGACAGTCAACAGATTACCAAAGTGATTTAACTGCGGATTTCGAGCCAAATGCTGATATTCCTTCTCCTGCAAAAATTCGGTGGATTAATGCCTTCAATAAAATTTGCGCCAAACTTAATCAGGTATGCTAAAAAGCTTCGATTTTTTTCGTCCTATTCGTTTTAACAAATTTAACGGGTTACAGGAGGGAAGAGAAGGTCGACGGGCTGCAGAACATAATGCCTTTTATAATTCAATCGATAGTATGCCCGAAATTAAGCCTAGAAGAAAATCTATTCCGCTTGTCAGCGATTTGGTAAGTAATAAGGGGTTTTCCATACAGGTTCTTTTCTTTCATTAAAGATAAAAAAATCAATTAAGTCTTGATTTACTTTAAGTAATTATGATCTTTAAAGCGTAGTTAAATTTCTTAATGTATATATTGTATGGATATAAATATTTACCGACAAAGATAAACATAATTTACATGGTTTTTACATAGTAATATGTCTTTTTTTTATGTAAACAATATAAATCACAAGCAAATTTGATTTTTATACTGCAAATCATAATCTTAAAAGTCAGTTTAAAATGATTTTTTATATAAATACTACAATAATTCCCAATTCTATCTTATAAATATACTGTATATGTATATATGTATATATGTATATTGCATTCTTAAACATAAATATTAGTATATACATCGTTCAATTTGTTATTCAACAGGTGATCAAGGTACATTTTTGTTTTAGCATTTGCCTTTTCTAATGCTTTTATCCTATTATCTATAAAAGACCTATTAACAAAAACCTTTTCAAAATGCATGTTGCATATGTTAGCTTCTTAGATACTTGACTAAATTTTCTATTGATATAAAATGCTCATTAATTTAAATATTTAGTTATGGGCTGCTACCTTATTAATTTTTTTATCCTAATTACTTATATCCTTGAGAATGATTCTGCATGTAAACTTTTCTCTTCTTTCAAGTTCAATTTTCATAAAGTCCTCTCATGTATAAAAATGACTATTCGATTAACAGATATAATAGAGTATATGCATAAATCTATACTTTGTATAATAAAAATATATTTATGTATGGATGCATACACTAAACTTTATTATATTTGTAAGTCATAGCCAAAAGTTTTTCAATGAATATTCTATTAAATAATTGAATGTTCAAGGAGATTTTTTCATATCTATTATCTGAATTGCATGCAAAATAAAAGGTAGTGGTATATTTAATGAAAAAAAAAAAGCGAGAAAATACATTAATTTTCTTGATATATTAACTATTTTTAAATATATAATTATTCTTTATATATATACTATATATAAATTTATATATATATATATATATATATTAATTATTTTTAATATATTCTATATTCCAACCTGTCTACATCAATTATCAGGTCTTTCAAAAGGTTTGTTTCATTTTTTTTACTCTAAAGACATTTCCTTCTTTACGTACTTCTTTAGACCAAGAAAAACATTAAGTGGCACTATAAAATCGTTCATAGGTTTCTACTATTATGATGATGAACTCTTAAAAATTTTGTCTTCTTTCTAAATCTAAAGGCTTTGATATGTAAATAAATATTTGCTTCTAAATTACCGGATTTATTCTAATGGTAAACAATTAAATCTGCAATACGTGACTTCCTATTGTCGAATAGTATTGCATTTTTTCATGTCCCATAGATTACTTACATTAACAGTATAGGCCTGTAAGTGATAAATTGCCATGTTTTTTTTCTGAAATGTCACTATCTAAGGTTATTTATTCTTAAATTCTATAGATTTAATTTTCTCTCTAAAGACAAACTTCAATATATTTTCTTGTACTTTAATTCAATGTGGATTTATTTTTACTCAGCCACTAAAAGAATGGCTATTTATAAGGATTTTCATTGGCTGATAAAAAATAGGTCAAAATCTCGAGAAAAAAAAGCAATAAGATAATTTATCATTTCTTCCTTAAAGAAAATTAAAATATTTTAGGATGAGTTGGCTTTTTATTAGAGATATTAAAGCAAAAAGAGAGGGAAAAAAGAAGACATGTTTTTTCTTTATCGTTACTTTCATTCTTTATTTATTCTAGATGTATTTTATATTTAGACTTACTTTTAAAGGCATAATACTTCCTTAACTTTACAAACTTTCTTTATCTTCTTAGTTAAACAATATCTCTTTTATTCTAAACAAACTGTAAAAATTTTTCTTCATTATACTACTTTATTTAATATAGAAAAATACATAAAAAATGAGAAAAATGTTTTAAATTATATTAGAATATAACTGAATAATAAAAAAATATATAATTTCTATTTTAATAGTCGATGGCAGCATCGAAACGAAATGCTGGTGTTCCATCGTCGTTTGCTGGTCGGGCTTCCTTAATGGATGAAGAGCTGGTTTGCATCCATACATTTATGTATTTTTAGAGCTATCGTCTAAAAAGAAACCTATTTCTCTTTTTAAAATAGAAAATGCATGTCTACAAGAAAGCCCTTCAAGCCCTCATCTATCCGATTTCGTCCACCACCCCCCATAATTTTCGTCCGTGGTCAGCTCACAAACCAACATACTGTTTTGAATGCGAAGGTTTATTATGGGGAGTAGCTAGACAAGGTTTACGTTGTGCCGAGTGCGGCGTCAAGTGCCATGTAAAATGTAAAGACTTGTTGAACGCCGACTGCTTACAGAGTTAGTTTAATTTTTAAAAAATCGAAAGTCTTAAATATCACGAATATTATTTTCTTAGGAGCCGCGGAGAAAAGTTCAAAACACGGTGCTGAAGACAAAGCAGCAGACATAATAACGGCTATGAAAGATAGAATGAAAATTAGAGAAAGGAACAAACCGGATATTTTCGAACTAATAAGGTCTGTTGGAGGAGAAGCTGCCTACTTAACGATGACGTTATTTTAACATTTCCTCGAAATTATTTCAGACAAGTATTCCAAGTAGACAAAAAGAGCCATGCTGGTCATATGAAAGCCGTTAAACAGAGCGTTCTTGATGGAACTTCAAAATGGTCGGCTAAACTAGCGATTACAGGTTTGACATCCATTACGAAAAATAGTTCTATATTACCCAACCCATTCTTTCTATTCAGTAAACTTTTTAAACTGTTCGCAATGACTTTACAGATGATTTACATTCCCTTCGACGTTTTCCTATATTTTTCTCATTTATCTTTCATGAAAATTTCACCCCTATAAATATGTTGTCAGACCAATTATTGTTAATGATCAAATTTTTTTTCTGTCAGTTATATGTGCTCAGGGCCTTATCGGTAAAGATAAAACTGGGACAAGCGATCCATACGTAACAGTTCAAGTTGGGAAATTGAAAAAGCGAACAAATACTGTACAACAAGAATTGAACCCGGTTTGGAACGAAAAGTTTTATTTGTAAGTACTTTATTCAATACAAGTGTATCTTGAATAAAAGGATAAGAAACGTTAATACCTTTTAATCTCTCTTTATTTTAATCCAGCGAATGCCATAATTCATCGGATAGGATTAAAGTACGAGTATGGTGAGACTTTTATTACAATTATATGAATATACATATATACTAATATATATATATATATATATATGTATATATGTATGCAAAAAATGCGGAACTTATATACAGTATATAGACAAATATAAATATCTAGACATTCATATTTATTTCAATATAGTGTAGATATTTTTAGATCTATTTTTAGATCTATAAAATATCAAATAGTATAAATAGTATATAGAGATTTATTTATACATCGAAAGTATATACTGTATATGATCAAAATATAGACATTTACATAAAAATTTCATCCTGTCCATGTATTTAAAACCTTGGAAATACTAATAATTCTAAAAAAAGGATTGGGAGATCATTTATTTACATCTTTCCGCACTATTTCCAGCCAAAAAAAGAATTATAATTATATAGCCTTATAGATGATATATCTCTGGGTGAAGGGAGGAAGGTGGAGGCAGTTTTTGTTAAGATAAACTTTTTTTTTTAATCTCTTCATATCGCGGTTTAGGGATGAAGATAACGATTTGAAATCTAAACTACGACAAAAATTAACAAGAGAATCTGACGATTTTCTTGGTCAGACGATTATCGAGGTTCGAACCTTATCGGGCGAAATGGACGTCTGGTATAATTTAGGTGGGTGGTGTACCACAAAACAGTACAGTGACGTCATAGTGTCGTCTTATTAACATCTCCCAACGTCGTATCAACTAACAATGAACTTTTTAAAAACAAATACGGACACAATGTCTCTTTTAACCGAATTCCGCTTTGTGCTTTTCTGTATTTGTTGTACAGCCGTTGTAGGACATGATTCTTTTCAGGGATGAGGATAACGACCTCCGTTCGAAAGTGAGGTCAAAATTAACGCGCGAAAGCGATGACTTTTTAGGGCAAACTATCATAGAAGTTCGCACTCTTTCTGGTGAAATGGATGTTTGGTATAATTTAGGTTTGTCGGGTTTTTATTTTGTTAGTTTTATTTCAGCCCTAAAATTCGGACTGACGTCAATGCTATAAATCTCTGCTTATTATTACTATTATCATTATTATTTATTTCCTGCTTTTATTTCGAGCTTCATCATTACGCTTTTTCTTTGTTGAGTTTTTTTTATGTTTTATCTATTTTCCTTTGCATGAATAGACGACTCGTATACTGTATTAGAATAATGCACCAAAGCTTTTTTATATTATATTGTTTGTTAGACTATTTTTAGAATAAGATTAACGAAGGTTTCCAATAGTATCATCTTAAAAAATAACTTTTATATTTTCACTATATTAAACTTTTAAATTTAAATGACATAGATGATAAAAGTCAAATAGATATAATGCCTTCGTTAACCTGTGAAACTATACTTTCGTTTTTTGACTTATTGCCTTTAGACAGTAGATATTTGTGTATTTGTTTTCAAATAGTAGTATCAGATATCTGTTAATTTAATAATTATTAATTAAATAACTTTTTATCTTCATTGCATGATATTTCGATTACTCAATTTTACATTCATCTACTATACAGAGAAGAGAACCGATAAATCTGCAGTATCAGGAGCCATTCGCTTGCACATCAGCGTTCAAATAAAGGGAGAGGAGACTGTCGCTCCTTACCACTTGCAATATACGTGCCTGCACGAAAATCTCTTTCATTACTTGACAGAACAGCAGGAAGGGAAAGAGAAAGGCAAGGTAAAACTGCCTAAAGCTAAGGGTGATGATGCTTGGAAAGTGTACTATGAGGATCCTGCTCAAGAGATAGTAGATGAATTCGCCATGCGATACGGTATTGAGAGCATTTATCAAGCAATGACTCATTTTAGCTGTCTATCGGCTAATTACACATCGCCCGGAGTTCCCGCCGTTATGTCTCAGCTCTTAGCGAATATAAACGCCTTTTATGCTCATACTTCAGCTACCAGTTCGAACGTTGTATCAGCTTCAGACCGTTTTGCTGCTTCCAACTTTGGCAAGGAGAAATTTGTAAAGTTGTTAGATCAATTACACAATTCGCTACGGATTGACTTATCAGTTTATAGGAACACTTATCCAGCCTCAGATCCAGAGAGATTATTAGATTTAAAAGCCACTGTCGACCTCCTTACGTCCATGATGTTCTTCCGAATGAAGGTGCAAGATATATTCCGCCCACCGAGGGCATCAGATGTTGTGAAAGACTGCGTACAAGCTTGCCTAACTTCAACCTATCACTTTCTATTTGATAATTGTAATGATATTTTTCAACGAGAATTTCAAACCGATGGGAAAGATGAAAAAGACGGGCCCAATTCCAAGAGTTTAGGTTTTTGGCGAAAACTTATTCATCTAATTGTTTCAGTAATTGAAGAAGACTGCAACAGCTACGCACCAAATTTGAGTCAATTTCCAGCAGAATTGAATGTAGGTCATTCATCGAAGGAAGCTATGTGGTCCTTATTTTCTCAGGATTTAAAGTATGCCATCGGAGAACATGTAAACGATAAGCCTTGTAAAGCAACTGAATATATGAATTTTTACTTTGAGATAAAAGGTCTCTATACTAAATACATAGCTGACGCTCCAAATATGCAAAACGACATTCCTGAATATCCACTGTGGTTTGAGCCTTTAGTTATGACATGGTTGAATGAAAATGAAGAAGTATCTATGGATATATTAAAAGGTGCATATACCAGGGATAAAAAAGAAGGTTTCCAAAGAAGCACAAATCTTGTCAAATTCTCCTCATCTGTAACTGATATATTTTCTAATCTTAATTCCTGCTTTGACATTATTCAAAAATTAGAATGCCCTCATTCTGAATTAGTTAAAAGATATATGCAACGGTTCTCTGTAACAATATCCAAAGTTCTTCTAGGATATGTTGAAATGCTGAAAACAGATTTTCCCAGCTTTGCTAGCAAACAGGAAATAGCCTTTACTCTAATGAGTAACATACAAGAACTTAGAGTCCAATTAGATAAACTCTTTGACAAAATGGGAGGTAAGAACTTGGACGAAGAAACTGTAAATGCTCTCAATGCTCTGCAAACTAAGTTGAATGGAGTATTAGATGAATTGGCGGCCATTTTCACAAAGACTCTAGAATCGCAAATAGGCGAATCAGTAAAACAAATGAACAACGAATTGAGTAATCCTGCAAAGAAAAATTTGGATGATAAGAAGAGCGTAGAGAATAGCGTCAGCTATCTATCTGATACCCTGGACTCTTTCCTTACTGTTTTCTTGGATCAGGTTGAAAAGACTGTTTTCAAGAGAATATTAAAGGTTCTTGTAAAAGAATTAATTTCCGCAAATTGATTTTCAAACTTTGTATTTCTTTTCCATTAGGAGCTTTGGAAAATCGTTATTAAAAGCTTAGAGAAGATTGTAGTCCTACCACCAATGTCTGATCCTCGACAGGTAAAACAAAATCAATCAAATCGATATCTCAAAAAAAAATCTATTCTTAAAACGAAAACAATAATGAATTGTATGCTAATAGGAATTTAGTTTATTTTTTGGACTTAAGGTAAATAATAGGTGAAAAAGGGTTTAAAAATGAATCAATTGCTTCCTAATAACTCGGAGCTAAACGAATTTTCGTTTTTGCTGCTTCTAATTCAAAATCAATTTCTAAGGCTGCTTTCTCTCTTTCCAAATAACTAATGGTCTTTCTTTTTTTGCGTCTTTCTTTAACAGCTCTTCCCTATTCCCTCTAATGCTCAGGCTAAGATTGAAGATGTTTCTCGGAGTATTTTGCGCAATGTAACTCAGCAAGCATCTAAAATGCCTGTTTCTATGATCTCAACATCTGATTCCCAACCATTGGCTGATGTTACCCGGCGTTTGGCTGTAGGTGTTACTGTTGTGCTTGACCTCTATGCTTTCTATAATTTTTGCTTCATTCCTAATTGCATAATTATGTTATCGATCATATCTTTGTTATTATTATGTAACAGGATTTATCGAGAGATGTAGAAAGAAATATGACTCCCGGACATTGTAAGAAGTTGACTATGGCTGTTGAAGAAATAGTTAACTGTTTCTACGGAGACGGTAACGGTCTAAAGAGAAGTTTCTTGGAAAATTCACCTGAACTGAAATCGCTCAAACACGCTCTTAGCCTTTATACACAGACAACTGATTCGCTTATTAAGCATTATGTAACAAATGAAGTGTCGCAGGTGCCATTTAAACAACACAATCCGGCAGGAGACGAATGCGTTGGTGAAGTATCTATACAAGTGGATCTTTTCCCTCACCCTGGAACAGGCGAGCGCAAGATTAAGGTTACAATCGTTGCAGCAAATAACTTGAAATGGAAGACAACAGGGGTCTTTAAACCATTTGTTCAAGTCCATCTATTAGGGCCTTACTTAACTAATAGGAAACGAAAATTTGAAACTAAATCGAAAAACAACCAATGGTCACCAAAATTTAGTGAAAATTTTAATTTGTAAGTTTATGAGCACTTGGTGTTATCAAATGAAATAAACCTTTCTATATTTATCTTACAGGGCCTTTGGAAATGAAGCAGATATAGAGTGCTATGAATTACATATCTGCGCTAAAGATTATTGTTTTGGTAGGAAGGATCGTTTAATCGGTGTTACTGTTATGCAATTAAGGGACATAGCTGAACCTAGAACTTGCGCTTGTTGGTGTTCATTGGGTCGTCGAATAAATATGGGAGAAACTGGCTGGACGATATTACGTATCCTAAGTCAAAGAACAAATGACGAAGTAGCCAAAGAATTCGTTAGACTCAAATCTGAATGCCGCGACAACGATGGAGTTAGTTAGAAAATAATATACTCATTTTAAAACCATCTTCTATCAAAATTCATTAAATAATCGCCGAAAACTAATATTCCGTTTTAAAATGGATAAAAAAACCCCCTCCAAAAGAATGTTGCCTAGTTTTCGTATGCAAATATGCGTTTATACATAATTAATAATGTATACGTATGAATAGCTGCTATCTACTTTCTTCTTTGCCATCTTGGTAATTTTGGTGCTAAATGTGTACTTGTCATATTAAATAGTGCGATGCATATACAAAGCGCCATCTTCTTTAAAAAGGAACTTTTATTAATTCTTTTTTCTCAAGAAAACAAAAATTTATAAAAAAAATAAAAAACACCAATTAAAAAGAAAGACAAACTTATAAAAGAAATTTGGTGCCACGTGTCAAACTCGATCACTTTTATGTTTCGTTATTATACTTTATGAAACAAAAGAAACAGAACAAAGATGAAAAATAACTATTTCTTGATTTATATATATATATATATATATATATATATTTTTTTTTTTCTTATTTTCCATTGACGAAAAGCAATAAAATTCTATATTCATTAATTCCTTATCATGCTAAAACTGAATGAATAGTTGTCTTCTTTTCTTTACTAATAATATAAAAAACAAAAATAATATATACATTATTACGAAATCTGCTTATTAATCGGTCGATTTACTTTTGTTGAATTATATGATATAAGTAGAGTAGTTTATCCAGAATGAAAAGAATAAATTAATAGGACAAATATCAAAAAAATAATAATAGGAATAATTAATAATCTAATAAAAAAATTCATAGAATTTTAGTTAATCTCTTTTTGTTAAGTAGGACGATTTATAATATTTAATTAATTCTATTTGGTTAATTGCCATTTGATTCATTTACATCGATAAATCAAAGGATTAAATTAGGAAAGCGCGTTAAGAATTTCAGGTAAGGTAACGATAGATTTGAAGAAATGTGATAAATTAGATTTCTTGTATTGTTATTCGTAGTTAAATTACTGGTGACATATTTTATAGCTTGCAATACATTATCTTCGTATTTTAGAATAGCATCCCATGTCTTTATAGAGTAGAAAAGATTTTATCATATTTCATTCTTCACAAGAAAATAAAATTTTATAATTCCAGATAGAGAAAATAAGCCTATAGTTTTATATTCCAAAAGGGTTTTAATGCTTGTAGCAAACCATCTTCTTATATTGTTCTAATGAGCTAATCGATATTTGAAATGAACTAAGGCTAAAACTTATAGATGTAAGTGCAGATGCAAGTGTAGAATGTTAGGCGGCAAATACTGGATACTGTTCACATAAGCTGCATTTGGCTATTACTCTTATTTATAGAGTAAAAGTTTTTCGTGAAGAGTGTATCAGACGAAAGAATGTACTCGAAGGGTCGTCTCATTGAGTTGACTAGATGCTTTTACATTACTTATGTGACTGACGTAAAAGGAATGATAATTAATAATTAATTATAAAAATATATATTCCATAATAGTAAAATTCTCTTTATGATATGTTTTTCCCATATTTAAATAATATGGGAATACTTCATTATAATTCTATTTATGTTTTTCTCTCTTTCCTCTAAGTGTAAATTTATCTGTTTGGGGCGCTACCATTCTATCAATGCCGTGGCGTATATTTCTCCCTTTCTCTTATTCTACCATTTATGGGCTCTTTATATATCTCTACGCTCTATAAACGTTTTCGCTGTCGTTGTAATTTTCTCTTTCTATGTACTGTTTATATATTTTTGTTCATAAATGGATATGTATACGCTGTATATTACATATGAATAGCTGAAAGCGTCACTTTATAAATATGTAAACGAGTAAATTATTCCAAAGATATTAAGAGATATGGCATAATCTAAGACGTACAAGTCATAAAATGTTTATAACAACTTAAGTTATCAGCTGATAGATTAGATATAGATTTTGGTTTTAGTCTGGAATATTATTTTAGACAAAGATTATCTATCTAGGTCAGTATTTGAGGTGATAAAGATTAATTTTTCATAGAGTAAAGCGGTTGAAAGCGATTAAATTCTCAAACCCCAAGGAAGATCGAGACGAAAGACTTGATAAATAGTTTTGACTGAAAATTTCTTCCTTTCGTGCTTTTTTTGAAAGCAATATATCAAATTCTCTTTTTTAAATTTATACCTTTGATAGTCGCTTGTACTTCCATCAAAGACTATATTATCATAAGAACCGAAAATAGAATCTTTTCCAAGAAGTTTTTCCCTGCCTCTTTTCTCTATTTCTGAATAGAAATTTGGTGCTTCTTACGACTGATCGCATCGAGTTGCTTGACAAGATAGACCTAATAATTACTTAGAGGTTCACCTTCCCTTCCTTATAAAAAATGATCATATTCTATAAAGTTATCTTGAAACCTTTTTTTTGCGAATTTCTTTTATCAAATTATTTTAGACCAATTAAAATGCATTTCATTAGCAAATATATTCTTTACTTCAAACTTAGTGAAAGTAAATGCCGAATAAATACTTAAATCAGACTTTACATCGCTTTTCCAATGGTTATAACCTATGAATGAAGTCATACATTTAAAGATTCTACTTTTAAATATAGCCTACCTTATTTCTATCACAACTGAATGAGTTCAGAGTCGGAGGTGCAACGACTTTTATCATTTATAACCTCGAAAAAGGTTAGAAAGTAGATATAAAGAGATTAAAATCATTTTTTATTATTAAAAATAAATATTCATAATATTCAAATTTTTGTCAAAAGAAGCGTAATAGATTGTCCGTAATAGATTGTTTTATAGTACAATATAACAGTATATTAGTTATATATCTTTACATTTATATTACTTTATATTGAAAATATTTTTTTCTATTAATTAGACTAAGGGAATACTTCTTCAGTGGGCGGAATTCTTTGAATAATGTTTCAAAATACGATCTTTCTCTCTTCGTATGCTTCTTAACAGAATTTAGTGGCTGCCTAAACTGTAGACGTAAGCTGCTCTCTTTCCGTAGATTGTTTATCAGAAATTTTTTGAACAAGCATAGGTCTATCTCGTTCTGGAGAGTAAATTAGAGTCCATTTTCTTCTTTGAGATCTTACGATACCGGCTACAATCAGAATCAATCCAGCAGCTAAACAATAACCCGCCAGCGTATTCCAATTCGTCTCAACTGGGATTCGAATGCATTCGTCTACTGGTATACTTCTTTCTGTTATATTAAGATACTTAGAGGCCCAACGAACTTCCAATATACATAATAAAACCTGTTGGCGCACCACTCCAATGTTTTTTTGTATACATTTATCAGTTGAGCGTAAAATGTTCATTCTAGGTGGTTGAGAATCAATTTTATACAGGAGAATATATGTCCTGGTAAGTTTAATTGCTGATTTCCATTCTAATTTAACTTTTCCAGATGATAGAGTTGGCTCCGTCTCTGAAAGCTTGAAACGTTCACAAAATTTACCAAAAAAGTATTGGCTGCATATACATTCGGCTTCGTTTGATATTTTGAAATATTGTCCTCCATTTTCGCACGGACCTTTTGTAAACATCTGATGGAAGAAAGAAAATAAAAGACATATAAATAAATCCTTGTCGTTTAACATATTTATTGAGCCACGTTCAATCTGAAAATGGAATGGGCGTTACCGCTGTACGGCGCCGAAGTGACGATCTACTGACGGCAAAAGGCTTGGGTTTCCTAGGGCATCTCGTGATAATCGAAGAACTTCTTCGTTAACCTATTTTTCTTTTAAAAATAACAATATGTTTTGTTTTTCTTTTAAACCAAACAATAATTAAACTTTTCCAATTGTAAAACGCAAAAGAAGCCCTTTATTAAACGATTTTCCATTTCTACTTGATATTCAATATCATTTCTATTTATATTCATATTCCCAGTAATTCATAGCTCAATTCTAATAATTACACGATGAATAAGCAATCCCATAATTCGTTATAAATTCTATGTGAACGATAAAGGAGTAAATTATAAACTATCTTATATTTATACCTCTTATACTAATCATATTTTCCTACTTAAATAGGAAAAGAGATAAAAGTGTCTGTAAGTTTTTAAGTACTTTTTAAGTTTATGAAGCATCTCTTTAGATTTTATTAAACATTTTAGATGAACAGATAACAAATGACACTAAATTTTTATGATAAAAATGCATTATTGTGACATTTGGCTACTTGGTCAAGCGTTACTAATCGAACGCCTTTTTGCCTTTCTTACCCTATAATATTTACAAATCATACGCCTATTTGTTTCGCCACAACGCACGACTGCCGTTTAGAATACCACTACAAGCTGATAGACGCCGTTTGCAATCTAAAAACGAAAGAATAACGATAATGGTCTTTTCCTTTCTATATTTCTTTTTTTTAGTTATTTTTATTTTACCCTAATTGATCAAGTTCATTCAAGAAATACTATAAACTATTCGATTAGCTTAAATTCAATATAAAATCTACATAGCAATACTAGTATATGACGTTCATTCATTATTAAATAAAAACTATGTTTAACGCATAAAATATTAGAGTTAATGGCTCAAACGTTAAAAGTTTAGATATAGAAAAAAATTGACTGCAAAGAAAGAAAATGCTAAAAATTTACATAATATATTCTCTGGCGCTTTAGTTTATAACACGGAACCGAATGACAGAAATAGACGTTTGTAGACGAGTACGATTTATATAAACGCTGAATAAACTATAATAAAATACTAGTATACGATATCTATTATGCGTTCCTTCAACAATACGGAAATAGTTAGAGAAAGACAGACTTAACGTATCAGTAGAATTAGTCGGGAAACTACCATTTAAACCGTAAAGAGTAAAGGAAAACCCTTTTCCGGCTGAAGGAAAAAAACAAAAATCAATAAAGGAAGGGACGAATAACGTAATAAAAATAAGTAATTAAAATCTAAACACAATAGAAAATAAATTAAAAAACAAAGGGAGATATAAGAGATCAGAGTAAGTTGTTTTATAACCAATATTAATATTTACAATATTACAAACTTAAAACGTTTCTTGTTGATTTAATAAATAGATAAACAAAATTCTCATATTTAAACAAAAACTTATCAATATTTAATGAAAATTAATAAATTTTATCTTTATCATCTTATTCCTTCTCTCTTTTCCTATTTTTTTTCTTTTCTCCTTATCGCCGCTATCGTTTTCTTCTTCTTCTTCGTCGTCGTTGTCGTCATCATCATCATCATCATCATCATCATCATTATGATCTATTTATAGTCTCTTTTTCTCTCTCCTCTCCCTCTTTCCCCCTCCCCCTCCTCCTCCCCCTCTCTCTCCCTCTTTCTGCCAATTTCATCAAATCCATTTGCCTTTGCAGTCGTTTCATTTTCTACAAGAATTATAAACCTTCTCGAAAAGAATAAGAAATTCCCAGGCAGTTGTTAACCTTCCATTCCAAGTTATAAACTTGGCTTATAAAACATAAGAGAGACGTTATATCTTTTTTATTTTATTTTTTTTCTTTTCCCATTCACCTACTTTTTCTTTTTATTGATTTGTCTTTTTTCATTCTGAAGAATTTGCACTGATTATTAATTATACAGAAAAACGTTATATTCACTTATATACCCTTTGTAGTGTCAATACTGTTAAGAGAATAAAGAGAGGTAGAAAAAACTAAGTGCAATTTCTAATAATAATAGAAAAAGCGTTAGATTGTCTTATTTTTTAAAAAATAAGAGACAGAGAGTGAGAGAGAGAGAACTCGCCTATTTGTCTCTTCTTTCCCTCTTTTCTGCTTGCATATTTTTAACGATAGCATATAGTTATTTATATTTAAACTGTAGATGGCGCTAAGGTCAAATAATGATAAATTGTCTAGATCTTTTCTTTGCGTATCCTTGATCCGTTTTGCATGTTTCGTCTACTTGCCGTTAAAAGGAAATTGTCTGAGTGCGCGCGTGTAAGAGATACTATAGAAAGTAATTGGTAACGTCTTTATCAGGAAAACTGCTCAAACGACCTTGTTTATAGAGATAACTTTCCAGATTTATTTAGTTGATAAGCCTTTTATTATTTAGCATATTTTTCTATAAAGAACTTTTAATCAACAATAACTGGTGACATAGTTTTTTTAAGATAATTGCTTTGAAAGAATTTAAACACGTAAACATCTCATTCATTTATTTCGCTATTAAAAAGCTGAAATAAACTGAATACTCGATATTTTTATTAATTGAATGTGAAATAATATCAATACGGAGGCCACAGAAGATGAGAAAATATCTTCAATTTAGTTCATTCTCTAAACTTGACCTCAATTGATTACTACGTGGGAATTTAGCAGTGATTTTGCTATTTTTTTTGCCAGAGATCTCAAGTTCTTTTAAGTCAGTGCGTCTTTTTTAAAGCTGAAACAGCTAACAACCACGCAGAGAATTATTATTCAGAGTTGGTACTTCACACTTGGCGTTTACACGAACGTTAACTAATTAGATTTATTAATATTGAAAATCTTAAATATTAATAAATAATAATTTATAGAGTGTTTCATTACAGTTCTTATTACAGTTTTTCTTATTATTCTTATATGCGTATACTTCCGATTATAATTAAGATTGTGACTCTATTAAAAAGGTAACAGAATACATTTATTGAGATAATTATAGCATACATTTCGTTTTATTAAGGCTGTCTCAGTAGTATATTTAGATTTTTCTAAGAATTCATTTATACACAATTGGACCTATACTTGAAACAATTGCAGCTTATTTTTTGACGTTTTCTTACTTTTTTTTAATAAGAACAAAGAAATAAACTAGATTTTAAACCCAGTCTGTTTTATAGAGAAAGGTACAAAATGCAAATTTCATTGGAATTTCCCATCGTTTCTCTTAAAGTGGTTTTCTTTTCTTCTCTTTATTTATAGGGTTTTAACTCTTCTTTTTTGCTTTAGAATAAAAGTGTTACTTTTATTTTTTTTTCAAGTGAATTTAATTACCTCTCTCTCTCTCTCTTCTTTCTCATTCGAAAAAGAAAAAACAAACAACTAAAGCTTAAGTTCTTTTTTGACAAAAAAAACTTATTAAGTTTGGTGAATAAAACTCCGCATGGCCCACACATGACTAGCAGCATGTCTACCACGTGTTAACTGGTTTGAACCAGCTCTCTCTAACTGTAAACAAGAGTATTTTGTTCTAATTGATATTTTATTATTCGTTTTCTAATCGTTTTAAATTGTTCAGTACACTTACTTTTAAATAAAAATAATTACTATTAAAATATAGAAATAATAACCTTTTATTAAACTACAAAACGTTTATAAATAGCACACACAAAAGAAGAATGAATAAAAGCTCAACTTTATCTTCTTGATGCTCTTTTCACAAATTCTTCATTGTTTCTTGTTTCTTAATGGTTTTTTTTGTTGGGCGGCGGGAAAGAGAAGGTTGCTTTTTTAAAGTATTTTTTTTTATAAAAAAATAAGAAAAAAGACAATAAAAACATAACAAACGCATTCTAATAATTAAAATATATACACAATATCACAGTCTTTTTGCATTGAATTGATAAGAAAAAACTAAAAAAAAGTTAACCATATGTTGAAATATCAAATGATGTGCAAGAAGCTGATTTACAAAATCCAGAGTCTTCACTGTTTGATCCTCTACTTAATCTACTTTCATTCCTCTTTCTCCATATACCACAGAAAGTAACGGCATTATATCTCTCTTGCCAAGTAACTGCCGTTGAATCAAGAAATCTCAGATTTGGTAGAGTATGTAGAATTTCGTATCTATAAAGTTCTTTTTTTCTATCTTTAAATAATTTATCTAAGGGGCAAGTTGGATTTCCTATTAAGCTGAGATAAGTTAAGGCAGGACATTTTTGCGAGAGTTCTTCCAGGAGAGTTTGAAGATTGGAGATGTTATTCTTGTTCAAGCTGAGAATCTGTAGACGAGGCATCCAAGGTAGATTTAACGAATCGTCTTGTCCAAGTTCGTTTGAATCGACTATTAACTCTTGAAGATTGACTAAAGATTCAAGGTCACGTAGAGATGTTAGATTATTACAACTTAAATCCAGTTTCCTAACCAAATAAGCAGAGTCTTTTTTTAATAAGTGTTTCGGTATTTTAACGCAATTAAAGCCGACAAAAGCTACCTGGAAACAGAAAAGCAAATGTATAACCAAAGATAAATTGTTAGTTGTCTTAAATAAGTAAAAGTTCACCAAGTTACTTTTACTTTATTTCTTTTCTCTCTTTTATCTTTTTCTTTTAAATCAAATATTGTGATCCTTACCTCTTTCATCAAAATCAACTGTTCGGTATTTGAAACTTCGTCAAATACCCTCCCGGTGTGATAGACGATTTTATTAATGCCGTTCGGCTTATTCGATTTACTCTTGAGCAATTTATTCTGAAACTGCATTTCTTCTTTGACGATACAGACGTACTTTGTCCAACCAAATGTCTAATCGGCCAACGAAATATCTTTATAACTCTATCGAAAACAATCGCACATATTACGCCCTCTATCGTCGGATTATAGTCCAATATAGTGTGTTTTTTCTGTGTTACAAGCATCCTAATCTAAAGATAATCGTACCAGCTGACACTACAGAGATAAAATAGACCAAAATTCGATTGTGAAATCGTGGTAACTTAGATTGACCGATACTTAATATGGAACAAAGTTCCGGGCAATTGTTGCAATAGATGTCCGTCTCTGAATCAGGCCGCACGCGTACTCTATACTGTATAAAATTAACTAATGAAATAACCTTATTGGATGCTCGTTCCCTAAATTTGCTTATTTAGTTGCGTAGATATTCTATATTGGCCTAATTTTGTTTATATAGTTTTCATAATCACTGGCATTCTATTATTAGAAAATGAGTAGAGAGATATAAAAGTAAAACAAGACAGTTGAACGAAAACAAATTTTATGATAAGTTTGATAAAGGCCTATAATTCTTTGATAAGATACTTCCTAACTTCCAGCTTTATCTGGAAATTGCATCATCCAAACAAAACTAGTTTTAAAGAAGATTTATAATAGACGTATATACAGTATCAACCAATTAGAGAAGAAAATCAATAACGCTAAATTCAACCTTATCAAGGACTATAGTAATTGCAAAGTTCGCCTTGAACGCGCCAAAAATAATCTATAGGATGATAACGCCATCTTAACAAAGATTTTTGGAGCGCCCTCTATGGTAGCTGTTTGAATAGATACTAGCCAGCTTGAAGGAAAAATAAACTATAACAAAGGACTAAAGACAAAGCAACGAGTGATTCGATTGAGAGCAGCTACTCGGCAGAAATAACATGATCTATAATCGATCGAGGGGATGCTGGCAGACGCTAGCCGTTCCCGATGCGCCGTCGCTCGACTGTGGTAGGCGTCGCAAGGGCGCAACCAATCACTCCTTTTGCCCTCTTCCCATCGATTATCCTCCGTAACAATTAGCCTACCGTGAAAAGAGAGATTTTTTTTTTTACTTCAAGTTGAAACTAGACTCTTAACCCCATCCCCCCAGCATCTTTTCATTCCCGAACTCTGATTTTCTATCTTGATTCCATGTTTTCTTTGACAATGGGCGTTTCCTCCAATTTCTTTACGCCTAAAATATAGGAAAGTGCAATAGCGTCTGATTAGAGTTGTTCTTTTTGGCTCCGTCACGCACAGTTGAGCTGGGGACGATTTTAGAAGCGGTTTTCTCATTTCCCGTATTGTTTGTTCGAGTTTGTGTACAGTAGGCGGTCGTTTGCGGCAGTCTAGATTCCCGTATTACTGCCTCTATTCACTATGGACAGCTATCGAGAACGTCGAGAGGCGTCTATTTTGAACGCATTCCGACGTATATTATATGCAAACGACCCGCGGCGAACTGGGAACAGGGGAAAAGTGATCGAAAATATGAAAGCCATTGAAACGGACGGCGACGATAATTATTCAGTAGATTAAATGATCGATTGGCGTTCCTTAATACAGCTTTTATGCCAAACAATATTGTGAAAAGCACTTGAAAAATGAAAGTAAAAACAGAGACGGCAAAAATAACCTTCAGGGAAATCAGGCTTCTGACATCGTTTCATTGAAACATTCATACTTCGATGGCGTATCCAAAGGGTTCTGATTGTATATACTTATAAGCTTTCTAAATTAATAAAAAGGCTCGTAAGAAATAAAAACAACTCTTGTATTATCGATGACTTTAGGGAGTTTCGTGACGCATCACTTGCATATGTCTAATGTCGTTTCGTCATATAGACATATCTAGGTATATACATATACATTGTACATACACGTTTAAAATAAAAATTAATAGATAAATATACAAGTATTAATCTCTCTATGTCGATACGTTTCTTAAAAATATATATATATATATATGTATACTTTATATAATTTACACATAAAAAATGATAAAACAATCATTTACAGGTAAAAACGGAAGCATGTAATGAAAATTGTATATCCTTCTTAAAACGTTTCTCTCTTTTATTATGTCTACATCAAAAGAAGAACACAAAAAACTACGGCCCTCTTTCATTTGCGCAAACTTAACAATATTCTTTGCAAAAGAAACTTATTTAAGCGAGCGCCATTTTATTTCAATTTAATCAATTAGCTCCTAAATTATTGCATAGAAGAAGTTTTTTTTTTGAAAAAAAAAACCTTGACAGTTTTATTAATGGCTACTGCTTTTTCCATAGTTTTTCCTTCCTTTAACTTTAACAAATAACAATAAAAAAAAGCTTTAACGCTCTCTTTTTGATGTTTTTTTACTCTTTTTTTAATGTTTTTTTTGGAATAGTTTTGCGCAAATGGCACATAGCCCAAGACTATATATCTGAGATCACAAATAAGTTTCTTGAATGTCTTTGCTTTTGTTTAACAGGAATGTTAAGCACCATTAGTTAATAACATACGTATATGCAAGGATATACATATTAATATACTACATACAGTATATACCTTGATATATACATATTTATATTCAACATACTGTACAGTATGTGTATAGTATATCATTATATGTATAAATTTGTACATCTGTAGTATATATATATGTATTAGTATATATACTGTATAAATTTATACTAATATATATATATATATACAGAATATATACAATATATAGACACTGCCATATAGTCTGCTTGATTGGCACCTTACGCCTTAACAATTCTCCAATTGGTGCTCCGAAAAAAATACGATAGCACGGTACATTTCCTACTTAAGCGAATCATCATAAGGCGGTCCATTACCAAAAGTATCTATTTATCTAGCATATATGGCGTATTCGAGGCGAAATGGTATTTTTTCTAACAGCGAATGCTATGAATTTTTCCCTTAGAATTTGCCCGTGATGTGGCGCGGAGAAGGGCCAAAGTAGTTGATCTATTGATAGCTTGGCGTTGGGCGGGAGTTAGTTGAACCCCCAAATGGACAAGGTCCGGGGCCGAAACAGTTATTTTTCGACTACCGGACAACGAATTGACTAAACTGTCTGTGCTCATCATGCTTCTCTCCCAAACACCCGATCTGGCCCTTTTATGTCTAGCAGGAGTTTGTGGGGTTCGATAACGAGGTTCAAAGTCATAGTCTTCTAAATAAGCATCCTTCGATCCTCTAGACAACTTCCCCAATCGGGGTCTACGCATTTCGTTGTCCCGATTATCTAAACTTTCGAGATCGTCCATTAACAAATTTCGTCCAAGGACATCGTCTATTTCGGAACCTTTCTTTCTGTTGGCCTTCTTCATTGCATCAGCGGAATGTTTGAGCAAGGAACTCTCGATCTGTTGGAGGGTGACGTCATTCCCTGTAGCATCGCTCACATTGCTGTCTTGTAAATTGTTGATGACGAAGCGCCACTGATCAAGTTTCCTTTCTGCACTTCTTCTGTAGATGATAAATGAAAGTCATAATCGAATGATAGTGCGATCTGCGCTTATTTTTCATAAGCAAAACTTCGGCGCCACCTAGAGGACTACGCGAGTTAATAAAAGCGCTAGAATTAACAGATGCATCAACTAAATTTCCAAAGAAAAAGCATAATAAATAAAATTAAAAGAAAAATTAAAGATTATAACAAAATAATTAAAGAGTTTGGAAATGGGAAAAAGGAAGAAAAAAATAAAAAAGCATTGCCCCTGTGTCCTTTCCTTTAAAAAAAACACTAAACGCGCCTTTAAGATCTTGAGCCGACAACAATAAAGAACAACATGTGCTTAGAGAGAATAGTGAGAGGCAGAAATCCAACTAATCCGCAATCCCATAGAAAGGGACAGTCAATCTCAAATAGGCTTTTGCCGTTTAATAATTAATTGAGAAAACATTCGACTTTTGTTTTAATACTCGGTTAACGTCACACACACTCTTGCAAAATAAAACAGAAAAAAATTACATGTAATATTTATATAGTACTGTAAACATTCTACACGTAAAAATAGTTTGAATAGAATTAGAGAAAAGAGATGAGCTATCTCGGCTTATACGGCGAGTGAATAAATTTTTCTCTGGGATAGCTTTTTAGTGTGTATATTTTTTCATTTAATGCATTTTCTTTATACCGAGTTATTTGTATATATACAAACTTTCATCGCCGCTATTTCATCTTCAATTTAAAGTTTACACCCTCAACTTGGAGCGATAAGTGGTAGATAAAGCGCAGCGGTGATAAGATAATAACTGTTTCGGAAGAACTACTAGCTGGTAGATCGATAGAATATTGCGTGATGTAGTAAAGGAGTATCAAAAATTGAATAGTTGTAGAATCGAAAGGACGGAACGGTTTAACAAAGCCGTCGATCTGGCCATCGGGCAGAAGACAAATTCGTTTTCATAAATCTATACTACAAATTACGCTTTGACCATGCTATGGGAGCTAGTTTTTATATAAATTTCGCAATTGTACGCTCTCTGTCTCGTCCCTCCCAATTACACCTAACTCCTCGCATTAGTCCATTCACTCTTTAATTATTCTCCCGACAAACACATTTTTCACGGCTAAAATACTCTTAGTCCCATAAAAAGCCAAACTAAAAAGAGGAAAAGAACACAATTAGCGAAGCTGAAGCGATTGCATGCAAAGGTAAAATAAAATTTCATTCGTTTTCGTCGTTCCAAAACGCTTCGTTCGAATAGAAGGAAAACGTTTGTTTTAAGCAAATAGAATGACGAAAGCAATGAAAAATAGCATTGGGAAGAAAAAAGTGGTAAGCAAAATGATGGGGACAAGGATTGTTGGGTTTAGATTTTGTGTTCGAAAATCGATGAATCAAAAATCAAGACAAATGTACCTGCTAAACTCAGTAGGGGTAATATAATGACGAGTCACCCAACTGTAAATAAGAACTCTCATTTAAAAAAAAATCATGCTCGGAAAATAATAAATTTATGCTATAGACATTTCACAGTAACAATTTCTAAATAAACCAGTCAGCAGTCAAAAACGTCAAAGCGCGCCAAAGAAGCGTTTTAGTTTTATTTCTTTCTTTCGTTTCTCTTTCATATATAATATAAATATATACAGTATATGCGCTAATTAATAAAGTATATATATATATGTATATATGTTGTTGTTCTGACTTTAAGGTATTTCTTTTTCACGAGGCCTGAACGTGCACTAAGATAAACAACGTATTTTCATTCTTTCCCAAGGCATCGAGTGAATTCGTGCTCTTGGTGAAAGAACGTCAACATAACGCCGTAAGCAGTTGTACGTATGAAAAAGGTAAAAAAAATTGTGTGAATTGAACTTGTTAGCATTAGGAAATATCCCGTTAAAAAATTAATTTTTTCCACGCCCAGCCAACAGATAAGCCTACTATCGCAAAGACAAATTGCAGAGTCGGCATTTACCCTATAATTACTTTTTCTATCTTATATTATGTATTATTTTTAAAAATCTATTCTTTAAACACTAAGAAAAGGTCTTTTCGTACACCGCTTACGCTGGTTATGTCTTTAACACCATCGCGTTTATCTAAACGATCGGTTAAACAGCTAATGCGCGACGTTCATTGCAGTTAATTTTTACGTACAATGCGGATTGTCGGCGCCTATCTCTCGGAAACACTTGCCTAGATCCGTTGCTGCACGATGTGAAGAGGCGAGAGAAAAGGAAAAAATCGCATAAAAATCAATGACTTATTGGGAAGCGAAGACTGGCTAAATTGTCTGTATTCGCGCTTAAAAACCACCGTATGATGTCTGATGCTACGAAAATGGCCTGAATTTTTAGCCGTCTAAGCTGTTAAGTGGAAACGCCCCACTAGAGGAGCATTAACTTACCTTCTGTGAATGTACAAAGCCAATACTAGTAATAAGCATATTAGGAGCATGGCCGATATCACTCCAAGAGCTATACCGATTATAGAACTACTCCTCATCAAATCGTGTGTTGCTCCGGGGGTAGGCGTTTCGGCCGTATAAACGCCACTGTTAATTGTTGGTGCATTGGGTAAAGAGCATACCCGAGGAGGTCTTTGGTTCCACTGCGATTCAGAACACCGTAATCTCATAGACGTTACACGTGTACCAAAGTCTAAGTAGTAACCGCTCTGGCACGAAACGTTGGCAATAAATTTGCCCTCTTCAGCGAACTGGTATTCCACTTTACCATTCTCTGGCACGATCAAGTCTTCGCAGCCGGGTCCCAAGCCCTCATATGATATAAAGAAGCCTCGTCGTGGCATTGAATCAGGGGAAGAATGAAAGACAATCTCCGCTTCGTAGTTGGACACTATTATTGTGTTTTTACCTAAATCCCCGCAATCTTTAAAAACTATTTTTCTCGTTGTTCGATCAACAATTTGCATGTAATCATTACATTTTCCACCGTTTTTTACTCCTACGAGAAAGTCGTGTATAATTATTCTAATTCTCTGTCTCTTTTGAACGGTTATTAACCAATAACACTTCGTACCCGTTCCATATGAGTTGGGATAGTTATATGACTGAATGTACCCCTTTCTCATTAGAGCCGGACTACCCATACCCTCACACTTCTTATGAATTTGAGAATCTGAAATAGGAATAAAATATTTCAAATAGGAATAAATTGTAAAAGAAAGCCAAAAAATTCTAGATAAAAGAGAAAAAAATCATTTTCCAGTCAACAAAAATGACAGAGAACTTGCAGTGAGCTTTGTTTTCACCTATAACCCCCTGCTATATGACCTGTGAAAAGCAACAATGACGCGTGACGAGCTAGGGCCTCGAATGGCTGAATCGCCCAAAAGAGCTAGAAAAAGAGGGGGGGTTATGAGGAGGGTGGAGGGACGATTGAAGGGAAAAGTTGCTTCTAATCAACGAGAAAAAAATCGAAACGAATTACATAACTATATAGTTTTCGATATTTTTTCCTCGTCAAGCACGCAACATTCGAGTTGGAAAATGAATGGAACTTTGGACAATTACGCGACATTAGCGGGCGTCAATTACTCGTTTAACTTTTCATCGCTAGATGCCAGCACAAGGGTTGCCTTTCCCTAGCAAAAAAAACAAACCCAGCAATTTTGAACAATCACGTTTGACAAACATACCGTTGACGCAAGTGTAAAAGACTTGCAGAAATTCCTTATATCCGCATGGATCTCGTTTAAACGTATGTTGATTCACAAATATTTCGCATTTTCGTCGTCCAGTACACATCTTATTCATCTTGTACCAGACTTTCATGCTGCACTGATGATCCATCGGAGTCCTACATTCCTTAGCATATCCAGAATGATTGCGACCGTAGAAGGCGTCGTTAATTAGTAGCGTTTGGTTCGAACGGCATAGTAACGTCATAGCCTGTCCTTCGCAAGCAAATTCTTCTTTGGCCGTTGCTATATGAAAGGGAATAAAGAGAAAGTCTTATTAATTAGGCAGGTGGAATACGGCCAGAAACGGCTATCGACCGTGAAAAAATCTAGTCTATAAAACTTGTGTCGACGCTTTGACCTTATTGGTGGCGGAAGTTCGCAGGCGTCGAGCACTCGCCGGTTATAAGTAAAGATCAATGGATAGGAGGGGAAAATAATTATTTCAATGACGTGCCAAAAGAAAGGCGAGAGAACATGCTATGTCTCTTCTTATCCTACTTTTCCTTTTTTCTTTTTTTACCCAACCATTATCCTCCAGGAGAGGATAGGGAAAATCACAATTAGAATTCAAATAACAAAAATCTACATTTTTTTGGACACGCTTCCGGTAGAATAGCATCTAATCAATAAACATAAGCAAAAAGCATCAAAGGGAATTAGCTTATAAAAAAAGGGTCTATGTGCATGAGATTAGCATCGTCTGCGCTACGTATAGGTGCAATGAGTTTCATATAGATTATACGGTACAGTCGTACTTTATATTTTTGCCATTGATCAGTCTATCGAAAGCAAATAAGATGGTTGGTAAGCCTACAGACTTTTAATGCAGACAATTATGAAAATAGATCAAATTTCGGTATTTAATAATTGACAGCTAAGTGTACAGCAAAAGCAGTATCAATTCATATCGAATTCGTAGTTTTGTTGTTAAAATCTGTAAATTATTAAGCAAAGAGAGTTCCCGTAAAATTCTACGGTTTCGCATCAACGCCTATTTACATTAGTACTGGTTTTCATCTCAACAACAGCGTAAGAGATTAATTAAAGAATCCGCAACGTATTCGGTATCACCTATTTATACATAGTAAGCGAAAATTAAGAGGAGACAGGTGAAATTATTATACTCCTAATACCTCATTTTTGGGATAGGAAAACAGTTGGTATGCATCAATTCAACACTTGTTTTTCCCTTATGGCACCTCCCTGCTCGATTCAGTTGGTACTGGGTACAGGTGCGTCTAATATATGCGGTGTTCTCATTAATTCTATCAAATACAATTAAGTTTGTCCTTTCAATTTTTTACCAGGTCCCGGGTATATCTTTCTCTAGCGGATAACGATATAAAGGAATTCTAGACGCTTCCTAACGCCTATTAACTCTTTTTTCCTGCCTTATCAACTGGGTCAGTTTATAAATAAAACCGTGCTTGGAGAAACAAATAAGTGAAAGAAAAATTTGTTAAGAGTATATAATTAAACGCCAGATTGCGAATCAATCAAAAATTTTTTCACTATTCGACTCTGTAATCAACTTCCACATGGGTCTCGTATATGATTTCATATCGACGAGACGGTACGTGAGAGAAATATTCCCTTCAGCATATTCTGCACGGACACAGCCTTCTTCCAGGCCAGTTCGCTCTTAAGGGCGGAGAATTTTCTTTACATTACTAGCCGGATTTGAGGAACGGATTACATCCACGTCATCCTTGCGTCAGAAAGAGAAAAAAAGACATTCCGCTTATTCAACGCTTTTTCTCGCCCTATATACGATTTTTTCCATCTGTTCCCAAAAGGCTTGTAAACCTAATAACCGCATGACCTTTACTAACATTTACAATAGCAAGAGCCTAATTTCAACATTGTAAACAATATGAAAATGAATTGAGAGGAAACATTTAACTACGATTAAATAATTGAAAAGCTATCGTGGCTCTGTCGACTATATTATAGCATTTTAATCATTACTCCTAGATCGTAATCCGACAAATCCTAGATATTGGGCAGCTGCAAAACGACGGGCGTTCGTTTTTTTTATTATTAAAGCTTATGAAATTTTTATGGAGTACTTTTAATATAGTCCACACTACAATAATAGAACAGTTATACGTTTTAAAAATACATATAGATATATGTACAGTATATATAAAATTGATTATTGGATAGAAAGTGTTATCATTAATTTTATTATTCTTTCATTTATTCAGATATATGTCTACCAAGTAATGTATATCATTAAAATTGTGTTCATGCCACAGCATACTAATGTACCCACAATGTACCCATTTTACATAGTCGCCCACGTACTCGTTTGGCATATAGCGCATCAAAATGATTAAGATTACAAAATTGCGTGCGTCGACGCCTAGGAACAATACCTATAACTATATATAAAAATGATTCTTTAATCTAGAAATAAGGTAATTCTCCAGAAGTAGGAGGAGTCTGACAAACAAAAAATATCTATTTCGCTTAAGTAAACGGAGAGAGTAAATTGGGCGAACGGACGATCATAAAAGTTTCACGACAACTCTGCATGTGACGTCTCTTGGCCCGTGGCGTCAATCAGACCGTCAGGTGCAGGCGAGAAGGCGTCTCTAGAGACGCTAGATGCTTTTATGACGTCCTTTTCTTATGTTTAACCGATTTTACGCTGGTTTTCTGTGAAGTCAGCCAATCGTCAATGAGTAGGTCGTCGGAGCTAATTGCTTTCGGTTTTAAGAGGGAGGAGGGCTTTATTTCCGTTATAGTTTCCTCCTCGTTTCTCGTACGATTTCAGGAAAACACTCAAAATGATACCACAGGATGACATACTGAATAAATAACCCCAATGGCAGAGCAAATACTCGACCTTTCACAACTCGTAAAAAAGTCTATTCAAACTAATTACGTAACTTAAAAAGATAATAAGGTCTGCCTATTATAACTCTAAAGTTTCCTAACGCTTCCTTAGATCTTTACTTTCTAGCTTCCCTTTCCATCTTCTTTTCTATTCTCTTCTACACAAAAGTCTTTTTTCCATAAGACAGATACGTGATAGTTTTTTTTTTTAAAAAAAAAATAAAATTTATTGCGCATTGCAGTCCGATACTTTTTACGACCTTTAATCCCTTGTTTACAACCTCTAATATAAAGTTACTCAAATATCAAACTATATGTAACTGTAATCGAATAAAATGAATGATTCATGTATGATTACCATTTAATTATTCAAAAGAGACCTCGTAAAATTCCATTTTAGTATCATCTCCTCGTATTTCATTTTTCAAGATAATACGTATTCCGGAGATATATACCTCAAAAGGAATTGTCTCTGGTGTTCAGTAAAACGCCTAGCCAATAAGCGGATAAAGAAAGAGTTAATGTAACGAAGCGAGTGAAAGAATGCCCTTAAAATAGCGTGTGATTCGAATAATGAACAAGTAAAAAGAACGAAAAGCCCGAATGTGACGTCGCCCACGGAAATGAAGTTGACTGTAGCTAAGAGCCGGCATTCGAAGTCTTAGGCCTATATTTTCGTTAAGGATTATCTACAAATTTTTGGCGAAACATGAATCTACATGTCGAATTCGACAACTATACCGCCAATATTTACTATCCAATTCGTGTTAGTAGTCACAATCAAACGTATAATAAGTCGCGTTCAACCGAAATAATTCATCGATCAATTATTCAAGAAAAAGCGCGTGATTTGCTCCAAATTATAAAATTCGATAGCGTAAAAAAAGTCAATGATCCCCGAGGATCTTCGCTTTTTCAAAAGAGAATTAAGAACGTCGATTCCTGCCTCTTTCCTTTCCAGCCTTTTCTTATTCATTTATTATATATTGGTTTGCTGATCCTGAGATCGGAATGAGTAAAATACGCGTACGTTTACTACTCTACAATAATTAATATCGAATAGAAGAGATAAAGCCCCCTAAGTGCTTTTCATAAGAGATATTTGCTTTATAAGGTCAAGCTGTGGGAGTGGGATCTTTCGTTTTCTTTTTAATAACAACACTAAATATTTTTAATAATTTTCAATTTGGAAATAAAAATAAGATTAAAAAAAAAAGCTAGTTAAAAAGAAAAATAACCTTCAGGATCGATATAAGCGAAAATCTTATTTACAATTCGGCGGCGCGAATTGGCGGATTGAAAACGAAACTTTGATTAAATATTGTTTAATCCGAATCGAACGAGCCACTTTTAAACGGGGATTTTTTCGTCAGACTCCCGCGAGTCTGGTCTACAATTATATGGCATTCAGTTTGTAAGGAGGGAGAAAAAATTACATCTTCGTTTAGCGTTCTATTCGGAACATCGATTGCTATTGCCATATTTTTTCATTCTATTTATTCGGCCTACAAACGGGGCACCATAGACGTCTAAGCAAAGAATATTCTCTAGAGGAGTATCGTTCTTCTTAGGCCTAAAGGCCGCCTCTTTACTCTTCCCATCTTTTTTTTATAAGCACTTTTTATGGATTAATACACTATATATAGATAACCTTAAACGGTTATGCAAACGACGAAAAGAGTGACTGCATCAGTATTCGTAAACTAGTGTAAGGACCATAAACGAGACAATAGAGAATAGAGAAAGCAGAGAGCGAGGCAGTTTGTACGCTGTTCATTATATGATCAGAAGCGAATTACGAGTAGGCCTTTTGTCTGTTAAATCTATTTTTTATGTAGTTACAATCGTCACGGAACGCGTCATGCCGTGTTAGTGAAGTGGTTTTATTACTGCTATTGCTCATTTTTTATCTGTGAAGGAGATGAGTTAAATTGTCAAAAAGCATAAAAATAAGAGGAAGGGTTGGGTAACTTTATTTGTCCATAAAAAAACCACAACTATTCCCTTTCTGTTTTACTTATTTCCTGTTACGCTAATAACCATATATATTCATTATCAACCTAAAAAAGCACACAAAGAGCTTTACATGTGTTACTCCAAGCCAATTTTGGTTTTGTATATGCAAGGATTCTCTCTTATTTAGAGAAAAAAGGTGCTAAATAGTTGCTTACGGCTTAGACACTCGTATTGATCTCTAAAGAGCATTTTCATTAAACTTTGCATCACTCATTAATTATTACTAAATATTATATATATTTTATTAGTTATGGCTGTCTAGAACAAATAGCCCGTTATGGGAAGAGGGCCCTTATCTTAACACTAGAGGCGCTACAGCTTGAAATCAAAATTTTACTAGAACTGTTGTCTTGGGGATAAACTATATTTTGGCCTCCAACATATTTCGCTTGTATTTATATATGACATAAAAAAACCCCAGGCGACCTCACAACGACTTTCATCATAAACATTCCATTACGGCGGATCGAATATTCTGTTGACATATAGTCGGCCTCGATTATGATAAGAGCATTCCAATGTTCACGGGACGTTTTGCTGCATATTTACACTTCTGCAAAATATTCTAAAGCACTATTATTTTATTACTCAACAACCGCTTTTCGCGCTATTTACATTCGATTCGCGTTCGGAGGTTTTATTGCTTCCAACTGCAAAACGATCCTTAGGCCTATATCAGTAAAACTGCGGGATATGTTGGCGAGCACTAGGTAATTTTTCAGGTTTTATTTTTAAAAAGTCAATAAAAGGCAACCGATTCGGTACAAAAAATGCACCGAGCCATGAACTATCAGTAAAAGTTGGCGTTTGTTAATGAATTTGTGTCTCAATTATATATCTATGAAAGGTGAGATCCATCAGCTGTTTGGTATAAGTAGTAAACGAGCATTCCTTCCATTTTAAACTCAGTTACATCCAGTTAGCAATGTTTTGAAAGACTGATACGTTTGTAGTGATATATATATACAGTATATATAGTATATATGATAATATATTAGTATTATATATGTATATATATATATATATGTTTAAGAGTGACAAAGTTCTAAATTACTTTCCATAATACTGATTTTATACTATTAACTGGGTCAACAATACGGATTATCAACCATTTATTTTATTTTTATTTAAATCCCTCCAAGTGAAATAAAGATCCGCTTATGGTAATAAGTTTTTTGTTATGATTCAATGAAACTAACACTGTTAACAAAGCAAGGCTAAGTATCCAATTATTAGTTATATCTTTAACTATCGTTACATAACACTTCAAGTTTGAAGGTTTGAAATACATTTTATCAAATAACTCTCACAGATTTTGGCATTTTTATCAATTATCACTAGAAGTATGTATAGACACGTCCGGGTTAATGCTTAAATTTGTCTATTCGTAATTAAAAAGTTACGGAGAGGGCGACGATTAATTAAAAAAATAGTAGCTCATTAGCTAAGTCAACAAGATTGTATTGATCTATTTACCATCTATTAACGAATATTTTTCAAAGTAATAAACAGTTAACGATTTGTGGATTAACAGCCTAATTCTACGATTATTTATTGATTTTTAAGCAACTTTTCTATCTCGAGCGTTTTATTCAATATTAGTATTGAAAAGCTAAAAAAAAAGGATCTACATACCTGTATAGAAATAGATCACCAAAACAACAACGAAACGATTCATTTTTAACTAAATGACATTCTCTCGGTTTATTAATTAAATTCTTTCTTCCCAGAGATGGTTAAAAGAGTCTAATAAACTTGTTTACAGTTCGTCTTCACTTCCAGAATAGACACATGGCTCCAGACAGTTTTGAACTTCGTATGCGGCCTTTGTGAAATTTGTTTTACTGCAAGGACACCTATCGGCTACTTCCGGGTAACGCTTGTGACGTCATCTATCGGACGGTTTAAATTTCTCATTTTATCTATTTATATATACATTTAATATAGGCTTTTTATTTATATCTTTATTTCTATGAAAATTGGATTTGCCTAGTTGTTGGTAGAGAATTAGATAAACAAGTCAAGCTTAGCATACAAAATACATATATAGCGAATTCGTTGATCTGACGAATATTCTAGACAATTACTTTCTGCTTGATATTTAGAAATGTACTAAAAGTATTACTGGATAAAGAAACCTTTCTCTATTTGATTTATAATGGTTTCGTATATAGTATATATAAATATATATATATATATATAAATTTATATACTGTATATACTGTATACACTGTATGTGTATATATATTTATATATTGTATGAACTATTTATAGAAAGCAAGAACAAACTAATTTATTCAATCGTAAAATTATTTTTGATTACGTAAAGGAAAAGAACAAAGAGGATTTTTGTTTCACGTGAAAATCAATGTTATTCATTCTCTTTGGCTTAGCAATGTATTATTTGTTTTAGGATGGATCCTTGAGTGATAAGTTATTAAGTATTTGAAATGTTTTACTCACAATCTAGCCATTATTCATTAAAAAGGTACGCGTTATATGTCCTCCTTTTGTTACTTTGTATTCTAATATCATTTAAAAAATAGACCTAGCCTTTCGCCCCAGCCTGTATAAACATTTTAGCGAAAGTCCATTTCTCGACTTCTCAGTTTCTCATATCCGACTAATGTTGTATATCTTATATCGTAAATAAGGCTTAGAATATACAAGATGTCAGTTATATCCAAAGCGGAAAAATTTACGACGTTTGATAAAAGCAATGCAAAGTAATCAAAAAAGTATACTGCAGAGACTTTAATTAAGTCAAATTTCACTGTAGGAAAGTACCTGTCACGCAAAACCGAATAAGACTGCTTTAAAATTGAATATTCCCGCTTTTCCCGGACACGGTATTTTTAAATTGAGTACTATCCGTTTCGGAGAATAACCATATATGTCAATAGAAAAGTGATAGTAGTACTATCTTCCGCTGATATGTTCGATAGGATTATTTTTAGCTTTGAGAAAAGATAAATTATGACTCAGACAATTGCTTTTTTATTCCTTTTTTATCAGTATTTAACAGGTAATCGTCAATGAAACTACAATTATCACTTATCTATGAGCGATAATATGACCGTTTACAGTCAATGATAAATTGTATTTTCAGCTGGAACAGTTGAACTCATTAAACCCGGTCAACCATTTTACTGGCAAATTGGGACACCGTTAAAAATTCAATGTGTATCATCTGCTGACGAAGTAGAAGAGCTACAGATTAAAACTGTGCTAGACACTGGAAGCATGGTTGTTAAAGCGTCTAAAGAAAAGAAAATTAATACTCAATATGTGGAAGTTCAGCCAGATAACTTGAGAAATCTCTCAGCAATTTTTAGTGAATTACGACCAGGCTCAAAACGCTTAGAATTTTTTTGTACTGTTGGATCAACAGTAGATTTTGTAGAAATATTCCCATTTAATCTTACTACCTCAATAACGCAAGTACGGGGAAAAGATACATCAGCCGATCTAAAGTGTCGAGCAACTTTTTCGGATACTTCGAATATACAACTTAAAGTTGCCAATGCTTATTGGAAAATTGGAGAACAGACTATATTGCATAATAAAAGTATGGGGAAATATAAACCCAAGTTATTACAAAACCCAAGAGAAGCCATCCTCGATCTTCGAATAGAAAAAGTTGTTCATAAAGATGCTGGTAATTATACATGCATATTTGAAATGTCTTCCCGTGTTAATTTTACAGGAGTTGCTGTATTGAATTCAGACTTATCACCTGCAGATTCAGGGTATCCTATGCATCGTATAACTACTGCATTACTCATTTTACCAACTGTAGTTTATGTGTTTGCCACTAGGTGTTGCTGAGTGTCTCTCCCAACTTAGTTTTTTTTTACAATTATTTTTAACTGCCGTGCTTCTAAGTGACAAGTTGATATCATTTAACTTATTTTAATATGCATTTATATATACATATATAAATAGTACAATTGATGTATTTGTCAAAAACATTCGAGTGCAATTTGTGTGGAATTCTTCTAATAATTTCATATTTTTATTTTAAAATTAAGTACTTAAATATTGACGTAAAATGTAAAGTTAGAATTTACATTTATTCATTATAGATTTCTTAAAATATTTATATACAAGAACAGAGATATATATATATATATATTCATAGGAATTTATATACATATGCAATGTATGTACATATATATATATATATATATATAAAGTATATTGATATATATTTACATACATATATATATGTATATACTTGTATAATTTCATAGTTTTAAATGAGAGTTACTTGTTTCTTAATAAGAAAGCATAGATAGAAAAAAAAAATTTCCTTTATTTACATTATGCCTTTTTTAAGGAATGTGGGAAATTCTCTGATTTGAGAATTCAGTTTGCTTGAACCAATATAATGACCAGATTATGGGCCTGTCCCTAATTCAATCAAATAATGTTGATCATAACAGAATTTTACGGTCGTGATAATTACGGACTATGGAAGATTATTATAGGGAGGCTTAACCTTATATCCGTTACAAAGTTTTTCAAAGGCCCGTCAAGTATTTTATTATCTATAAGCCCACTACCGAACATAATTTTTTACTGTTTTACGTTCTTTTCTTATCTTTTCTATTGATATTAAACTGCAATAAAAATTTTGCTGGTATTGAATAAAATAAAAGCCTGTTAAAATGCTTTTGAATAAGCTTATGAAAAAGCCTATTTAGTTTTAGAGTAAAAAGGAAAAGAAAAGCCTAAATGATTTTAATTCATGTACATAAAAAGATTGAACGTTTATCGATCTATTGAAGTTTTTGATAACGATTATGTAAGGGAAGGAATATTATACAAAGCTATAGTTTGGATTTCGGTATTAAATGTTTGAAATTGGATTCCAATACGTTATATTATTGATTATTTTGAACAATTGAATACCGAATCAGGATTCGTTTCATTGTTCCAAGAATTATATAGTTTTTAAACCAAGGCAAATTTTCCAAGTGTTTTTTTCTCAAAATATATAGTGTTAATTGAAAAAGTTGTCATAAAAAGATTATTTAGGCCTAATTTATGTCGTTCTCTAAGAGCTTATTGATAGTTGAATTGTTCAATAGGAAATCTAATCGTTTTACCTTCGAATAGCTTAAGGAATTTACAGCATTAGCCAGTAATGTTATATATGCGAATCACTCGATTTGGCACAAGCGAAGTGAACTGTTTACATAACATTTACATGAAACGTTTTTTAGTAATTAGTAAAAAGTTTACACCATATGTTGATCGCTCTCGTCTATTTCCATTAACATTTCCAAAAATTCGCTTCTACTAGCTGGAGTACATGGGGGCGGACCTCTTGACGCCATTCTGCTAGGAGGCGCCCTATCTATTCTATCAGCTTTTCGCCTCAGCATCTTATCTGTAAAGGGTTCTATTACGTCTCTTTCCATGATTCTGCGTAATTTTGAATTTAACCGCCTGAAATTTGTTGATTCTTTACAACCATTAGATGGCATAGAATACGCCGTTGGCGTTGACGAACACTTCGATAATAATCCATCAATACCTCTATTTGCTGTAGTTTTTACTTCCGATATAGCTGGTTGCGAAATGGGTCGTAACGGCTCTGATATTTCTATTGCAGGTGGTGGGGGAGGTGGAGGTGGAGGCTGGTGACGCAATTTTGCGTCGTCAATTGTAATTACGTTAAGTAGTTCGTTCGACATGGAACGTTTAGGTAGACTAGGTTCTGTATCCTTTCTGGCATTGCCGAGAGGTGAGACGGCTAATAATATTGGCCGATTAGTAGGCCGAAGAGAAAAAGTAGATGATGGCCGATTTTCGTTTAATCTTGGTGGAATCGACGGCAGCCAACGGAACCCATGTTCTGCATCAGCAACACCTGGTGGAGTATATTTCAGGAATTTTAATTTTTCGTCAGCTAATTTTTTCTTTTTTCGCTTTGTACTAGAAGCAAGGGGGGTTTTTGGTGGATCGAGGAGCTTTTCATTCACATCTTCTGTCCATACAGCCATCCTCTGTTGATCTGCAGGCGTCATCATATCGACGTTATAAATATCACAATATGAACAGCATTCATCCGCTTTCAAGCGGCGTAGTGGCCGGTCATTCGACGCTGACAGAGAATGTAGCCGAACGTTATTCTCGCAAAGGGCGTCACTCTGCTGAGTCGCAACCATTGTTAGCGTTGTCGTTGGCGACGTTTGGGCGTCTTCTGTCGGCACTCCACCAGTCGCTTTATTATACTGAACAAGCCAATACACACTGATCAATCCCTTCTCTGCGAGTGTTCTGATCGATTGGACGGTCAAAATGGTATATTCTAAATGGCACGAACAACTATTAATTGTTTGCTTTTACAAATACAATAAAATCCCAATTCCATTTCTGAACAAACACTGGCCACCCTTTGTTCTTTTGGTAAAGAGTGACGAATAACTGTTAAATATTTAAAACTAACTTGAAAACCCCTAAATAGCTCTGCTGCTCAATCAATAAGTAACTAAAGGAGGGTGACAATGGAGCAGTGTAATATAAAACATTAAAGAGTTGAGCTCATTGATGCTCTTTCTTGTACACTATTACATAATTTAACTATTACTATTGATAAAACATGTGTTATTCAATTGATTGCTAATTTATTGTCATTTCTCCGATTATTTTAGCCTTAAAACACAAACAAATATACGTATATATTTATTATATTGTGTCAAATAAAATTATGAATATTCATATGTTTTGTTAAATATCGTTTGTTTAAAAGATTTGCAGGATGTATTCGAAGAGCTTAAGCAGCTGAAAGGAGGTTTTTTATTGGTATATTAAAATTAAAAACTAAATAAATAATCAACTAACTTCCGCTGTTGTAGACGGTGTTTATATGTTCGTCACTTAGAAATTCCAACCAGATATTTAAACTATCTAATTCAAATCTTCCATTATAAACGAATAAGTCATTTGGTTTACCAAAAACTAGATGCGTTTTTCCCTCTTTACGAACAGCTCTATTGGTCCCTATGATATCTTCAGCAGTCTTTTTACCGTTCACAAAAATATTTAACCCAATGTCCTTTCTCCAACGAACAACAATATGTTGCCATACACCCTTTGGTACTGGTATGGCAGCAGAGTATTGAGTTGTGAAGGTTTGAACAAAGTTAGTTAATTCTAATCCGTTTACAATAGCGGCAAGTCCAGTTGATTTCGACAATGGCTGTCCACCACTAGAATGGATAAAATTTGGTCTATTTCCTCTTCCATGGTATTTAATCCAATAGGCCATTGTAAAACCGCCAAGGCATGCATCTGGGCTAGAAAAACATTTACCGGAAAAACTACCAGCATCCAACCAGTCTCGTCTTCCATTAAATGCTACTGCCTTACCTTTTATACCATCAGACAATACCATATTCTCTCTTACATCGAGTGGAGCATTTCCAACTATACGTTTAGATACAATCTTATCAACTGGCCAACGGAAATTTGCAGCTGGCACAATTAATGAAGGAGATTGGAATTGAATATCACAAGTTAAACCATCTCCAAGATATTTATCTTTACATTTACATATACCATTATCTCCAAGACATTCTGCATTTGGGTCACAGTCATCACAGCTAGGTGGTACTGACGTAAAGATTTGATAAATTTCCGTTTCAGTTAAACGTCTTTGATAAATGGCCACTTCATCAATTGATCCGACGAAAAAGTCATCGTTACATTGCATAGCTCGTCCAATTGAAAACCAATCGTAAATATTCTTTGCTGAGAGATTTTCCCTGCCATCTAAATCCAGATTTTTAACCCTTCCTTGATAATAGAGGAAAAGACCGTGATCTGGGTGGAAAGTTACTGCCACATGCTGCCATTTCTCATTATCTAAACGATATTTTGGGAAATCAACTGAGTACTCTTTTTCCGAAGTTCTCAAGAAAACTTTCAACATTCCCGACTTTCTCTTGTAGATTGCAATTCCGAGGCCTTGCTTTGGTGTTTGAGCTTCATCAGGTTCAACTCCAGTTGTTAGAAGAACCTGTGGCCTTGAAAAAAATAAAAAAGAATCAATATGCCCTACTTTTCTAGTTACTGCCTTACTTAGTTGTTGATCGAAGTGCTCTGGCTTTTGACCTATCTTCCGCCGTTTGTTTAAACCAGAGTGATATTGTAAAACCATCAGGGCATGTACTAGGTTCATTCAGACATGATTTCCCTTTTCCTCTTAGCCATCCCTCATTATCAAGATAGGCCGACTTACCTTTCCTTCCTTCTCTTAAATCTACAAAGTTTAAATTTTCTAGGGTATCGATTTTGTTTCCGCTCTTTTCATTCATTGGGAAATATGAAGAGTAATCGCCAATAATAGAGCTTGATGTAGTTGTTGGTGGATTGGTAACAGCGCACTTATGCTCATTACACTTTTCATACATTTGACTTATTCCTTCACAGTTTAAACCACCATTTGAAGGAGTTGGATTAGAGCAAGTCCTCGTTAGCAACCTTTTACCTCCTCCGCAAGGAACACTACATGCTCCTGATGAAGTCCAAGTACTCCAACCACCATTTATTGGACATGGAGACTGATTACAATCTTCGATCTTCTGAGAGTCTCCTTCACAATTTTTCCCTCCATATTGTGGTTTGGGATTATCACAATTTCTCTCGAATATTTTTTTACCACCTCCACAAGATTTTGAGCAATCTGGTGAAGACCAATCTGACCAACCACCGTCAATTGGACACTCAGCTTCTTTGCAAGGTTCAATTTTTGTTTTGATACCTTCACAATCATTGCCGCCGCTGGCAGGAACTGGATTAGTACAACTTCTTTTATAAATTTGTTCGCCAACTCCGCAAGATTTACTGCACTCTCCACTTTTCTCCCATTCACTCCACCCTCCGTTTACTGGACAATCAGTCAGCTTGCATTCTTTGGTTTCTTTAGAAGCTCCTTCGCATTCTTTTCCTCCGTTTTGGGGACTTGGGTTATCGCACTTGCGCTGCCCTGTCTGTATGCCTGTTCCGCATGAAACGGAGCAGTCGTCAAAGACCCATTTAGACCAACCACCATTGATCGGACATGGTCCCAAGTTGCAATCTTCGGTTTTAACATCATCACCTGTACAGTCGTCACCTCCATTTTCAGGAGCAGGATTAGAGCAAGTTCTTTTAAATAGCTTCTTTCCAGGGCCACAGCTAGTGCTACATTCTCCTGAAGCAATCCAAGCAGACCATACACCATTGACGGGACAATCAGCTTCATTACAAGGTTCTGTTTTAGTTGCCAAGCCTTCGCAATCTTTTCCCTCATATTGTGGTACGGGATTATTGCAAACTCTGGTATAAATTTTTTTGCCCGAACCACAAGATTGAGAACAAGCTCCTTCATTCCACTCTGACCAGCCACCATTGATAGGACACTCTTTAGTGTTACATGACTCTGATTTGGAATCTAAACCATCACAATCTTTTCCTCCGTTTTGAGGAGCTGGGTTGTTGCATGATCTAGAGAAAGTTTGAAGACCACCTCCACACGACTTGGTACATTCACCTTCCTCTACCCAATCAGACCATCCGCCATTAATAGGGCAAGCTTGAAGATTGCAAGTTTCGGTTTTAGATGAATCTCCGGTGCATTCCTTGCCTCCAAATTTGGGTGTAGGATTGGAACATGTTCTTGTAAATATTTTCGTGCCGTCTCCACAGGATTTAGAACAAACTCCTTCTACCCATTCACTCCAACCGCCATTTATTGGGCACGCTGATTCGTTGCATGGCTCAGTCTTACTATCGGATCCGTCACAAGTTTTTCCGCCATTTTCCGGAGCTGGATTTGTACAAGATCTGCTGAAAGTTTTTGTGCCTCCTCCGCAACTCTTACTACAAGGCGAAGTTTCTTGCCAATCAGTCCAACCTCCATTAATTGGACAGGGACCGAGCACGCAATTGCGAGTTTCAGCATCTGATTCTTTAAAAGCCCCACCTACACAATCCTTGCCTCCGTTTGCTGGTGCTGGATTAGTACATTTTCTTGTTCTATACTGTGTACCTGTAGAACAAGAAACACTGCAAGTTGACCATTTTGACCAGTCTGACCAACCGCCATCTACCGGACATGGCTCCTCATTACACGACTGAGTTTCAGTTGCAGAGCCTTGACACGCCTGACCGCCATTAGACGGTGCTGGGTTGACGCACGAGCGTGTTCTGCTCTTTTTTCCAGATCCACAGCTTTTTGTGCATTTTGAGAAACCTTCCCAAGTACCCCATTGGCCATGAACTGGTCCATCGTTAAGTTGATAGACATCCATTGCGTTGGCTACCCCTTTGCCATTTGTACAATCATCAGATGGACCAAGACTCTGATAAAGATCAGAGTCATCACTTGAAGTTTGCACTAGACATTTTCCCCCATACTCAAGGGCAAAAATAGCATGATTCTGTTCAGCGGCTGCTTTTGCACACTTATCGATGGCCGATTCCCTCGAGACATAACTTCCATCTAGCACATCGCTAGTTTCCTCTAAGGTAGTCAATATGTCAGGCAGTTTGTCGTCTAGCCAGCATCCGATCCATGCATATTTCAGCCGTTTGTCCGGACAAGCGTCTGTCATACAACTTTCAGTCTCTTCAGAGCTACCTTCGCAATCTTTGCCACCATTTTCGGGAGCTGGAAGGTCACATTTTCTATGGCGATTTCTTGTACCAGATCCACAAGTCTTAGTGCATTTAGACCATGCCATCCATTCACTCCAAGCACCATCCACTGGTTGTGTACATTCGTATAGTTTGTTGATCTCGCTAACGTCATTTGGAGACATTTCATTCCGCAAGCCTATAGTGGCTGTCGGCGGTTTTAAAGGAATAATAGTTGGCTTATTCCTGTCGATAGCGAACGAATTGAAGGCGTAATGCATAATAGATGAGTAATCATATGGTAGATTCATAGTTCCCAAATCAGCTGCAGTTAATTTGTCAAAATTTGCTTCTTTACCTGGTATGATGTTTTCTTTTACAACTTCAATATAATCATCTCTGTCATATCTTGCTTGTTCGTGCCAAAAGCCAACAGCGTGCATCAATTCGTGTTGTATTATACCAGTTTTTTTAAGACACTTTGGAGCAAGAGATACATCTTGTTTTCCAGCGTAACGACCGACGAACGACCAGCAGCCGCTATGGAAAATTTTTGGGTATTAAATAATTTATTAGCGGTGACACCTTTCATATATTTACCCAGCGTCTTTGATGTTAAGATAGTCGTTTTGGTTGGTTCTTGCAACGAATTTTAAACAGGTTTTCAACTCCATGTCATCCATAGCCTTTCTAATTATCGGAATTGATTCTGCCACTAATGGATTTATTTATATTTTAGCTGATTTATAAAGAGTATGAAGATTATTTTTCATTTTACCAGTCGACGAGTCAAAAACGTATGGCACAATTCCTTCTTTCCATAGCCAAGTTCTCATTTCTTTGGACAACACGTTTCGTTTTTTTCTACTTAATTGTTTAGCGCCTTCCGATCTTGTTTCGTTTCTTCTTAGTTGTTCCATTATTCGCTTTTTCTCCTATAAATAAGTTGGTTAATTGGAAAAATGAAAATTTTACATATTCCACCTGCAAGGTTTCTCGAACGCTCGAGGGATCTCCACCAATCCGTTTAATATGCATTTGCCTTGGCGTTAATTTAATATCATTCTCGTAATTATCGTTGTCCATTCCTTAAGTTTAAAAGTTATAATTATCTTGGTAAATTAATTAAAACTATCATGTATATGCTAAGTCTACTAACCTTGTTTGTCGTTGATAGCGAACAATTCAGCCGACGGAGCTTCCTTTTGCCTCATCATTTTTTCCTCTTCTTTCTGAATTAAGGCATTAATTTGATTTACGGCTTCTCTGTCGTCTTGCAAAGAGCTTTCACAAATGTATCGTTCTCTTTCTATGCAATCAGCTTCCATTGCTTTCATATCATCAGTAAATAGCATTGCGCAAGCCTTCTTACTTTTCTTATCCGGACCTTTGTTGTTGTACCAAATTTTTGACAAAAATCTCTAAATAAGTAATAACAAGTAAGATTCCATTTATACTTAAGCGAATCTAAAATTAAATTTACAAATTTTGAATAACCTTATTTATTCTTCTTCGGTCTAACCATTCCCATGGGCCTATCGTATCTTTTCTCCTCATGCCAAACCAAAGTTTGTTTATTGCCTCTTCCTGTCCCATCCAACTGAGCATTCTAATTAAAGGCCTCTTTTGAATGTTTGCCAAACTAGCACCTTTGCTTTCGCAAGCGTCCTCCGCTTCATCGAATGGTAATTCATCGTCGCTTATCGTGTAGCACTGGCCCCTAAAGATTTGACCCATACAGGCCTTTGCTTGTCCTGACATTAAATGGCAGACGAACGGTAATTTCCTCTCGCAAGATTGCACTTTCCACTTGTGCTTTTTATCAGTTTGTGAGGATACACAATTTTTATCTGTATCCGAATTTGGAATTTCTGCCCAATTCTTCCAAGGAACTTTTATGGTATCTTCACCATTCTGTTTTCTCCAAGAAAAATGACTTTCTTTTTTTATATCGTTCAATGCTATCCAGTATTGCTCTTTTCTGTATTGGAGAGAAACTTCTTTACTTAAAAAGTTTTTTTTCTAAAAAAAAGAGATATTTAATGAACTACTTGAAATTTTTAAAAATTCTTTTTTGCTTTCTCAACCAATGACTGGTTCTTCTATCATGAAGCAAAACTAAACTACTGTCATGTTTCTTACACTCTTCCATTGCGTCGAACCATGAAAGTTCTTTCTCGAAGAGTTTGTAACAAAATCCAGTTGAAGATCTCCTTGTCCATCCCGATGGACAACTGAGTTCTAGTAGGATAAAAAGTATTAGGAAAAAAATTTACATTCATTCCAGGAAAATTAATTATAGGTTTTGATTAGGCTTACCTTTGCTATCAACTGATTTATATCTATTTTTTAACTTTTTACCAGAGATTGAAACTGTAAAAAGGAGACATAAAGCTGTTAAGAGAATGATCTTGAAACTCTTCATGATGATCCCAATTTTCTATGGAGTTGCTTCTGCCGGGATTTGGCCAGGCAACATCCAATCTCTTTTGTTCGAAGTGAACTGAGTGAACCACTATTGAACATTTAAGGCTCTTATATAGTACGCAAAAACAATATCCATACGTGTGCAACGTCGAAGGTGAACTGCTGACAGAATCGAAAGGTTGCACCTGTTAATATTTGTTTAATTTGCTAAAATCAGTGGCCGAGTGGTCATTAATTCCCTTTTTTCTAACAAAGTAGTTACCGGATTGAAAGGAGCATAAAAATGCAACTTTTCCAAAATATATGAAAAAGATTACAAGCCTGTGTCATTTTCTTCAGTTAGCCATGTAAAACTTTTAGCCTATTTAAGATTGGGTAAAATTCATTTATATTAAAAGAATGAATGCTGAAAAAGAAAAAAAATCCCTGTTATTATAGTATAATCAAAGTGGCTGCCTTAATAATCAAACTATGGCTGCATAAGTGGAAGATGAAAGAAGAAAGTTCTTTTGGGTGTTCTCGCATTTTTTGTTACTTAATTGTAAGATGACGGACAACGAAGTGCTACAGGTAAAGGAGGAAATTTATAATAAAGATGTGTTGGTTTGTAACCAAAATAATTAAATGTCAATAAAATCAATTGAGCTTTTTAAGTGATATAATTCTATCCGTAGCATCATTTCTTGCAAATAAACCCATTTATAAACAAATTTTATTACTCTTAATATTTGATTTTCTTTCATTTATTATGAATAATTTATAAAAATTGCCCACTAGATGACACTGATTTTGAACTTCTGCACAAAAATTTGTGTAATTTAGTTATCTGTAGTATTAAGGAAAAGGAGGAACTGTAAAGTTTTTTATCATTATATTTAAATCAGAAAAATATAGAATAACACTTCTTGCTGCTGACAAACAGGTGAGAGAGAGAAAAAAAATCACAATAACAATATAATTCAATGTTAAAAAACGACGTGCACCACAAAAAGCCGTGTCCTTCTGATAATTTTTTTTCTCTCCTTTCGTATTCTCATCTCGTGGCACGATGTCTAGTTTAGTGGTGCGCTTATGTATAAAATCGATAAAAAACGGCCACCTGCATTTGCCTTTTTCTTTAAATTAAAGTAAAAATAACGACTTTACTATAATTTGAAAAGAAAAACATTAAATAGACGAATTAATAAGTTAATATTCGCGATAAGGAAAATTAAAGGAACTATTAATTCACCACCTGGTATGATGCCGAATACATTCCGAGCGAAAGATGTGCATTAGCGAAATAAAATTAGGTAGACGTTTGCTTGACAGAAAATCGTAATTAAAAATGATATCGCGTGCAAAACAGGTTAGGAGTAAAGAATGAAACATATTCTAAAATATTCAATAATCAAGTTTCTTAACGGAAGAGAACGAAAAGGAAAGAAAAGGGTGGTGGAAACCGTACATTGAGGTGATACAGCAAAAACGAACTAGAAAAAAAAAATAGAGTTAAATAGTGAAAACGAGAGGAAAGAAATAAAGAGACATGATAGAATATAAAAGAATAAAGACAGAAAGAAAGAAAGGAAAGGAAAATGAATGAATAAACAGTGAAAGAAAACGAGAGGAACTGAGGTAGAGAGAGAGATATACATAAACTCATAGAAAAATAGAAAGAAACAGCAAAATTGTGAAAGAAATCTCCATATAAATAAAGTAGTAAACACGAAAAATAAATGAAATGACTGAATGCAAGTAAAAAGCATATGATTTCATAACAGATATAATGGCATTACTAATATTGAAGATTTGACGACCGAATTTCCAGAAGATAATTTTTTATTTTTATCTTATTTATAAGATTTATAATAATAGAAAAAAGTGAGAGTACTTCGATTCCTATGGCGATTAATTACGTACAATCGGCATCTGCGCAATTTCAATTTAGCTAACAATAAATTGTGTCCCATACGGATAAATTGGTTAGTGCTGCTCCTCTTCAAAACAAAAATAAAGAGTGTATTTACTATGCATACTTATTCAATCAACAATATAATAGAATACAGCATGTTATTTTTATAATATATAATATACTAAAAAATATACTTTATATATATGATGTATATCTGATAAAAGGATAAATGTGTTATTATATGCTTTGTACATCTATGATAAATATATATATACATTTATACAGTATATATATAACATATAAATTTATATGTATATCTATATATATATATATATATATATATAAATGAATGTGTATCTGGGCTGTTTTGCCCGCCTAAGACTTCTTCGACGCTTCGAAATGTCAACGACGATGGCGGGAGAAAATTATACCACGGTCGAATTTCAATTTGCAGGCTAGTAAAAAAAGGAGCAAGCCATATAGCTAGAAAGACAGAGAAAAGAGAATCAGGCTGCTAAGGAAGGTAGAAATGAACTAGAGTATTTTTTTACTTATAAAAAAGTAACTCTTTACTCTTCTTACTGATTCTCTATTTACTCTTTCGTTTTTATCGCCTTGTTTTTTTTTTAACTTGAATTATAAATCTCTATATATTTTCTATCTATTGAGAAGAGAGTATATTTCCTTAGGCTAAATTTCCTTGTTTAGGCTACATTCACATAGAAAAAGTTGTAAAAGTTGTTTTTTTTTTTGCTATTAAACATTGAAAGCCGGAAAGTCCAGGAGCGAACAGCATAAATTATGTTGATAGATGTGATGCGAAATAATTCATTAGGTGTGCAGTGGCGCTGTATATTGCAGTTGTATCAAGCCGTGCAGCTAAAGTATTGTCTATTGTCTTGTGTAGCGTAGCTGTTACACAAGGAAGTTTGATTATCGAGTATGTTTACTCGTTGTAAACTTCCAATAGGAAGAAACGTTTACACCTTTTGTAACCTCTGAATTCACTTGTTCCTAATCAGGTAAGCAACCCATATGTTATGTAAATTTGTCACAAATTCTTTATAGCGATTAATCGCCGCCAGTCAAATAATCATTTAATCCTTCATTGATATCTATTTGGATGGCCCATTAATTATATATACTATTTTAATTATACATTTCACAGTACAAGACTATTCAGGCAGTAATTTGCATGATGCGCTCAGCACTATGTTAAAAATATTTTGTGCTGTAGACATGCTGGCCTTTAAACTACAAAAAATATGAAATTGGCTCTTTTACCTATTCATTAATGTAGTATTTGTATTAAGTTTGGACACAAAGATATAAGTGCCCTGTTCAGAAGCACTAGAGATGTTTGCGTGGGCGTTCCCATGATGGTTTCCTTCCTGAATAGATGACAAGCAGGTGAAAAGACGATCGTCGAGGGACGAGACAGAAATAGGATAAAAAGAAAGAAAAGAAGAAAAAAGTTATTTTAAAAACTTGGCAAGAACCGTATTTTTTTAATTAAAATCTATTATAAGAGCGGCCGCGGATATAACTATAGCTAATTTCCTTTTCTGTTAGCCTCTATTTTTAATCCCCTTGTCACTACGACTGTCTGAAATATGGTCCTGAGTTATGTGCATTTTTTATATTTCCTTTATCTTAGCTTGAAGTATCACCTTCCACTTCTTCAACATATTATCCTAACCCTGTGAGGACCACGCTAAGAATGTCCATTTAGATTCGAATGCACTTTTCCTAAATCCTATTTTGTCCTCCTGCATCTTGCTAGCTCTTCAACAAATAGTTGAAAAAAGATTTTTTTTTATTAAAAATGTCTATCGACTACTCGTCTTACGTTATATATGATAAACGATACTCTAATTTGCTTTCATTTTTTTGATCTGCGCGCCTTCTTCAGGTTATTAACGTTTTATATTTCGAGCTGCTGACTTTATATACTATTTATCACCATCTTTTGTATTAGGGGATTTACAGTGGCCTTTATAACAGCAACAGAATATTCGTATATTATACGTTTGGCTTCAATTAGCAAAGAAAATGGCATATAGATAATCATTGTAAAAACTATTTTTAACTCGAATCGTGTAAGGCTTTAATAATGCTAAAGAGCGTATAATATGAAATTTCAATTAAGGATCAATACGTAAACTTATAGATGTCTCTTTCATTGAATCGATTCACATATTTTGGATTAAAAGACAGTCAATTTTCAATGGCAAAAATGGTCGTCAGCTGTTCTAAAGTATTGAATATCGTGCTTATTCGATAGTATGCCTCAGTCTGTAAATAAAAAAAACCTTGGACTATCTGCTAGTGTTACTGCTTGTGTTAAACGGAAAGTACAAAAAGCGGTCCTAATTAGGAAACGTCCGCTTTAGAAAATTTTATAACCCTTCTGTGTTAATGTTTCATTTCCGGTTACACACCTGTTATAAGTTTATATTGATTACGATCTGTACACTATTCCGGACACAGCATTTCGCTATATAACACACCATATTGTATTCATAGAATGAGCAGCGTCGTGGAAGATCCTGGTATACCTTTGGTTGGTAGGAATGGCAGTGTATCTTCTAGAACTATGTACATGGGACAATCACCTTCTCCATTTACGTCAGGCAAGACGGATAGAAAATATGATAACGTCGGCTACCGTTTGGCGAAAAGAAAAGAACTATTCCATAGGCGTATGATAATTTCCGATTTTGCTCTTTTTTTCGCCGTCGTTGGTATCATCCTAATGATAATAGAAACAGAATTATTTATCGATGGAGTTTATCTGAAGTCTGATACACCTAGTCTTCTGATTAAAACATGTATAACCGTATCTACAGTAACCCTATTAGGATTTGTCGTTTGGTACCATATTCTCGATGTTAAATTATTTATGTGCGATAATTCAGTTGATGATTGGAGATTGGCAATTGATTCAACAAAGGTCTTGAAAATACTGCTGGAACTAACTATTAATGCTATTCACCCTCCTCCAGGAAACTTTGAATTCGAATGGACAACTTATAATGCCGACACTCATAAAATTAATACTGCGATCGTACCTGTCGATGTCGTTTTCTCAATTCCAATGTTCCTTCGCTTTTATCTATTGTGCAGAGTAATTATGCTGCACTCTAAATTGTTTACCGACGCTTCATCACAATCTTTGGGAGCTTTAAATAGAATTCATTTCAATTTTAAATTTATATTTAAAAGTATGATGACCTTGTACCCGGAATATGTTTTGGCTGTTCTTATCTGCTCGGCATTTATTATTGCCTCTTGGGCTTTAAGAGCTTGTGAGATGTATCATGATGAGGTACATGCGAATTTCTTTAATTCGATGTGGTTAATTTCCATTACCTTCCTTTCCGTTGGTTATGGTGATATCGTCCCTAATTCTTACTGTGGTAGAAGTATAGCGGTCTTAACAGGTATATTTGGCGCTGGTTGTACTGCTTTAATTGTTGCCGTTTTGGCAAGAAAATTGGAATTATCGAGAGCTGAAAAATATGTTCATAATTTTGTTATTGATGTGGAATTAGACAAAAGATATAAGGTAGCCGCTGCTAATATTGTGAAATACGGTTGGCTGGTTTATAAGGCAAGAAAGTACGGGACTCCAGCTCAAGTTCGACGGAATCAACGGAAATTACTTAGAGCTATACATTCACTTAGGGATGTAAAACAAGAACAAAGAAGACTTGCTGACGCTTCTGTTACGTTATTGGAAATGGCCAAAAATCAATCTTCGATCGGTAACATTCTTGATCGAACAGAAGCCAGAACATTAGAACTAGATAATAGAGTAAGTGCCATGGAGAAAAAACTTGGTTCGATCGATGAGAAATTACAAATTATTGTTAAAGCTGTATCATAAAGATGAGCCCCTTTACAGTGCTTATTGATATTCGGCGCCATCTGGCGGCCACTATTTCCCGATATCCATGATGCCATCTTTATATTAGTCATTATTTTTTCGTTATCTCTACTAAGCCAAAGAAATTTTTTGGATTCTTTTTTTTGTTGAAGTAAAAAAATTACAAAAAAAAATTTCGTTCAATTTACGAAAAGCGTGAGTCACTTGAATGAAGAATGTAAATCTCTGTTATTGTTTTGAATGCGAAATACGTACGGATAGTGACAATTAATCGCTTTTCGTTCTCTATACTCCATTACCTCAAAAAGAAAACCATTAATAATTCTCGATGTATTTATGTAATGAACTTTTTGGTCAAAATGTCTTAAATGTTATAATTGTAATTATAATTCTATATATATATATATATATAGAATTATACAAATATATATATATATCTAACTGGAAAACCTGCAAAAAAAAAATCTGTGCTCCCTCTATGTTGTTTGTTCAATTATATAAGCTGGAAAAATCTGTTGTTTACTAACAATATAAATGTATACAATATACAATATCTATATATACTGTATATATACAGTATATGTGCAGTATATACAATATATAATGTACGTACCACATAATACGTCAAGTCACAATTCTTTATGGTGTTACAAGAGAAGTGGTGTCAATAATACCATATAATATTAATAACAATGAAAAATATGGATATTAATAAAAATCTTCATCGTTGGTTAAATTCATTTTATTTTTACATATCTCATAAAGTAAACCAATTTAAGACTTAAACTGTTAATGGCTTGAAGGACAATTATTCTTAACCTGTTACTATTGACTCAAGCTATAATCCAATCTCCAAATAAAAATGGGATTATATCTTTCTGATAACGAATGTTTTTCAATGAATTCAACTCTTTTTATAAAAGCCGTTCATTATGAATTCGGTTAAGGTCTTATTTACTTCTATAGGTCATTGTACGTTTGTTGATTTATATAAAAATGGTTTGAGAACGTACTCATAATCATTTATACCAGCTGTAATGATTTCACCTGTTGCTACACCTTGCCAAGTTCTTTATGATTTACCACATTTTAGAAATTCTACACAATCGTTTTTAGATCCTTCAGATTGTTCTAATTTTACAGGCTATAGACATTCCTATTCGACTACGGTAAGTTATTTCTTATCACTAATCAGAGATAAAGCATGATCCATCAATTTCTTTGTTACTTAAAAAAAGAAATATTTACTTTATTCCTATTTCTGTTTTTATTTTCTATTATCTTTCCTGATGGCTTGTTCGGTTTTACCGAGCATTCGAAAAACCAAAGGAAGCGTATCAAATAAACGCTTTAATAACTCACAGGAGAAGGCTAGACCGTTAACCGGATTTAGTGTGAATTCTGGTATTACTTTCAAATCAACGGAAAATCGGCTTAGCAAAACGACTCTACCGGATCTTGTTAATCTTACAAGGAATTTTAGTGAAAGAGACGTCGAAAGGAATACTAAACCGACCACTAATACTATACATTGGAACGATAATTTTAACGGTTGGGTAGACGAAGGAGAGGTATAGAGAAATAATCTAAAAGCCTGCCATTTAAATAATTTATTTCCGCTATCTCATAAAGAGAGTGATAATTGTAATAAGTTACTATTTTATTGATAAATAGAACAAAGTTCAGGCTTCTTATGTATCATTTGTCAACAATGCCCAAATTACTGAAAGATCGTCGAAAGAGCATTTAGAAGACAAGAATTTGAAGCCCTCTCGATTAGCATCGGCACCCTCAGTAAAGAAGCCATTAGAGGCACGTTTTGGAGAATCTGCTTTCAGAAACACTCCAGGCTGCAACAAGACGGATAATAGAAGTAATTTAGCTCCGAGAGTTCCATGTGTGTATTAATGCGTTGCCTTTTTTGGACACTTCTTAAGACGTAACAATAATAAAATTAATTATAGTTATAATAGGTTATGAATATTTTATTAAACGCCGATATTTCTATTATAAGTGTTTTTTACGGACCATATTGACATTGTTTTTTATTGTTTTTTTATAGATGCAAAAAAAACAGATAAAACTATTAAAAAATCGAAAAATTCCAATACAAAATTGGATGAAAAGTCCGGTTTTAATAATTCGAATAAAAATAATGCAACAAAGCCGGTTAAATCAACTTCGAAAAACGATCAGCAAACAATTGAAAAGGAAGTCGAAACTCAGCAAACACGAGACGACGAATTGACATTTATCGTGCCCGGATTCCAGGATGAATCCGATGTAAAAGTAAAAAGGGAAGCTGGCAACCAACGTAATCAAAGTAATGTTCATAGGCCTGCTAGCCTCTAGTGTCTCTTTGCGACCTCTTTTTTTTTTCTTATCACGCAGCTCGCGGTAATTGCGGCTCTTTTAAATTCGCCGCTGAGAAATCAAAGACGAAAGGCAAGAAATTAGCAAAGAGAGTTAAAAAACCTAAAATTCCCGGAGCTCAATTAATCGACAAAAAAAAAGTAGCTTGTAAAGAAGACAAACCAGAGAACGATGATGTAGAGAGTGGTTACGGAGAAGATAATGATGGTAGGCCTAAACTGTTTTGTGAGAAAGAGAAGCTAATTTTTTCTATTCACTGCTTAATTACACTTCTACAGCAGATAACTTTGATGATTTGTTGATTGAAAGAAGTTGTGATCAGACAAATACGAGTTAGTAGCTCTTTTATACTCGTTACGTAGAATAGTATTCAAAGAAAAGTGATTGATGATTAATAGCTTATGCAATCAGAATACTTGTTAACATGCATTTTTACTTTAAAGCCAATTATATACGATTATAGGTGATTGAGTATTGTACATGTCAGTATGCTATATCAGTAAAAGATCGATAAAGAAATGTTTATAAAAGGAAATTGAAGGAATAAATGTCTAATTGCGTTTATGAGTACCATCAAGCAGACGAGGACTTTGCACTTAACCTTGATATACTTTTATTCAGGCCCAGCCCCTCAAAGTGTCATTGACGCTGAGAGTTCAGTCCTGTTAGAGCAAAGCAACTCAAGAGAATTATACGAACCCTCTAATAAGGTAATTAGGAAAATTTCTGCTGCTTTAGGCGCTTCTTATACGACAATTACAGTTGAAAGCCATTGAAGAAACTTCGAAAAGAATTGGTAAACGGAAAAACAGGTGGAGAGCTACTTTTCAATCTAAGACAACTGATATAGTGGAAGAGTCTGGTTTACCAAAGCCTCCGGCTTTCAATAGAAAGGTAAGAGATTGGATATTTAGCGACGATGAGGATGAAATAACAATTACGCCGACCGCTACATCTCCAAAAACCCCAACACCAGTCCCCGATACAATTGAAAACCCGTTTACTCCGAGAAAAGAAGAAACGCCTTCGCCAGTGGAAACGCTCCCTAAGCTCGTTACTCCTCCCCCTCAAAAATCAAAACCTGTTGCTAAGAATAGCAAAGAATTTGTAAAGAAAAAGTAAGACTTTCGTGATCCTTCATTTAAGAAATGGGGAGTGATTAAGATTCATTAACCAATTATTCATCTAGGGAGGAAACGAGAGATAAAAGTTGGCAGGAAGAGTTAGAAAGGAATAAAAGAGCGGAAGAGAGGCGGCGGAAAGCACTTAATATGATAGAAGGATTGAAATCTCGTAAAAAAGTCATCACGAAGCAAACCGAGATGGAAAAATTCGAAAACGCCAAGGAAGATTGTTAGTCTTCATTAGTATAACAAAATTGCCCTACATTAAGCCTATAATAATCTAAAAAGAATCTTCCATTCCTATTATACAATTTATATTAAATTTTTCAGTTGATTGGCTATCGCAATACTGTATATTTCAAGACGGCCATATGGATATGTATGAGCGTGCTTTTAATATCGTAAGAGCAATATTTTATTGAGATATTAAAGAATTAAGTTTTTAAAGGGTTATGAATTTAATCTGAGATTTAAAATGTTTATAGATTGACGAGAATAAATTAGGCTGGCTTGACTCAGAAAACACAATGATTGCCATAAAAGCTTGTAATACGAAATTAACTGATATGGAGGAAAAATACCTATTACAAGTAATTTACGTATAACATATACATACAAAAATCGAACTATGTACATTATACAAATAGAATATTAATTATACATGTAAACATATCTTTCCACTATGTCCACTTGCAAATATTTCCTTAAGGTATTTTACTAAAGCGCCATCTCTATAAAACTGTAGGCGTCATCTTAATTGCGGTGGCCTTGACAACAGAATCTTTATAAATCTTTGCGTACTTATAAAACATCGCGTAATTATTCTTACAGCATGAAAAATTTCTAATAAATGAATATTTTGTTGTTTTTTTTTTACTCTAGATTTTAGACACAACTGGCTATGACTTTAGTAAAGGAAGTGATTTTAAGATATTTTCAATTATTGCCGCCCTTTCTCACAGGATCAAAAAATTAGAGTAAGTAAGCATAATTGCTAATGACATTAGTTTAGAAGGTTGTAATTTATTAATTCTCCATGACAGTGATTGGGTTTTGAACTATTGTGGTAACATCAGCTTTCGACTGACGAATATGAAAGTAAATAGAGATATAGAAATATATATTTCTACTTTATCCTCAGACTGATTAAATATGGACACGTTTTTCATTTAGGTTCATCTTTGTCGTCAACTATGGGAATTAAACGTTGATCCGGGAACAAATAGTATATCTTTAGAAACGTTATGTATCCATCTGCGGGCAGGTGGCGTTTGCGATGATCGGATCAGCTATGTAAAGAAGAAGCTAAGTCATTTGTCCTCGCTAAGTTTACTAGATTTTTTAATTTATTCACCTCTATTCATAACATTACACGAAAACATGGTCAATGATCCCTTGAGCGACGCTAGAAAAGTCTGAAGCTGTTTCAAATCTAAATACTTAATGAGGATATTAAATTTTCAAAGATTTGTAAATAGACTGATAATACATCATTTAAATTTTTTAAGGTGATCTTAATGATTATAGGACCAATTTTATTTAATTTTTCTCCACACCTTTATCTTAAATTTCTTTGTCAATAAAAAATGCCGTCTAATTACGTGAATACATTATTCAAGTTAATTGTCATTATGATGCAAATACTTTTTCTTTCACACCATATCCTAATAAATAAAAAACATCTGACTAAGAGTGTAATTGATTTCTAGGACAAAATTATTTACACTCAGTCGTCTTCCTCTCGCTCATTTCCTCAATTAATTCTTTTCTTTAACAAATTTCTCTCATCCATTTCTCTAGTTTCTTATTGTCGATACTTTATTGGTATGTATTGTTTGTCTGCTAATTATTCTCATGATCATCTCCAGTACTTCAATTATAATAACAGCACTTATTCCGCACCAAAGATTTAACAAACCACCAAGTTTTGACACAACATCTGCCGAATTATATTTCTCCACTTCAAGGAATTTTTTATAACCATCCCTACCAGTATTAATAAATTTGATACGCACGACATTTTCTTGTAAATTCGAAGAATTTATTAAGAGTTGATATGCTTCAGTGAAGCGACCTTGCTCCTCTAATTTTTCAACTTCTAAAAAAATTCCATAATCCTCGAGAATATCTTGACGTTGAAGGAACCCAATGGTTTTATAAAAGGAAACGAGCTCTCTTTGCGAAGGCCAAAGAGAGTATGAAATTCTCGTATCCCATTTCGTTTCAGAGCAAGCAGGATGACATGTTTTTAGACAATTATGAACATCTTTTATCGCTGTAAACGTGCAATTTAAGTCAATGACGGACTGCACTACATCCTCAACACTAGAATTTTTTGTCAATTTTTGGCAAACGCGTTGCTTTTTATCATTTATATTAATATAAACCAAAAGATTAGGATCAATACATTGGCATTGTTTTACTAATTCCTGTTGAAAGCAAGCATATAAACAAGCTTGATAATTATATTTTAACGATTTTCCACCTAAATCGACAAGATTAGGATAAGGAGAAGACTCTTTTGATATGCAATTTCCATGTGGTTTTGGTAGCCTATCAATTTCTTCTGGAATTAGTTGAAGAGTTGATGAGCGTCCGGGTGGAATCTCTATTCCATTCTCTTCTACATCAACAAAGGTACCCGGCTGATGAACTGCAACTTTTGCCCCATAAAGTTTTGGAAAGCTATAAGGTGATTCAATTTCTTTACGTCTGAGTTGATTGTGTAGGATAAGCGTTATATCTAAAATATTTACAGTTTGTTGATCTCTTATTAACTCAAATGTATAACAATTGAAAAAATTAGGATGATGAGATACTGTTATGTTTGCCATCTTCGTACAAGGTTTTCTGACGTTAAGTAATCCCCCATACTGGAAATAGCTACAATCTAAAACTAATTTCTCAAAACTATGTCCATGCCAACCAACTTCTTCAGGAGTTAGCCCTGTATAGAATCCTTTGGCAGATAATATATTATTAAATAACAGCCATATTTCTTCTGTTTCATCTAGATCTATTGATTTTAAAAGTTTTCGTAGCAATTCTTCATGTTTAGTAACGATATTGTCATTTAGATGATCCAAGTACTCGCCGTAACTAATTTCACCTTGAAATGAAAATGGATTCTGATTGCAAATTGTTACTGCTGGAAATTCGTTCGCATCACCATTTTTCTGAACCATTAAGGTCACTGTGGAATATGATAGGAAATTGCTTATAATAGTATAACATTGTAGTCCAGCAACAGAGAAGAGAGCTATAATAGATATCGTCCACAAATATTTTATTACATTGGCTTCCGAATCAAAGACTCTCTTGAAACCTTTAATAGAAGTTGTTTTAAAAAATACGTTTAACTCCTCTCTCCATGCCATGTTGTAATTGTATACACGAACGTGCTTTAACGTAATAAACTGTGCACACTTAGGGATAATGTATTATTTATACATTTTACATTATTTTAAGTAGTCATTAGTTTTTTTAGTGTTCTGAACAAAACCACAATGAACATATTGATCTGTCTAATGTGTGGATCGTGTACCCTAATGAAGAGATATTGAACTTTTTTTTTATTTTGCTCTTTTATTTGATTTAATTGAGTCCTTTTTCTTAAATAATTACATTCAATTACAATGTTGCAATAGCTGTTTTTCCACTCTGTATTTTCTATTCATTCAATAAACTTCATATACGTTACAACCAATAAAAAAAACAACCAATTTTCCGATACTTTTATCATTGTTTATCTACGTTTGTATATCCCTTAAATTTTTAAAAGACTTATTGATTTATACTGAAGTGTATCTATGATAAATATATGTTGTATACAACAATATTGTATACCTGTATTCATATTTCAAGTTAATCTTAATTTATATATTAATATAAGTAAGATTATTGGCATTAATTAAATGCAAGTCATATGCTTAGTAATGCATAATACGAATAAAAATACATTAGTAATTAACTTTATTGGCAACAAACCAGAGAGCCTTAAATAACATTTTTTGCAAAAATGCGCAAAAAAAGAGCTTAGAGTGCTGTTTTCCTTTTATTTTATGAACCATAGCTTTATTTTTTTTGGTATAATAGTCTTTCCTTTTTTTTTTTGATTGTAGAGAAGGAATTACGTTTAAGCTATTGAATTAGGAAATTGAACTGAATCATTTTTTTTGCCGAGAAGAAATGAGAGACTAGAAATACATACAAGAAGAAGAAGACGAAGAGGGAATTAATTAATAATTTAAGTGTTATTTTCAGCGAGTTCAACTGATGTAGAGAACTGGCGTATTAGTTAATTAATGGATGCATATAGAATTGTTGAGTTTGGTATTCTTAGAAGCAGTTGCTACATTCATCTTCTTCCATAGTCCTCTATTACTAATTCCCCGGATAAAACCCACAAAATTCATGAAGCGTTTAAATGCCTTTACTGACGAGATTTATAACCCCAATGGTATAAGTATTCAATCATAATCCGCCTGAGGGCGCTTTAATCTCTTGTTTTACAGCTGATCGAATTGCCTGTTAACAGTAAATTGTTTATTAATTAGCTTTTTTTTTCTTTCAAAGAAAAAAGCTTTAAAGGCAAGCAATTACCGAGAAAAAAACCTACTACAACAAATACAGAAGATGTTTAGAAAACTGCAAATAGCCCTTTAATGCTATAAGCCTACATTCAATATCACACTCGAATCGCTCCTTGCACTTAATCAGATTCGCTTCAGTACAAACCTTGTAGATCCTCACGGTCCGTTGAACTTAAACTAGACAAACAATTTACGCCAAACACCAAACAACGCCACCTAGTACTTTCTTTTGCTTTATCAAATCTCATTGAGCCGTCGTAGAATAATCAACAAGCTTCATTTAGCGCTTAACAAACGCGAATAGCATTGATTCAACAAAACGCCTTTTCAAGTGTTTTTCTTTCATCTATAATTATTTTTCGATCAGGAAAAGGTTTGTATTTCATTTATTTATTTATATTTCAAAGTAAAAACTATCCCAATTTTTATTACCCCTCATTTATTCGAATTTCATAGAAAGGATTGAATATCTTCGATCAGTCGTGTATCTTTTTCGTCTTTTTCCTCTATAATATTTTTATTCCCTTCTTCAAGTTAGATATTTTTTCCATGTGCAAAAGTCCTCATATATATACGTCGCTAAGCAACTGAAGCGTAAGTAAAAAGCTAAAAACCGTAGTCAATTATCAAAGAGCAGTCCCGAACAAACAAGGATCGAGAATTATACATTTTTTATAACTTCTCTTCCGAATGACAAAAGCAATTGGCCTGTTATTTTGAATTGAGTAATAGATAACCCACTATCACCTGGAGGATTTCGAGAATTATATCTACATATAAAGAGAATTTTATGCAGTAAAGAGTTTGGGATTTTTTTTTCACAGAAACATCAACAAAATAGAAGAGAATTTAGAACATGCTCTTTACAAAAACTAAATCATTTAGTCACGTCAACTGCAGAAGACATCAAAGGCGAACACCTAGAAGGTTACGGTTGAAGCTTTTTAGCAAACTCACGTTTCACGAAACTATTACCTAAACTTGGAAAAAAAGATGTTCGACTTGCATAAAGAAACACAAGAAATATGAAAAATAATGAAAAAAGTACTAATTTACCTTCCGGTGGCGGATCAATGGCTTGCCTCAGGGTGGTGGACAAACAACATTCCAACCGTAGGCGAAATATGTCAGTGACAAACAAATTTATCTCGTCGCTGGCTCCCCAATGGTTTTAGTGACGACATTGTCGTTATATGCATTCAGATAAAGAGGTAGTAAACCCTACGTATATAAATCTGTTAGATCTAACAAACAGTTGAAAATACGGTCATTTAGCAAATGTCCTTCAATTATCGCTAGATTAATTACGCAAATGCATAACAATTTAACACATGTCCGCTTAATCTCTCAGATGCTTCCTAATGCAATAATGTCATCTATCAAATACCCAGTTAATTTACAATAACTTTAATAAGAGAGTAATGAGACTGTTCTTACAAAAACCGTAGTCCAGGATTAGATTAGGACTACTTAAGCTCTTTATAAGTATTCCCTTCGTTGCCAAGCCTAACGAAATAATGTAGCAATCACGATGCAACATAGGCAATTGCTGATTACGATTGCTAAGTTGATAATTCATGCGTGACTCCATACGGAAGCGAACCAAGGAGAATCACGTGATCTTTGCGCCAAAATCTATAGAATTCGACATCGGCCAAAACCCGGCGGACTTAGTTGAGTGAACCGAATCATCGCTATTCCTAACGAAATTTACACTCACCAATCGCCTATGGCCAAACCGTATATTCATCATTACCGACCGTTCTCTATAGGCCTACGTCGGCCCGAAAAAAAAACGCCCAAGACGTCGAAAAGCGGCAATCGGTCTTCATTCGATGTGCCAAACTGTCCGGGATGGTATTTATTTAAAGCGAAATAGGGTTATCGACAATTGATGAAATCGAAGAGAAAACTACCCATTCTTACAATTACATTAATTATAAACTTGGTTTTTTGTATGCTTGGTATTTGATTGACAAACTTCGCCAATATACAATATATATTCTCTACTTTATAGTCTTGGGGAAAATTTTGCAATTATCTGCACGGCACGTTCTTATTTTTTTCGACCAACTTTATATTTAGCTAGACGCTTTTCGTCTACGAAACGTCTAAATTCGACGCACGACTGTGCAAATTAGCTTTAACGAGAAAATTAAGCGCCGTCGATCTATTGCTCTATTGTATTTGTTTCTCTTTTCCTCTCACTCTCTTTTTCTGCTGTCCTCCTCCGCTTTTTTTTTATTTAGCTTCTGTTTCTTAAGGGTCTTTTTACATCAGTATCTATTATTTCTATTCATATTCTTCCGTCCATTATCCCATGTAGTTGCCCTGATATCCGTACTCGCCCTTTTCCCTAATGTCCGAAATAAAGAATTCACGTTCCGGCAATAAATCAGTATTGTATAAAGAAGCTTGACATTTCATAGTCGACGTATGGTTTGGAACTAGCCACCTTTCAAACGCTTTTCTTTATTTGCTTGTAGAAAAAGGGCGTCCCTTATTTCTTTTTTATTTCCCTCTTCTATCACAGAGATTAATATACGGCGCTGAAGTTATATATGATTTATACATTTGCGTGTTAACTAACCATTGCGACATGTCGGGCTTTTAGATGAAAATTATATTTTTCCATTTTCATCTGGGCTGCAAGGCAGTTTTTTTTTCTATCGTTTCGGCCTTGCATTATTACTTCTATAAACGAAAATATGGGACGGATAGAGGGGGAGGGGGAAATAATTGCGAATTAGCTCTGTAGAGTGGAAAAAATCGGGGGTGAAATCTGTTATGCTTCTTATATAGATCCCACTTCTCACATCTCTCTGTCAATCTGTTTTCTATAGACGCTGAATATAAAATAAGTGGCCTGATAAATCTCGCACAGCTGTTATTAAACAATGACCGATAGAACCAATTTAATCGGCGTCCTGTTTGCAGCCAATCGGAGTCAATAGCTTTGTTTGTTCAACATCACTGCTTTTTATTATCTTGGCAATGAGTAAACCTATACGCTGTTATATCTCTTTTAGATATACTTTGAAAGAGAAGAAAGAAGTAACATGCAAGTAGAAAGAGAAAAAAGTTGGCTTGGAAATAAGTAGTCGTCGTTATCTCCTAAAAAATAACAGATACATCTGATCGATTTGCGCCAATTTACCATTTTATCAATTATTTAACATGGTCCCGATCACTTTTCTTTTTACCCTCGTTATCTAAAAAGCTTGCAGGGTTTTTAGTGGAAAAGGGAGCTGAGTGCGTTGAAAAGGAAGTGTAAAGTAAGGGGGAGTCGGTGTGCTAGGTTTGGCAGTTGGCGACTTGTACCTTTTTGCTTTTAGAAGCGACCAATGTAATAACGAACGCAAAAGGGCAAAGCTGGTAACTGTTCTCGGTGCACGTAGGGTTTCTCATTCGGTCGATAATTGCTAAAGTCGCCGTAGCATAAGCCCACTTAGGTACGCTCCTCGCGTCTTCTCCGCGGCGGAATTGAGGAGAATACTCGAATAGTTTTCTTACTTCCTCTTTTCTCTATGTCGAACAATTTCAGATGCTGTGATGGCACGCATCAGACGGCTCGGGGCCAAGGAGAACACGACCCTTCACCCGGACTTCTTCCTCATACCGGAACCCACCCCCGATTGGAAATCGGCCAAGGACGAATGGAAATGGGCATGGCATCTTCATTGCTACGGCTTCACTTTTCTCTTTATGATGTTGTCATTTCATACAGCATTGTCCCTGGTGGCTTTAAGACGTCGAATCAAGTCACATTGCAGATACGTTGCGCTTAATTCGCTACTTCTCCTCCTTGGCCTCTCCAGGGCAGTTTATCTGCTTTTTGAAAGATATGAAAGCCTTCAGACTTTTCCTACGCCCCTAAGTCGGCTCCTATTTGGTGTAGCTTTCCCATGCCTAACTTCGTCTTACAGTCTCATACAGCTAGTTGTTATGAGGGTAACTAAAGTACCAACATCAAATGAGAAGAGGATGAGATCTTACAGAATCCTTGCTTTTGTCATTACATCTCATTTTAGTGTCGTCGTAGTTGTCGACGTCACTGTTGCTTACAAGAATAGTCTAAAGCTACTACTTCTAATTTGTCAGGCTGTCTTCATTACTTGGGGATTAGTTCTCTCTTTTACATTCATATATTCTTCGTTCAGACTAACTCAGTTTAGTTCGGAAGCCCATAAAGTCCTCCGTCAGTTGGCCTATTATCAAAAGAATAGGAAAAATGGCAAAAGAACGCAAATTTTCCAAAGAGTAGCGAAGCCAAGATTAAATGAATCTAGCATGGTGCCATCTAGCGAAGAAGATGATATGGATTCCTATTTAAGGCAATTTGGCGAAGATATTATCCGTAAAAGACACTCGAATAAAAAAGGAAGAGTAAATAAGTGCGATTCTAACTTGTCTACAAGTGGTGACTGTCAGGACAGTTCTAGACCACCATCACCAAAGGTTTTATTTAGAAATTCGACATGCGTGGTCGAACTTCAAGATATTACTGTGGAAGAAGGGGGAAGTCGAACAAGTTTAATCAGAACAGAGCGGGGCATCTCCAACCCAGCTTTTTCAAACGGTCACGATCAAAGTGAAGTTCAAGTTTTGCTCACTGATTGCGAAGATGAAAGGCACATCAGTGATAATCGTCACGAGACGGCAGATGACAGCGGATATAGTGCAGATGGAGAACTTAACGAAGGACAATTGAGTGATGTAGACGAGACGAGGGAAACGCCCGAATACACCTTAAATAATTCTGAAAGGACAATATCTCTCCAGAGAGTTAAGCAAGGCAGAATCTTAAAGACTGTCCTTAAATCATCCTACGCGGCCACCTTATGTACTTTTCTAGCGTGTATTCTAAGATTATACGGTATGTTTGGTGTCTATGGAGTCTTGTCTAATGAACACAAGCCAGAGCCTTGGCCGTGGTTCGTATATCAGACGTTCTGCAGGTAAGATATACTACAGATGGCGCGTCAAACAAATTTCTCCAACATTTTTTTCTTATTATTACTACAGGCTAACTGAAATAGGAATATCCTTTTCCATATCAGCCATTGCTCATCGAATGAACAAACACAAATACGCAATCAGCGAGTTTTATAGGAATTGCAAACTAATCTGTGATAAAGGGGATTAAACTTTGAAGGGGTTTGTTTCAAGCTTTCTCTAAATCATGCAAACTAAAAATAATGGTGGTATAACTTTTCAACGATCTTTCCATAAGCTTCCGTTAATTTTTCAATGTTACCTCTGTAACTGATTTTTGATTCGACAAGTTCGAACTTAGAATTCCGAAAACCACCGGAATTGGAGAATATTGCTTCGATTACAAGTCCTGCCGATTTTTCCGGATTCTTAAAAAAGAGTACGGAAATCGTTCGCAAAATGCATCCGGCGAAACCTTCGAAGCTGCGAACTAGTCGGGTGTTCGTTGGTCCTGTAGAAGTATATTAAATTATTATAAAATTTTAAATATATTTTGTACTTTATCGTTCTTTTGTAAATGTCAATAGTAAAAAAGAGATATTAACATATTTTGAAAAAAATAATCCTAAAAAAGCCAATGAATTTACTACATTGTGTTCAAAAGAAAATTCCAACCTGGATTTACGTGTGTAACATTTATTTGCTTGTTTATTTCTTTGCTGTAAAACTTGCTGCAGCAAAGATACGTGGCCAGTTTGCTGCAGCTGTAAACTTCATATCTTCCGGGCCATTTCCCACCTTTTTTCTTGAAGAATAAATTATCAAATTCGGGATTAGCCGTTTGCACGCCGTCGGAGGATACGTTAATTACATTCAGCAATTTGTTCCGTTGACTGAGTAACTTGCAGAGTAAGACGGCGGAAAGAAAATTAACTTGCATCGTTCGTTCAAACCCATCCTTCGTAATTATCAATTTATTTTCCATAGTCGCTAAATATCACGTAAAAAATGCACTCTAAAATTCTTATTATAAATGACACAGGTCGTTTTGTACCTGCATTGTTGATTAATACATCGATAAAGACGTACTCGTCCAGCACCCTCTTTGCTAAAGCATTTACCTCATGAAAACTAGCCAAATTCGCTTGATAACTATCAATTCTTTGGCAATGAGTATCCAGAAATAGCCTAGCGGCTGTACTGGCTGACTTTTCGATCGTCGAACAAACGACTATCACATGGGCGTTTCTCTTCAAACATTCTTTAGCTACTTCGTAGCCTATTCCTCCATTGGCGCCTATTCATCAGGCGAAAATATAAAAGATGTACCAATTTATCTCAGACATAAAAAAAATACCTAAGCTAATAGATTTAGGGGAATCGTGGAGATTTATAGAGATATAGACAATATCTTTGGAATACAAAGTTAATATAATAAATATACTAAGTACAAGTTACGTTGAGAATGCTCTATAAACTATAAATATAAACTAAATATATACCAGTTATCAAAATTCTTTTTCCATCTAAAATTTTCCCATGGGTCTCGAGCAGGCTTTGCGAACGTTTACCTTTTACAAACAATAAAACGACAGCTGTTACAGTTCCAACGATGAAATAAAGTGGATAATTGTTTGAAACGCCGTCCTCGTATATTCTATAGAATTCGATTATTCGATTCATACCTAACCACAGTCTGGTACGAACTGGTTGGTCTGTTTAATGCTTAATTCGACTAATTACTGCAAGTGTTTAGGAAACACGATACGAATTGCGTGCAGAGATTTATTCTAATAAACATCATACCGCATATAGACGTTTTATAAACACCCTCTCCCAGTGATTCTCTTATAGTAAACAGCGAAATTATTAACAATAACTGGTAATGGAATGGCGAGGGTAAACACTCCTACAACAACGCAAGCGGCTCCAACCAATTTACCCCAGTAACTAGAAGGGACGACGTCTCCGTATCCGACCGTCGTCATAGTTACGACGGCCCACCACCTAGAAAACATGCTTTTTCAGTTTCTCTCCCTATTAAATGTCTTGTTTCGCAAATATACTTACATTCCTTCCGGTATGGATTGAATCTGAGAATCTGCTGTTGAAGATTCTGCATAGTAGATAGCCCCTGCAAAAATTGTCGCACCAACGCAGACGAAGAATATAAACAGCCCTATTTCCCTCAGGCTGGCCTTTAGGGTCATACCTAAAACGAGGAGGCCTTCAAAGTGCTTCGATAGCTTGAAAACCCGGAATATCCTTAATACTCGGAGAAAAATTAGTGGTGAACCCTTTTTACCTTCGGGACATTCGTTACTTATTAGAGAGACGATTAATCCTATATAATAGGGTATAATTATGACAAGATCAAGGATATTCAATAGATTTTTTGCAAAATCCAATTTATCCGGGCAACTACCAACTCTGAAAATGAACTCTATGCTAAACCAAAAAATACAAATCGTCTCTATGATAAAGAACGGATTCTCAAAATTCTGAACCAATTTGTTATCAGTGTTGTTTCTGCATTGTAGTGCGGAGTAAGACGGAATAGTCTCCAAACAAAAAGATATAATCGACGTGACGATAAAGAGAACAGACAAGATTCCAATGACTTTAGCGTAGGTTGATGAATCAGGATATTCGAATAATCTCCAAATAAATCTTTGCATGGGCCTACGAGGCATTGGAGCTGGTTTAGTATCAATTGGTCCCAAATTTTCTTTTTCCTTGTACCTTGTAATTACGTTCTCATTAAATTCCATCATCTGCAATCCTTCAAGAAACGTTTCGGCATGTACATGATAAGGCCTCTTTAAATGACCAGTTTGGTAGAATTGAAAGATACCGTCAAAGCTCGGACGATGATGATCGAGGAAATATTCTTTTCGCTTATTATCCCACAATTTATGACGCTTAATCGGATTTCCGAGTATGGTTTCGGGAAACCTTTGCAATGTATTTAGTCTAGTTTGATAAATCTTTCCCGACACATTTATCGTGACTACGTCCCAATGACTTTTCGGTTCGTCCGGGTAGAGAAAAGTAGCATTCTTTAATTTGTTATAATCAGGTAGAGAATGTGTCGAAATCAATTCTCGATGCTCACTATTTAATGCTGATAATACTTCACAACTTCTGGTATTTCTTGCTGAAGGAACACAATTATTTGCCACTCTTTTCGGTTCATCTTCAGGAGTCTTTTGAAAGTAAATAGAACTAGAGTCAATCGAATTTCTCACCGTGAATAAACCTCTGCCAGCTATCATTTTCTCAACAAGCAAAATATTCCCATAAATCTTTTCTGTAATCCATTATGAGCGTTGAAATCGCTTTACAGGTCTGAGTATTGTATTTAAATTCATATCATAAAGTTTTGCCCATACACAACTAAATTAATCGATAATCTAAAGCCTTACTTATATTTACTCTTTTGCTTCGCTAAACTCTAAAAAGCATATTTACTCTCTATCCTAAAATTTCTCTTGTTTTCACTCAAATTAAATTTTAATCATTAATCCAAAAAAAAAATGTTTTCCAATTATAGCTGTACAACAGAACAGGTTGTGTGATATGAACATTATTGTATACATTCAAAAGTTTTAAATTACTACAACATGTGTGGATATTCTCTCTTTTTTGGTAAATTAAATATATTTTTTATTCGAATTTACGGGCTTACTACATAAGTAGGTTCATAGTAAATTGTATAATTGCATAAGAATTGACCGAAGAAAAATACATCCGCAAGGTGGCGTTGGTTTTAGAAAAATGCAAAAATAACCCAATATCGTATCGTCATTGACATTTAACGGAAAGTATCATTAAGAAACTCGTTGATGATTAGATGCACCTGAGCAAATTTATAATTAAATGGTAAAACGTTATTTAAGTTGGGAACGAAGAAGACACGGAATAAGAAAGAAAGAGACTAAAGGGATAAAATAAAAAAGGCCTCTATAATAGACATTTATACAGAGCGGCGGTGAAAACAATTGGCGCCCTTGCAGTCATCGCAATATAATGCTGAGTCTGCTATTTCGCCTTAGACGGCGGCCTTTACCAATCAAATGATTAGAATGGTACAGCCTTTCTGCACCCCTTGAGACAACGTCAAATCACGCCATTTGCAAATTTTTTTTAAGGCGTTGATTTTTAGCAGACGACCAGTCGATAAAGTCACATTTTGTCCTTGTGGAAAAAGCGATATGTAATAAAACAATGAAAATTACAATACCCTTTGGCTAAAGTACTCTATATATTAACTGAGTTCTAATAAACCTCACAATCAAACTAGGTATATAGAGCACACTGCACTCGCAGTAGAGTAATTAGTGTTAAACGCCTTATATGTGTGCATATATGAAAGATATAAGCATATATTCAGTGTATTGTACTTGCAGGGCAATATATTTGTATCTCTCAAAGCTCTAGTATATATATAAATGCATATTATGCAATATATTTAGTCAGGAGAATACAAATGTTGGAAAGGTCATGGCTCGTCGATGATGATGAGAATGCGATAAGCGAGAAAGAAGGTGATGGATAAGGCTTATCGCGTTATATTGATTGATTACTCACGGCGCACCCGTTCGATTTTCGTGCGTTTGTCAAAAGAGGTCTGAATTGTTTGCTGAATGTTCACGGCGTCATAATTGAATTTGCGTCCCGCCGTCAAACGTTCGAGTAAACAGAATTAAACGAGTTCAATAGTTAATAGAACTTTTCAAATAAGGCAGTGCCCTCTACAAATTTCATTGTACAGGGCTTTTCGAAAGAAGCAATAATTCGTATTAGCCACTATAACGACATTATATTACAATCTAGCGTTATATTATTGTTCTATAAAAAGAAAATAGTTTGTTTGGCGTTCTTTGTCGCCCTGCCAACTGCAATCTCTTGCCAGAAAAGCCAGGTGCCGCACTACAAAGCCTGTACACAGAATTTCTCATGTAGAAAAGGAGACGAGAAAAATATTCCTCACTTTCCTATGTAGTATAAACAAAGAATACAACTAACAGAAAACATAGCGAAATCTCCATAAATAAAACTTTTAGAGTAAATTAGATTGAAAATTTATGCAGATATAAATTATATGTGTTTTTCCTCTTTTTAATGTATTAAAGTAAATAAGAGCCTCCATGCATATCTTATCTATATATTATAATTAAAGAATTATTAAAGTTATATATAAATATGTAAACGTATATGTACGCTATAAATATATAGTATATAATAATGCATGAGAGAGGAATACAAGTTTTATTTCATATTGATATATTAATATTATCTTTCTTCGTAACGTATCAGTTATTGAGATTACATAAAGAAGTAGCGGTTCTAACGATAAATACAGAAGGGCTCAGGTGTAGTAGCGGGCACTCGAGACGTCCAACGCAATAAAGAGTCGCCCAGAAAGCCATATCTACTACAAAAGAATAGAGCTTTACAGTATACATTCAAAGTTGCGAAAAATTCGCAGCACGTTTAAAGTAATCAAATATACAAACGATGACTGATTATTTGCGCGACCTTTAGTCGTCGGCCTAACCGGTTCACGGCTAGTCAATCCACGGCATCCCTGAACGTGATAGGGAAATGATAGACGCGGCGTTCCCTTAGTTGCATAAAAAAGAGCTTTTTAAAAAATTTAAAAGAGTATTTAACGTTTTTAAATGAAAAAGTGACGACCAGTCAATAAATCAATGCGTCTGCAAGCTTATACCGCCCGACTTTGCTAAAGTGGGTGTGAAATTGCAACGCTTCGAAACGTAGCCGACAACCAACTGCAATTTTTGCGAGGCGTTTTTTTTTTAACTTTTAGGAAGAACGAAGAAAATTTATTTCTTTCGAAGACCAGCTGCGTCTATTTCCTTGCTTTTTCCTCCTACCATCCCTTTTTTCTCGCTTTTTCATATTTATGAATAAATATATGTTTATTTATACGCTTAGAGTTTCAATATATGCTTGACTAAACGTAATATTCTAAAAAGGTTTTTTTGCTTTTTTTTCACTCACGCGGTTTTTCATTGACGGTTTGTATTTGAAAAAAAGGCAACTTTTTCCGTTTTTCTCATCTGATTCTCATCTTGTTTATCCATTTTAAAAATTAGATATTCCGTACACCATCCTTCATTCAGTTTACTTACTTATATCCGAATCGATCACCCGCTCTATTCATATGTGTATAAATGTAGATATTAGTATATATATATATATATATATATATATATAATTATATGCATATAGTCTTATAGCATATATTTGACGAATACAAATACATCTATCAATGTATATCGCCTACACGGTATGTATATTCTCTAATTCATAGAAGGAAATGAACAACACATCAATGTCTATATTATCACATATGTGATGCAATATACTCTCCCATTGTAACTATATTATGCGTAGTTAAGGATAAAGGGTTGATATAGTGTTACAATAGATATATGTATAGGTTATTTAACGGAAAGTAACACGATTTCATAAGTCTCACAAATAGGAGGCGTATGGTCATCAATATTTTGCTGCGTACGTGTTTAGAAAAAAATCTATGTAAATCGAATAAATCGAGAACTTCTATCGTTATATGCTTAACATATAACAATAGATCAGGTGATGACGATAATTGCATGAAATTTTCAAAAGGTTCTATTCATGTGTAATATGTACATGATCGTTTATACATATGCGATTGTAGCGCCGTCAATGTTCTACATGAGCGAACTGTCTAATGAGCTCCAAGGAGCTAGAGAGGCGAGAGGCGTCGTTCTCCTTTTTAGTAATTAGACGGCTATCTCAAAACGGTCGCCTAACTAAATCCCATGAAAGAGTAATAGAATGAATTAGAAAGCAGGCGGATTGCACGGGATGCCGAGAAAATTCGATTGGTGCGCACTTTATTAGTAAAAAAGCTCATATCGGTTTAGACGACCGCCGCGCGTTTTCTCGAGCGCCGTTTGTGCTCACAGCCAACTAAAAGAAAAAAGTGCCTGAGAGTGAGAGTTAGCGAGAACTAACGGGAATAAGACCGACAGAGAGAGAGAGACAGGGGAGAGAGAAAGAGAAAAGAAAAATTTCGCTCATTCGATCGCTCGGTGGCGCTAGAAGACGGCTGTTTACCGCAAAATTTTGCAGTCTGCTCAAAAGAAGCGCGCGTTTCGGCGTTTCGTAATGGATAGTAATGTGGAGTAGCGGTGCGAGTATCTCGACCCAGTCGAAGTCGAAGAAGAGCGGAAAGAAAAGTACGGACGGCGAAGATGAGAATCCTCTGGCGGTCGCCGAACAAGCTAAGCTGCTTACGTACAAAGGAGGAGATAACGCCCGCAGCAACCACGTCAAACAACGCCGACTTGCCAACGACGTTTTGGAGGAGGGTATTAGCAGCGGTGGACTTGCCGAAGGTTTTGACGAGCCTTCGACATCAGTCAACCGAAGGCAGACTCAGCATGATTGTAAACGCTGCGGCTGTGAGAGAGTTAGAATCAACGTTAGTGGGCAATACTTTGAGACCAGAGTTGGTCTGCTCAACCGGCATCCGGATACCCTGCTGGGAAATCCAAAGAAAAGGGCTCAATTCTACGACAGAACTAGGGATGAATTTTTTATAGATCGCCACCGGCCGGCTTTTGAGGCGATATTCTCATATATACAATACGGCGGTAAGCTTCGGCGACCGCACAACGTCCCCGACGATGTCTTCCTGGAGGAAATACACTTTTATGAACTCGAAAAAGAAGTTGTCGAGGAATATAGACGTTCTGAAGGCTTCATACCAGAGGAGGTTCTATTACCTACGAATCCCTGCTTTAAAAAGGTCTGGATGCTTTTCGAATATCCTGAAACGTCCGCATTCGCCTTTTTCATTGCCCTATTATCTGTTATTACTACTGTCACGTCTATCGTCCTGTTCTGCGTTGAAACGCTCCCCATTTTCTCCATGACGCATTGCGAGGGCAACGAGGCTCCGAACTTTCTCGATCCGTTTTTCGTTATCGAAACGATCTGCACTGCCTGGTTTACGATCGAATTGTTCGTCCGTTTTATCGTCTGCCCGTCGAAATTAGCCTTCTGGAAGGATTTTAAGAATTTAGTCGATGCAACCGCCATCATTCCATACTACGTGACCTTCTTCAACGTTATATCAACAATGAGTTGCGCATCAGCCAAATCTAGCGCCTCTCTCGCCTTCCTCCGGGTAATTCGTTTAGTTCGCGTATTCAAATTGACTAAGCATTCGACCGGATTACAAGTACTCGTTCTCACATTCAAAGCGAGTATTGAAGGCTTAGGACTCTTCCTCGTCGCGCTCATCGTTTGCCTGCTCGTCTTCTCCTCAGCAATCTACTATGCAGAATTAGGAGTCACTGGATCCAAGATCTCCTCCATACCCGACGCTTTCTGGTGGGCCATTATTACAATGACAACAGTCGGATACGGCGACGAAGTGCCTGCCGGACCGTGGGGAAAATTAATAGGATCGGTTTGCGCTATTGTTGGAGTACTGACACTCGCCATACCGGTTCCAATTATAACAGGGAATTTCAACCGATTCTACTCGCATAAGACGGGTCGTGGCAAACATACCGGTTGAAAATTTTTGAGGAAAATCAACACGAATCGAATCCTACGAGTGACAAATCGAAACATAGTGAACGAAAAAAATAAGCAAACGCATCTGCAGAATCTATACTCCATGTATTTAAACTAAAATAATTTAAAGAAACAAAAAGACAGTTTTTTTTTGTTAAAAAACTATATGAATTCTTCTAGACTATACCGGTTCGCTCAGGTAAGCATTTAATTAACATTCCTGTTAAAAGAGAAAAATGTTGGAGCGCCTGTCGTTCGAAAAATGCTCAAAGCGATTACAACAACTGCACATCCTTATTATCCATACTCCCCTCCAGGCCAAACTGTCTCTCATGTAAATAGCTATAGAATATAGTGTCTTCCCTTGTTGTTTATTATACAAAGAGAAATTTAAAAAAAGAACACGAAATAGCGCTAACAAAAATTGGAGGCTGTGAAAGAATCACGACGAAATGGTCTGTATAAAATATTCAGGACGCGCGATCGTTTGACAGAAGAGAAACAGCGTCGCTCAAGCGTTTCTCGTTTTGACGGAGGGTCGTGTTAAAGCGTTATATAGTAGATATACGTGCAGATGCTCCGTTTTAATCTAATCGAGCGGTCATGACCGTTTATAGGTCATTTCATACGGTTGATTGAACGGTGCACTATCTTATATACAAGTATATTGTACATTGTAAATGTAGTGCATATGCGGTAACAATATTTATACATATAAACTCGGTTGGGTGTACAAAAAACTACAATAGCCGACGGCAAAATATTCTCCCCCTCCGCAAAACTCTTCCCCTCGAGAATGACTTCTCGAGACGTCTATAGATGCTTATTTCACGGCCGTCGCCATTCGGTTGTTTACATTTTGCTTGCCCCTTCTCGTGCGGGGACTCGTTAAGGCTTTTACAGATGCGACCTCTTGCCGTCCCTGAGGAGCCGTCATCGCTCTTCTAATTGACTCGGTAAAACACGCCTGTAGCGCTCATAAGCCGACTAATGACGATAGCGGTCAATGTATAACGAAAAAAAGGCAGTCAGTGTTTACGTAGACTGTTTACAGAACTGTACAAAACCCTTGTATATATTCGTCGCAATTGCTGCCTCAATTCAATCGCCGACACGGACTGTGTCAACAAGGCTAGAAAAATGTCGTTTTCTCCTAGTAGAATTCGTGACGAAAGAGGATCTGAAGAGATTCGTTCTTTTTACACTCTAATCATTCTTTTCACTTTATCCGCCTCCAAAAATTATATACGCCTCTCATTATCTTATAAAAATATAGTCCTATTGTCTTTTTGTTATATTCGATAGTTAACAAAGGAAAATAATTTTTTTTATTTATATATAAATGTATATACTGTATAGATTATATTGTAATTTTATGTAATATATACAGTATATATATCTATATAATAGCACGTGTATTACTTCTCCCCCTCCCACAAATATATATATATATATATATATATATATATAAAATACACATATATACAGTATATATATATATAAGAATATATAAATACACATTTATATAATATATTTACGTATACATCAAAATATACAGACAATTTCACGATATATTTATATATATATATATATATATATATTGCCTGTTTATAAATAAATATATATATATCTATACTGTTCGTACCATTTAGTGCAGAGGAAAATATTTCTTACTTAACTGCTACCCTGTAAACCTTTCCCACCTCTCGAAATTCCCCACCCTCCACCCATTCTTTCTTTTTTTTTTTCATCCATCTTTTCTCTGGCTGCTTCTTGTTTATTTTCGTTCGCTTTCTCTTTCCTGGAGTGGTTTATTGGTAGAAGATATGTTTTCTATAAACTAGTTACTCTGTTAGAATTATCGAGTGAAAAATGATATTATAGATTTCTGATTGCCAGCGTTTCTAAGCAAATCAATATAGATCACTATGAATATATAAAAGAATATGGATAGCAAAGGATAGTTTTATGGATGTATTCGGCAAATAGGCAAGAAAAGAAGTTTCTTTCTTCTCTTACCATGCTATATAGTAGGCAAAAATATTAACGAAAGCGTCGATCTTGTTCGCACTCAACGATGCTCCTGGGAATTCGTTGCAAAACTTCTATCAAGACGGGCGTCACGTTCTATAAACAAGTTACTGGCGAGACCCTATTTCAAAGACACTCGGATTTATATAGTATATTCGCCTTTATGCCTCCATACATGTTCTCATTTATTCCGTAGACGCTCTCCTTTCCAGGACGTTTTGAAATCCGATTAGTAGTTAATGTAATTATTACTCTCGTCCTCTGATCCTTTGGGAGCTCTCTGGCGATTTACAGTTACCTTACCGATTCTTAGTTGTTTTTTTTTATAAATTCGTTTAACGACATACTATTTTTATTCGTTATGCTATTTTTAGAAGACCGGCGTCTCGCTGATCTATATTTAGCCTTATAGTCGTGGACTGGGTGATTACGGTAATTTTCAGTTGGTAAACGGAGAGCAAATAATGTTTTTTCCATTAGCCGACCTTTACTCGTTTCGCTTAGTCAGATAGTAGCTTTTAAAAAAATGAATTAATTAACAGTTAATTGAATAGATTATTTTACTAGGATATGGGTAGTTAGGGCGGAATAGGAAGAGTTACAGAGGAAGGACGATCGCCCGATTATTTGCCGGTTCCCTCTCATCTTTACATAAATCCTACTTTCTTAAAGCCGAATAAGCCAAGTGAAGCCCGACGATCAATAGGAAAATAGGGCATAAACAACGAACTGTATGTGCTCAATTTTCTGTGATTTTCCTCAAAACAATATCGCCTCTTCTGTTGACAAGCCTTTTTTCATACAAACCATCGATTTTTTATCCTCTAGCGTTTGAATCGATTCATATTCTTGCGCTGGCGTATTCCGATAATATCTGCAATATAAAGTATGTAACTATTTACAGTATATAACTTTATACTTTTACATCTTTATATATTTGGGATATATATATATATGTTTAGTTTTCTCCTACAATAACAAAGTACTCTTTATTCAATACAACCTTTCTTTTTATAGAAATAAATATATAAAGATATATAATGAATCCCTTTATACTTGTAGATATAAACGTAATAGACACGAAAAGTTTTGGCTGGATCATATATTATATGAAAACATAAAGAATATGTAGGGTTTTGCAAGTGTGCGTGTGTTTCTGAGTGTGTGAGTGTGTATATATATGTGTAAAGAGTTTAGTCTATTTTAAACATATGCATCTCGTTGTAAATGCTTTGGGGTATTATTCCTTCAATGGAAACAGATTTAATCCCATTCCTATTAGTGTTACGTTGAGTAATGATTGATGACTAATCGATTGGTCGATGCCAGTGCTTTATAGAAAAGGCCTGACTCGATTAAGAAAATGAAATATCAGAATTCCGATCCGCCCGCCTCTCCCCCTTTCTCTTTCTCTCTCGCTCTCTCTCTCTCTCACTCGCTCTCATTTCACCCTCTTCTCCTATTCTCTCGCACTCCCTTAATTTCTATCTCTATTTCTCTTTTATTCTTTCGTTCTATCTGAATTCCCCTTTTCCGCTCTCTCTTTTCTCTTCTCTTTTTCTGCCTTTCTGCCTTTCTGCCTTTCTGCCTTTCTGCATCTATGCCTTTCTGCCTTTCTCATCCTTTTTAACTATTTCTCCATTTATCAAACTGTTTCTTTATTTTATTCCCTCATTTCAAGTTGTATCTTCCTTTCTACATATATATATATATATATATATATATATAGAATTTTTATCTACATAAATTACCTCTCCCTCTTTTCTCATCACTTCGTGTAATATAAAAAAACAGCAGGAAATGTAATAAGAATCAATGATTACTTATTAATAGGAGCTGGGGACAAACATGGTTACCGCTTCAACTTTAATTAAAGCAGGGTTTAATTAACGTATTACGGCAAAGGAGTGTAAACGTCTCTGTAAAATAGTTTGCACAAGCAGAAATCGGACATCTGTTGCCTGTTTACAAAAGCAAGTAAAATTGTTTTTCTAAATATTCCCCCACCATGCAATTCGAACGTATTTGTTAGTAAATCTAGAAAGAGAAATGTCATTTTATACTATGCACAATCCATTAAAGAGTTGTATATACAGGGTTGGACGTAAATCAATGTTTCGAATACAACAACTAAAGACAGCAATTTCAGTGACTTCCGCTTTTTAAATGAACTTCAATTTACGACCGTCTGTGTAGGTCTGGTCGCTTTGTTTACAAGCTGAAAAAATCTGATTACCGACCATCAGTTGCAGCCGTGCAATGCACCTGTCCCCATTGCCGTGTCTGCGGGCTATTGCACACTTTATTTTTATTTCTGAAACGGCTTTGCTTTTATTTTCATAGCGGCTATAACGTTTGGTCAAATGCCAAATCCTTGCGCATACATATCCGCGCCTATTGTACCCTCTACTGTTGTTTTCTCCCTTGGTGGTAAGAGGAGAAGGATGCTATTTAACGATTTGTCGTATCAGCAGATGGCGCTTCTTTTATCAAATAATAAAAAAGTAACAGACTCAACTTTTTATATCTTTTATCCCTTACACCCTTATACGGTGTCGTTGTGAGAATACAAATTTACAAAAGAAAAATTGCTTTCTAACACGTAATTTTATTCAAAGTGAACAAGAAGAAACTCTCTAAACTATTTAAGTAAGTTTTAGCGTCTTTGTTTTCCGTGACTCTTGCTTCCTTTCTTGTTTTTCCATTATTAATGGAAAAGATTTGGGTCATAGTCATAGGGGTGAGAGGTAGAATATGAGGAAGAAATGCGGCATAAAGGATAATGTTGACTGGTCGCCGACCTTATTAAATTGATGGCATTCGAATGTTAAGAAGTATTCGAACGTGACTGTTGAAGTAGCAAAGTCCCAATTGAACTAAATGCAAGTTCTCTTTTCGAGCTTATTTCTAAGAATTTATTCCCTTCTTGTCTTATTATGTCAAATTTATCCATGTCCGTTCAGGTTTTGT